TTAAACTAATAACATCAAACTTTAACAAATTTTTAAAATCTTGATTGAATAACAATAGATTTTACATAATATTTCAAGTCACAAATTTTTTATTTAAATCATAAATCAATAACACCCTTAAAGAAGATGAAAGATAGAGAGATCCAAATCACATCTCATTTGTAATCTAAAAAATTCATTCACAAAAAAATAAAATAAACAAAATAAACAAAAACATCCAAAAACAAAAGTCACAGAATTTTTGTTCCGATCTTCTGAATATCCACAACAATGCTCTGCTATGTCGGTAAAGCCACCAAGATTTTTATTTTCATCGTCACCGTCGCCGTCGTCATTGGCCTCGTCGTAGTTTTCGGTGTTCTCCGCCGTCACTCTCACCACTGCTCCGGCGACAATTGCTCATCTTCCACCGATCCTTCTTCTACTTCCCCTTTTATAACTCCATTCCCAAACCCAAACCCGAATCCAAACCCGAACCCATCTGTTCTCGGATCTTCTCCTCCAGCTCCACCTGATTCATCATCAACACCAAACCCATCTACTCCAATTTCCCCAAATCCGCCCTCGCCGATCATTAATCCAAATCCGCCGCCGTCCACACCAAATCCTAATCCGAATCCTCCGCCGCAATTCTCACCTCCTCCGCCGGATTTGGATACAACAACCGCACCTCCTTCGCCTTCAACGGATATACCAATCCCACCACCACCTCCAGCACCAGTATCGGCATCTCCACCGTTAACTCCGCCAAGCTCCGTCGTCACTAGTCCTGCTCCTGTGCATGCCAAGCTAGTCAACGACTAAAGACCAAACCTTTGTAAATTCCGACATTTTTTTACTTCACATTTCCCAGTTCTTGAACTTGATTCGTTTGTTTGTTTTTTTTCTAATTAGATCATTTTCTCTAATCTTTAATCTTAAATTATATTTGAAACTTTATTCTGATTTTCATTAATCTTATGTTACTTCACCATATAGCAATAGAGATCGAATGTTAAAACTTTTTTTGTTAGTGTTCTTACTAATTGCAATGATGTTATGGGGACTGAGTTGTCTATTTCTATCATTATCATAAGATTTATGACCAAAAAAATGAATTTTGTTTTGAGTTTAAGTTTTTGCTTGTTTTAACTTTGAAGTTAATTAAAAGAGTATCATTGTCTTAATGGTCACCAGTCAAATCTCCTTTTTTGATGGCAAACTATATATAATTGTTACATTATTGTTTCTACATTGAAATGATTTAAAAGTGTGTAACTGTGAAAAAAACACTAGTGAGGAGGGAGAAAGAGACATGAGGTGGGTCAATGGGTTAAGAATCCCATGAAATTTGTCTGACTAATTTTGACCACTTCAATCTTTGCAAAATTGTAAATTTTTTAGTCGTTGTCCGTACAATGTCATTCTTAATCCTCTTTTTTTTTTTTTTTACTTTACTTTATCTTTCTGTTATTTCCATAAACTACTAACTAGTTGGGTGTTATTTCATAATTTTGTCATTTATTTATGAATTTGATATGTTATAATGTTAAATAGTTAAATATACACTCTACTATTTTTAAATTAGCATCTACGAAATCTAAAAATTTGGCAATTTTATTTATTAATAGTATCATACAGAGACATCTGCTTGATGTTGGTGACTTGGTGCATTAACTATTTATTATGCAAGAGTGTCTCTGAAAGCCCTTATTTTCTGAACCAACATTGTTTGGTAAACGAAGCAAACATTTATGATTTATCCGCTTTTTTTGTGTGTGTATTAAATATACTAAATTACTAACATCCTGGTTTAATTTAAATGTTTTAATATGGGCTAGTTCCATGTCAAATAAATATTATATTATGGGCTTATTATATGGGCTCAGACTAAAACTATAATTTAACAAATTACCTTAAAAACGCACCCAAGATGTTTATTACTAGGTGGTTAATTATTATTACACTGAAACTCCATCATAGAAGTGAAACAAAACAGCAGAAAAGTAAATAATTCACAACAAGATTTTAACGATTTAAAATTTGTTGTCGATGTGACGAACCTTTTTATCGTTGGAATCTGTATCCTATAAATTGACTATTATATGTGACACTGAATACTTTTTACCAACATTTTTTTTTTTTTTGATAAACATTTGGGCTGACCTTTATTACATTGTTGTTCTTCACGTGTATTTCCTAACTATATAAGTATATTGATGGGCTTTAGAAGGGGATTGAGCTTTTCTTAGAGTCCATTACTTTTCATTTTTTTGTCTTTCCCATATAATGTTTTTTTTGCGCCTATGGTAATGTACTAATGTGCAATAAAAGTAAAAATTTGTTCTTTTTTTGAACCTTATCTAGTTTGGTGAGAATATGTTTGGTATATGATTCCAAATGAAAAAGATGAATTTCGTGGACCTTATATACATATTAGTTCTATTTATGGTTCAAAATTAGGAATAAGAAGGAATTATATCAAGAATTACTTTAAATTGTAAAACAATTTAGGAATGTAAATTCCTCCTAATTTGTTTCCTTAGTAACATCACCAATTATAGCAAAAAAATCTAATTTGTCAAAGTCGTCCTATGTGTTAAATAAATTGCCATTTTTATACTCCAAGACACAATATTTAAGCATCGAAATCACCATGTAATAATACCAAAAACGTGTTTATAAACTCTAAACCATAAACTGATCATCCTCATATCAAAAACATGGCGGCACTGAAAACAACAATCCTCATCATTTTCGGCTTCTATCTCTCATGTTAGCTTCTCTCTATATACTGTATATATCTCATATTTTGATTCATCGATCTAAAAGACCGAATAAAATTTGGTATGTGTTTACAATTAATAGGTACGTTGTTGGTGGGTATCTTTGGAGTTCAAGTCGAATCATGCAGGACAGATGAAGAGTGTAGGTTGCTATGTTCAGATGAAAGTGCGGAATGTATTCTTAGAGTGTGCAATTGTACGAAACTAAAAGTTGAGACTGAACCGACCAAGGCGAAAAGATGCAAGACTGATCGTGATTGTCCTGTTTCTCATCCATGCCCTAAAGATTATTATTATGCTTGCCTTAATAATGGAGAATGTACTTGTATCGCTGTTTAAAAAACTTTAAAGCGTTATTGTTCTGATTCTCATCAATGCCCTCTATTATAATATTTTAAACCTTAAAATAGAACTAAAGCTCAAACTAAGTATTTTCATTGTCCGTATAATCCTAACATTGTATAAACTTTTTCCTTTCCTATATATTTTAATTTTTAAATATGCTGATCATTATCTCAAATAACTATTTTAATTTGAAAACTTAGTTTTCCTAGAAAAAATAAAAATTGGAAAAGGTTACTAGTTTAGAGTTTAAACAATAGCAATTTCTAAACTTCAAACGAATAATTGATAGAATTCTTTATTTATTAAAAAATATCTACATAATTGATGAATATATGATTAGAAAAATACATTAAAATATTTGAAATTTATTGGCGGTGCATTTTGATAAATTTGCTTAAAACCTTTTAAACAATTGGACTGGCTATGACAAGCTGGCCACGTAAACAAATAATTTTTAAGGTTATGAGTTTGGATGTATTTACAAGGAAGAAAAGACTAATATAACTTGCTCTGATCTCTAACTTGAAATTATGGGGCCAGACCTTGATTACCAAAAAAACGCCTGCCTCTCTAAAGTCTAAACCACTAAAAAATATCTAGTTCTGGAGAACAAATCATTGAGATTTAATTCAATGAATACTAATAATTTGATTGATGAAAAAAAAAAAATACTAATAATTTGATTTTTGTCTTATTTTAAAAGATTCACCTCTGGTCATCACTAGTTCTGTTGACCGATCCCTATGTTTCCGACTCGTGGAGTGACAACAACCTTATTCATTTGAACATGATTGTATAGTTATCAAGTCAAACTTTTAAGTAAACGGAAGTGCGTTTGATTTGACCAATAATGGTGGACAAACATTTTTGTTTAGTTTTATTTGAGCAAATCTTAATGAGAAGTCCTTTAAACGCCATTTATCTTATGTGAAACATTAAAAACATATAGGTCCTTTAATCTCCATAGAATTATACTTTAGCTTAAATTTGTTATTATATAGAGTTTCGATATTTATATCTTATATACTTATTTTTTTCTCTGAGTAATATATTAATTTATTCGAAAATTATGAGATTTTTTCAAGATATTATGCGTATGATGGGGTCGTAGTGGTGGTCGCCGCTTACGCACAAACAAAGGTAGGATTGGGAGAAAGCAAAGGAGCAACGTGGTTATCCTCCTTCGTTGACCTGTCTTCATCGCAATGACTCAGCTTAGCACATGTGACCAATATCTTCTCCTAGTTATCCGTTGACGTTTCAAATCTTTAGTCAACAAACCAACCAGCCCCTCTTAATGTATAACTTTTTCTTATATGATGAAATTTACATTTCAATCTTAAAAAAATTACAACTAAATTTTAATTAGAACAATAATATATGAAAATGAACTTATAGAAAATCGATGTGACTTAAAAAACAAAAGTTAATGGTTTTTTGGTCATATTTATCGTCATATACCACACATTACTGGTGTGTTTTCTCTTATACATACAATATTCCAGGTTTCTGTCAAATATATTTTGATAGTTGTTAAAATTCAAATACGAAAACCAAACTGCAGAAAAAAGTGATTTTGTTTTGGTTTTGCATATACTATTTTTTTAAAATGTGTGGCACTAAAATTGTCAACATAAACACACAAATTAAAAAGTTGTGTGTTTTAACATCAAGTAATATTCCAAGTAGTAGAGAAATAGATTTCCATTTGAAACAGTTGAATCTGTCATCATGCTTAGACTTTATTGTGTTTGCATGCTATCAATTCTAAACGATAGTGACTTCTGTAGGTTGAAACCGTTACATAAAAATGGCAGTAATATATATGTAACTCTACATGTGTATCCTCAAGTCTAGAACCGTACCGTTAGAAGAAGCTTTCAATATATTGGCAAACGGAATGTTTTATTTATAGGAGGCAAACAAGCCTCTTAAATGTCTGTCGTACTAAACAACCCATTAAGAGAAGATTATATTTTATTGGTTCAACACATTATACAAACAGTACCATACATTACATTTCTATACATATTACAATGACTTTAATCAAGCAGCGTTAACAAAAGGGTAAATCTCATACCTAAAGTTACAGCTCCCACCCACAACTCTCCCTCCTTCTTTACCGTCACAACAGTTAGGAAGCTCCCCAATACTTCCATTTAAACATGCCTTACAAGCCTCACTCTTCAAGTCCCTCGTACACTGCACTAGTCCGTACAATTTATTCTTCCCGATATTCTTCTCTCCTGTCGCAAACAGCTTCTCGTTATCTCCAGTAGTCGCTTTCTTTGTCAGCTTGGTTAGAAGAGCTTTCGTCTGCGTGTTGAACGTCGATGGATCACTCACATTTTTGACGTTGTACAAATAGAACCTGCTCTCGAAATCGATCTTCCCGAAGAAATTGGTCGAGGAATACTTGACAAGACAGTTGTCATACCATATTATACCTGCCTTGTTGCTCGGACACCTCTGACGTATCTGTCACGTAACACCAATATCAAGAACAATCCTTGAACTCGATATACAATAGTATAATACTATTTCGTTCTGTTATAATTGTTTTTCATATTTTTTATCAATTGATCAATAGAATAGCGTCTTCCAATCAAAAGTTAGCCAATCTCTAGTCAATAAATTTTATTTTCAAAAAATAAAAGTTGAGTATTACTTAAATTTTTTTATTAGATATGTAAAATAAAACTAATGAAACAATAGTATATCTTATGCGGTTTCTATATAAATAGCTCTAAGATGTAGAGAAATCTTATGTGAGTGTATTATATGTAAATATTGTGTGGGTACCTCAGGGATGGCGGTGGCAAGACAGGAGCTGCAATCAGAGGAAGAGGCATCACCGCGGCAAAGGGCCAAACCGTTGACGTTGTCTGGAGTGATACCAGCGGAGGAGGTGGCAAAACCGGTGGATGGAACTTTGTAAGAGAGTTGAGGAAAGAGATTGTTGAGATTTGACTCGTAGGGACTTTTCGAAGTGAAGCTTCCTTCAATGTCTGAGCACTTGTGGAAGAGAAACGCATTGTTCTGGCTTTGGGACAAAACGGTATGTATAGAGAGAATTTGTATGGCTACGAGCAAGATAGGGAACCAAACGGTGCGTTTTGATGAAGACATTGTTTTGGAAAAAAATTGATATTTTGTGGAGGGTGTATTTCTTTGATAGAAGAAGTGTTGAGGTAAGGATGTTTTTATAGTGCCTAGATGATTTTAGTCTTTGGGTGGTGGCATAAGTTATTTATTTATTTAATAATTATTAGAATGGGTAGAAGTTTTCATTTTTGTACAATTGGGATTTGGTCATTTTCAAATCATGAATGTTTCTTTGAACAAAAAAGAAGTCAATCTAGCTGATTGGCTAAGATTAAGCAATTATGTCAAAACAACAACTTTTTGTCCCTTTTGATCCAATTTTTATTTCAAGCTTCTAGTTGAAATTGGAAATGTAACGTAGAAGGCCATGAGTTGGGGGACTTGGTATTGCGGCGAATGAAAACGTCAACATTCAAAGGTTTGACTGAGTGAAACTCTTAAGATCCACCTAGTCGACATAAATTTTTTTTTATAGAAAATTTAAATATGTTTGCTTCTTTTTGAAAAATGTATTTTATTTAAATGAGAATTTTCTCCCTTTAACTTCTCAAATATATTAAATCAATTTTTTGTTTGTTTAAGGGTTTTCACTAATTTAAAAGGGATGTATACATTAATTGTTTCAGACCAAAAAAAAAGATTTGACTTACAAAACCAAAAATAAAACAGAATTAAGAAAACAAAACCAAACAAAATTGGAAAATTGTCAAGAGATTGTCTTCTACATCATCATGATCAAACAACCTTTTAACCCCTAAGAAAAGGGTATAGCTCATACCTAAGAGTACACTCTGTTCCCAAAACTCTTGCTCCTTGTTTACTGTGGCAGCACTTGGAAAGCTCATTGATACTCCATTCCAAACAACCCTTACATCGCAGTATGTCTTGCGCACACTGCACCATTGCATACAATTTCTTTGTCCCTAGCTTCTTCTCCCCTGCTGCGTAAAGCATCGATGTCCTGTTGGGTGTAGTGGCTTCCAACATGAGCTCGTAGAGGAAATCCCTCGTTTTCTTGTTGAACAATTCGGTGTTATCGATCACGTTGTTTGGGTTGTGCATAGAGAAAGCATTCCTGTAATCGTTCTTCCTCGGGGATGATTTGATCGAATTAATGAAGAGAAAACATTGATCGTACCATATTACTCTTCCTTTGTTCCTCTGACATCTCCTACGAAGCTGTCATATACATATACATACATGTTTTCTTTCATATGATGGTTTAATTTTTCAATGCAAAGATATGTCTTGATATGCAAAAGTACAAGTTTATATATGTTAAAAACAGATTTGATGATTTAATTGTTTATTATTTCAAATCATACCAAGTAAAATCACAAAATATGTTCCGGTGTTTCTTTAGATATGCGATCTAATTAATAATGCTGAAGTGACATTACCCCGGAAAGGGCGGTGGCATAGCAGGAGAGGCACTTGGAGTCGTAGGAATCGCCGCGGCACTGTAATATGACGGCGACGAAACTGGGTGCTTCGCCATAAGAGATGTGTATGAAACCATCCGGAAAATTATAGGATAAGACTTCACGGGTGAGAAAGTTGAGGTTGTCCTCGTACTTATCTCCAGGCCTATATTTCCCTTGACTGACGAGGCATTTGTGGTTAAGATAGTCATTGGTAAGGTTCAGTGACGAGACACTGCTTATGAGCAGGAGTTGTATAGCCAAGATAGGGATATAAACTAGGCGTTTGGATAAAGAATATGAAGAGTACATTGTGTTGGATTTTGATTCTTTACCCGGAGGAGGTTTCTTTTTGATAAATGAAGCGTTGAGATTGTGATGTTTAATGTAAGGAAACTCGGAAGTGTTTTTTAGCTGATTGGTCTCATTAGTAACTAGATTAACTATTTATCTCAAAACAATGATTTTGTTTACAAAATTTGATTGATCAGTTTATATTGTAGTAGAAATGTTATTCCTTGTTTGTAACAGAAATGAGAGAGGGATTGTATATCTTTCGGCGAGGGATGGGGAGGGCCAATGAAAAAGTCAAAAGTAAAAAATGTTAAACTCTTAGAAAATAGAATCATGTTGTACACCACTTGTTTTGAGCAAGGAGCGATACGATTTTGGCTCTCGGGATTTTGCTAAACTCTTCTATGCACACTGATTAATTAATTATGGTTTTGTATTTTGGATTCTGTTTTAATTCAGTTTCGGTTTAGTTTCGATTATTTGGATATAAGAATTTAAAATCAATTCGAGTATTTGTGTCGGTTCTGCTTCAATTTGATGCCTCGTCTCTTTTCTTCGGATACGGGCATTTTGTCCAGGTCTAATTATGAGCTTGATAAGTGAGAATAGACTACTCATTTATTATATATTATATCAAAAGTGATATTATTTGTACATATAATTATTTTTTGAGTGAATTTGTGCAGAGGTAAAAATGGGACATATAATTAGCTAATCGGTAATAGGTCATTTAGTCTCAGACAAACAAAAAATCAGGTTTTATCAGTAGCCCTCATTTTTAAAAGAATTACAAGAAAACCAGTTAGTTACAGAGACTATGCGCGTGTGATAGCGCCATTGACTTTTGGGGAGAGAAAAAATGAAATGACAGTTATTAAATGTTCTGTTGTAGAAGTGACATTTACGCAGCAATAGAAAGAAGGAGGAGACTTGTATTAAATGCAAACTGACAGACTGTCTTCGAATCTCTTAATTTTGAATCTATAACGCAACTTGTTGGGCAAAAATTTGAAATTTTAAGCTGCTAAGCTAATGGAATAGACACCCAATAATAAGCATGCAGCTGTGTTGCATAAAAATATACACGTAAACACATATATAAAGCGCTAAAAATAATTATAGTGTTAAGTTATTAGATCTATGTATACATGTAAATAGATATATATAGAGCGTTATTAAAATTTGTATGCATGCAAACATGTTTAAACATGTACATTAGACATTATTAACATTTGTATGCATATAAACACATATATATAGAGCGTTATTAACATTTATATATATGTAAACACATATATCGCGCGTTATTAACATTTGTATACATGTAAACGTGTATATAGAGCGTTATTAACATTTGTATACTCATATGCACGCTACAAACATTATTACAACCACCCTATCCCAACCCGTTGAACAGAACAAGTGAATAGTGCATCGTAATTGGACCCTAAATATCATTGCATGAAATCATAAAATTCGAATTTTCGATGGATTTTTACCCGGTTACGTCGAGTTTTAACCATATTTCTTCGAATTATCACCGAATCTTAACCAGATTTCGTCGAATTATCATCCTATTTTCATCAGATTTTGTTAAATTGTCATCGGAACTTAAAGAAATTCATCATAATATCAATACTAATCGTGTTGAGTTTGAAGTATTGGTTAACTCTATCCCAGCAAATTCTTCTCTGTCCGTAAATAACTGGGAAAGCAACTCTGAATTGTTTACTGCTTACAAAATAGATATCTCTTTTTTAATCGGATATTAAATCGACGCCGACATAAGAAGAAGACAACTTACAAGATACATACATAAATCTATAAAAGTTTTTGGACACCTATGCACAGCATATTGATCTCGTGAACAACAAATAGAGAGGCGCGTAAGGTTATTTTTGGCAGAAAAAGGAGCTAAAATTATCATTGTCTTTGGCCTTCAAAGCATAATACCGAAAATTTAATTTGATTCAGATCTGTTGTCTCTCACCCAATTATCTCTTATTTTTTTAATTCTGTTGTAGTCACTAATCTTGTGAAATCAATAGTCAAAACGATACATAACGAAGTTAATATTCAAATAATGTTTTAGAGATAGCTGTGACCTAAACAAACAAAGCACGAAAGGTAAGCTAAACAAAACCAAACAAACAAAATGGGAAAATAGGCAAAAACTCAAAAAACAGAATGTAAACAAAACCAAACTTAAAATTAGAAAGTTGTCAAGAGAATGTTTCCTGCATCATCAACAAAGTTACAAAGAGTCTTTTAAGTAGAAAGAAAAGGGTATAACTCATACCTAATATTACAGCTCGTACCCAAAAATCTTGCTCCTTGTTTACTATGGCAGCACTTGGAAAGCTCATTGATAGTCCATTCCAAACAAACTTTACATTCAAATATGTCTAAAGCACACTGCACCATTGCATACAATTTTTTCGTCCCAAGCCTCATCTCACCCGCCGCATAACTACCGGCTTTGGGTTTATCAGCTTTCAGCATCAAATTGTAGAGGAAATCCCTAGTCTTTTTGTTGAAGGACTCTGCATCCTCGTTGACGTTGTTTTGGTTGTGCATAGAGAAAGTATTCTCATAATCGATCATCGTTGGTGGGGAATTGATCGTACTAATATCGAGAAAACATTGGTCGTACCATATTATTGCTCCTTTGTATCCCTGACATCTCCTACGAATCTGTAATATACAGTTCATAAATGTTATGTTTCATTTTAAATCATGATTCAATTTTTCAATGCAACTATGCTTGGTGTTTCATTAAGAAAAATCTATCCTTTGGCTCTTAATATCTTATAAGAAATAATTACTTATTATAATATCGAAAAGAAAGTATAAATTGATAAATACTTTGCAATTGTTCTCTATATAGGAATGGCACTTGATAGCCATACTGTGCTTTGTCTTCTTTTTTCTTATATATTTAAAATCGGCGGTTGGTTGAAATTTCGTAAAATGCAGAGTAAAACTATATTAATGAAAAATAAATGTGCTAGTTTTAAAAACATATTATCCACGCTTACAGAGCAGAACATATTTTTTTTGTATATATGTAATTTTATGACGGAATGTTGAAGTAACATTACCCCTGAGACGGCGGTGGCATAGCAAGAACGACACTTGGACCCGTAGGAGTCGCCGCGACATTGAAATACGATGGTGACAAAATTTGGTGCCTCGCCACGAGATGTGTGTGTGAAACCGTCTGGAAATTTTTGGGTAGATGAGATATGATCAATGAGATAATTAAGGTTTTCCTCGTACTCGCTCCGTGGCTTATATTTCCCTTGATTGACGAGGCATTTGTGGTGCAAATATGCATTGGTACGGTTCAGGGATGAAATGGGGCGTATGAGAAGTTGTATAGCCAAGACAATGAAAGAAACGAGGCATTTGGATAGAGAATATGATGAATGCATTTCTTCGGATGTAATTCTTTCTTTGGATTTAATTCGGTGTTTTTGATAAATGAAGTACTGAGAGATGTTTCTATATGAGACTCAGAAGAATTTTTAGCTGGTTGGCTTCATTAGTAACTAGATTAACTGTTTATCTTAAAACGGTATTCTTTTCTTAAAAAAAATGTTTGATTGATCATTTTAGTTTTGTAGAAGAAATATTTTTTCCTTTTTTTTTGTAACAGGTAAGAGAGAGGAGTTTGGGTATCTTCGGCGAGGGATGGGGAGGGCCGATGAAATAGTCAAAGTTTAAATGTTTTACTAAGTTTAATACTCTAAGAAAATAGAATCATACGATTATAAAAACCATGTGGTACATTCCTTTGCATTTAGCTCATCTTCTATGCAATGTGATTAGGATTGTTGTCATGGGCTTGAAAACCGCGAATCTAAACAAGCTAATCATGGAAAACTAAGTGTTCAATAAATATAAACTAAACTAGGGTTTCAAATGGGCTGGCTCGTTGGATTTCAACTGCGGTGAAATGGACCAAACCGTTTTTGTTTTCCTTCAAAATTGATGTCGCTTTGGTCTTAATTTTTTTTTTTTTTTTTGCAAAGTCGACGCTCTGTTTTGGGCCTGATACTACAAAGACTCGGGTAATTTGATTGATAAGATTACCTACTAATTGAGTTCTTTATTACTAGATAGTGCGGCTGTGATGTCAAGAGACACTAATGACTGAGTGGGAGAAGACAAGATATTCCATCTAACAAGAGGTTCGATTCCTAAAATAGATCTGAGTAAAGCAAGTCATTTCGATTCTTAGGAGTTCTGCGGTGCGGTACTACAATAGAAGGACAAGATTATCACGGCTTAAGAGAAACTTAGAGGATGGCTCAAGCTCTAGTATTATCAAATGACGTTTTAATTAAATATTGATAATGTGTGTAATTGTTTTTTATTTTTGGTGTATCATTTACCAAACCTTTATTATATTTTAACTTATTTGAAAATGACTTGAGAGGAGGAGAAAGCTATGGTCTCATTATTAATAAATCAAATCAAAGGATGAGGTAAAACCAAGTTTTGGACCTTAATCATATAGGTATAGCTTGGACGTACGAAAACAGAAAAAGAAAACGAAGTAGAAAAAGGTAAAAGCTCAAAAAAACTGAATTGGAAAGCAAACAAAAACAAAACAAAATGTGTGCTACATCATTCTCAAATAGTCTTTTGAGTTCTAAGAAAAGGGTATAGCTCATACCTAAGATTACAACCCGTACCCAAAAATCTCGCTCCTTGTTTACCTTTGCAGCACTTGGGAAGTTCCCTAATAATCCATTCCAAACATTTTTGACATTGCAATGTGTCTTGCGTACACTGAACCATCGCATATAATTTCTTTGTCCCTATCATCTTCTCTCCCGAAGCGTAAAATACCAGGTTGACACTGTCGGGTTTAATGGCTTTCTGCACCAGCTCGTTGAGGAAATCCCTTGTCTTCTTGTTGAACGACCCTATATCCTCGTTCACATTGTTTGGGTTGTGCATAGAGAAAGTATTCCTGTAATCGATCTTCCTTGGTTTGTCGTCAATGATCGAAGAAATAATGAGTAAGCATTGGTCGTACCATATTATCCCCCCTTTGTGTCTGCCACATCTCCTTCGAAGCTGTTATACACATACATATTCTCAGTATTTTATGTGATTCTAGATGCATAAATTCAGGTTTTTATGTGATTGATATGTCTCGAAGGTTTTTGAAATATATATACTACAATATTGTTGTTATCAAATTTAGTCACAATTTTGTAAATAGTATAAATATGTTGCTAATAATAAAATATATATGAAATTTGTTTTCTTTATCATTTTTATGATATATATTTATATTTTAAATTTTAACAATTAACTAAAGTTAAAAAAATTATTATATTCCAATTGTCCTTTAGATATGTGACGGCTAATAAATAATGTTGAAGTGACATTACCCCGGCAAGGGCGGTGGCATAGCAGGAGCGGCACTTTGACTCGTAAGAGTCGCCACGGCACTGTAACATGACGGTGACGAAATTGGGAACGTCGCCACGCGATATGCGTAAGAAACCATCCGGAAAATCATAGGTAGGGACGGATTTGGTTAGAAAGTTGAGGTTTACCTCGTACTCATCTCCAGGCTTATAGTTCCCTTCACTGACGAGGCATTTGTGGTTGAGATAGTCATTGGTAAGGTTCAGGGACGAAACACTGCCTATGAAGAGGACTTCTATGGCAAAAATATGAATAAAAACAAGGCGTTTGGATAGAGAACATGAACAGAACATTGTTTTGGATTTGATCCTCTTTCAAGAAAGGAGAGTTTTTTTTGTTCTTTTAAATAAATGAAGCGTTGAGGTTGAGATGCTTAAGGACTTTAGGAGGCTCAGAAGGATTTTATATGGTTGGTCTCATAAGTAACTAGATTAACTACTTATCTCAAAGGGATATTCTTTTTGAGTTATCTTATGAAAAATTGATTGATCATTCAGTTTGTAGAAGACATGTTTGTTTGTTTTTTTTTTTTTTTGATAAATTTTTTTCTTTGTTTGTAACAAACATGAGAGAAGGGTTGGGTATTTTTCGGCGAGGGATGGGGAGGGCCGATGAAAAAGTCAAAGTTCAAATGTTTTACTAAGTTAAAACTCTTAGAAGATAAATTCACACGGTACCAAAATTGTTGTGCTCCACTAGTTTTGAGCTCGAGGCAATAAGATTTTGGCACTCGGAGTTTTGTTAAACTGTATCATTCATGGATCCTCAATGGAAAAAAACTAATATAGCATTAGCTCATCAACAATGCATTGTGGATTTGTGATTAGGGTTGTTGTCATGACTCCTGTATATGGAAATCGCGGACCTCAACGAGTTAATTATATGAAACTAATAAAGTATGAATGTCTTCGTACCAAAATGTTGGTATGCATGTATTAGTACAAAACATATGACTGAACCATTCAAAGCCTGAATCTTTATTGGTCCATGCATTTTAGTTGATTTAATATGGGATTTGCAAATAAATCTTCATTGATTTTAAATTAGACATATTTATCCACGTATTTAAATTCTTCTATTTTTTACTTCCACATCCATTAAATGTGTTTGTTGAATCTGAAATCCAACAACAAATTATTATAAAATAAATGGAATTCAAAAGGTTTGGTCCGTCTTGTCCTGCAGATTTAACATATTTAAACTGGTCGAAATGCCAGACAGTTCAATTTTTAATTTTTGTCTTTCCAAATCACCATCGTTTTGGTTTAGGCTTTTATTTTCCAAAAAGACGTCTTTTTGGGCCCGATACTAGAATGGTTGGATAGTTCGATGGGTGAGTTTCTTACTAGGTAGCGTGCTGCAGCAGTGCTGTCATGAACTAGTGTGGCAAAGTGGTCAAGCGGCCATAAGAATTGATTAAATATTCAAATAACTCACGTGTAAATCCTTTGTTTTTTTAATATATCCTTGCATTTTGAATTGATTAAATATATATCACATGTGACATAAAATGATAACAAAGAGCGAACTAACTTGCAGTCATTGAGAAGATGAAAACATCATCAAGTAAAACCTTTACCAAAAAATACAAAACTAGGAAGCAAAAAAAAAAAAAAAAACAAAATTGGATAGTTGTCAAGTTAATGTGTGTATCAAGTATCAACATCAAATGGTCCTTAACTCCGAAGAAAAGGGTATAGCTCATACCTAAGATTACAACTCATACCCAAAATTCTCCCTCCTTGTTTACCATCGCAGCACTTGGGAAGCTCTCTAATACACCATTCCAAACAAACCTTACATTGCAATATGTCCGATGCACACTGCATCATTGCATACAGTTTCCTCTTCCCGAGTTTCTTCTCCCCAGCAGCGTAATATGTAGACTGGTGTTCGACCACGGTTGGATAAGAGGCTTTCCGCACCAACTCGTAGAGGAAATCCCTAGTCATCTTGTCAAACGATCCAGGTTCATTGCTCACGTTGTTTGGGTTGTGCATTGAGAAAGTGTTTTTGAAATCAATCTTCCTTGGGAGTTGGGGTTTTATCGTAGAAATAACAAGAAAACATTGGTCATACCATATGATTCCCCCTTTGTTTCTCTGACATCTCCTATGAAACTGTCATATACATAGATCTTTTGTTACATTAAAAATGATTAATTTTTCTATGCAAATACATGTTTTGGTTTTCCTATATTTATTAGTTTTTTATAATGATTTTAGAATGTAGAGAAAATATAAATTTTTTTGCAACTTTCTATTAATATATTAGCATTTTGCAAATTTTCTTTTAATATATAAGCATTTCGGAAAAAAAAAACATTAATTATACTGGCACGAATCCCTTATATTGTATTAAATTTTGATGAAGTGATATAATGAAAAAAGTTTAAAAGATATATTTTTTTTGTTAATCTAAAATTCTAAATTGATTATAAGTAAACATCCTTTAATTATTTTTAGATATTCCTCAATATCAAATTTGACTATTATTCAATCATTTTACTATATTGTTTTAAAAATCGTATAAAAGTATAAATATAAATATTAAATCAAATTATCATACCGAAAAAAATAAATACTTTGATGGCATTATTAATTAAGTAACGTTTAGATGTTGGAGTGACATTACCCCGTCGATGGCGGTGGTATAGCAAGTGCGGCAATTCGACCCGAAGGAGTCACCACGACACTGTAATATAAAGGTGACGGAATCCGGACCCTCGCCATGAGAAACATGTAAAAAACCGCTCATAAGATCATAAGAAAGGACATTACGGTTGAGAACGTTGAGGTTATTCTCGTACTTATCACCATGCTTATATTTCCCTTCACTGACAAAGCATTTGTGGTTAAGGTACTCATTGGTAAGGTTTAGTGATGAAACGCTGCGAACGAGGAGGAGTTGGATGGCCAAGATAGGGACATACATGAGGTGTTTTGATAGAGAATATGAAGAGTACATTGTTTTGGATTTTGATTCTTTTTACAGAGTTTTTTTTATATAAACGAAACCTTGAGATTGAGATGTTTTTATAAGGAGACTCGGAAGGATTTTAGCTTATTGGTCTCATATTAGTAACTAGATTAACTATTTATCACAAAAGGATAGTCTTTTCTAGTGACCCTATACAAATTTGATTGATCATTGCAGTTTGTGGAAGACATGTTTTGTTTTTGTCTGTAACAGACAAGAGAGAGGAGTTTGGGTATTCTCGGCAAGAAATAAGGATGGCCGATGAAAAAAGTCAAAGTTCAAATGTTTACTAAGTTAAAAGTTTTAGAAAATAGAATCACACGATACAAACCTTGTTGTGTATATGTACCACTAATTTTGAGCGAACAAGTAGGATTTGACTCTCGAGATCTTGGTAAACTGTATCATCATCCACTTCCTCTTAAATAAAGGCTAACATTCCATGTCAAGTAGCTAATCTTTCATGCATTGTGATTAGTGTAGTTGTCATGGGCCTACAATAATTAGTGGTGTTTTTCCTCTACATAAACAAAGAGTTACTGTTCTTATTCAATAAAGTTTGAAAACAGAGTGACTGTTATTATTCAATAAAGTTTCAAACAGATGTTTTGACGCCAAAATCTCGAAATCATGTTTTTTTACCAAAACTATAAGATCATATTTCTTGTCGTATTGCGGAATCACATTTTTTTCACTAGAAACACAACTACGTTTTCTGCCAAAATCGAAATATATATATATATATATATATATTTGTCAAAATCGTTGATTTTTTCCCCCTTGAATAGAATTGATTTTTTTTTTCTGCCAAAACCACATAATCATGGATTCTCACCGAATTTGTGGAATCAAACTTTTTAACCAACACCGTAATATTTTGTTTTTTTTCTGCCAAACATGTAAAATTGTGTTTTCCTGCCGAACCTTAAGATAAAATCGCAAATAGTTATTTTATTTTACTCATTCATCGTCATGAGTTTCTTACAATTGATTTTTGCATTAGCCTTAACCAAAGCTTTAATATCATTTTTCGTGAATTTTGGTTCAACCATAAAAACTAGTTTATTTATTTATTTATTTATTTTTTATTTTTTTTGACAGCACTAGTTTATTTCTATAAATAGATTTTTTGTTAAGAATGTACAATAAGCGTATTTGAATGTAGTAGGACAGAAAAGGAAAACATTAACATAATCACTAGGCTACACGTCCAAGCCTGTATAAATGTTTCATAGATAAAATCAAACAGTCCGTTTTAAACAAAACAAAAGAGTACATTTCTTTTTATTTACCCAAAAACTGATTTAAAAATCATACAATAATTATATTGTAAATTAATGAAGACTGTTGTCATAATTATGCAGATGTATAGCAGAGACCAAAACAAAACTTTAATGTAAAGTGCAGCGGAAAAAGAATTTAAAGCTAAAAATAAGAGAATTGGAAAGGAAACAAAACAAAAACAAAATTGAAAAGTTGTGCAGCATCATCAAAAGAGTCTTCAAGTCCTAAGAAAAGGATATAGCTCATACCTAACATTACAGCTCGTACCCAAAAATCTCGCTCCTCGTTTACCGTCACAACACTTAGAAAGCTCCCTGATACTCCATTCCAAACAAGACTTACAGTCGACTAGGTCTTTCGCACACTGCACCATCGCATACAGCTTTTCCCTCCCGATTCTCATCTCTCCCGCCGCATAATATAACAACCCGATGCCGTCCACGTCGGGTTTATCAGCTTTCTCAATCAGCTGTTGGAGGATATCATTTTTCTTCTTGCTGAACAACTTTGTATCTCCCCTCACATTGTTTGGGTTGTGCATAGCAAAAGTATCCTTTTTATTGATCTTCCTTGGAACGTGGTCATTGATCATACTAACATCGAGAAAACATTGGTCATACCATATTATCCCACCTTTGTTTCTCGGACATCTCTTACGAAACTGTCAAATACATATACATACATGTTACCATTTATTTCAAATGATAATTAAATTCTTTAATGCAAAGATATGTTTTAAAAAAAAACTTTTACAACAAATTACTGAATAATGCTTGGGAACTGTCATATATAACTACTCGTAAGATAATAAACTAGAATATATCGATGATAAGATGTAAATTTGTGACCCGGTTCAAATTTGCATCAGCTATTTTATTTATTTATTAACTCTATTCTAAGTTTTGTTGTCCAACAATCATTTCTCTTTCAGTTTTAATGCGGTGTTTAACACCGCTCCACAAGATCATACATGCAAAATGTTGAAGTGGCATTACCCCGACGACGGCAGTGTCATAGCAGGTTCGACAGTTAGACTCGTAAGAGTCACCACGACACTGGAATATGATGGTAGTGGAATTGGGACCATCACTATCAGAGCTGTGTACGAACCCATCTTTAAACTTATCAGCAGCTACAAATCGGATGAGAGAGTCGAGGTCTTTCTCGTATTTACTTCCCGGCTTGTATTTTCCTTGATTAACCCGGCATTTGTGGTGAAGGTACCCATTAGTAAGATTTAGGGATGAAACGCTGCGTATGAGGAGTTGTATAGCCAAGATATAGAAAGAAACGAGGCATTTGGATAGAGAATATGAAGAGTACATTGTTTTGGATTCTTTTTTTCTAATAGGAGCTCAAGATGTTTTTGGGAGACTCAGATAGATTTTAGCTCATTGACACATTAGCAACTGGATTAACTATTTGTCTCAAAGCAATATATTCTCTTTTGGTTACTGTATACATGATTCTATTGATTATTCCAGTTTGTAGAAGAAATGTTTCTTTTTGGTCTGTAACAGACAGGAGAGAGGGGTCGGGTATTTTTCGGCGAAGGGTGAGGATTGCCAATGGAAAAGTCAAATTTTAAATGTTTTACTAAGTTAAAAATCTTAGAGAATAGAATCACCACTAGTTTTGATCAAGGATCAAAGTTTTAGAGTTTCTGTATAATTATTTTCACATTTGTTCACCTCTTTAAACATTATTAGGGAATAAAATACATAGGAATTTATTTTTTTAGCTTTGAATGCTATAATTAAATACGTCATTCTCTTTCTATTTAGAACTAAGTTGGGTTATAGAAATCAAAGTCTTCCATTTTCCATTTACCAAAAGATTTTTTTTTCCAACATATTGATGAACTAACATTCCATGGCTATTGGGTTTGTTTAACATTCCATGAACTAACGTTCAATCGGATTTAGACGAGTCGTTTTTGTTGGGTTTGTTTAAATTCTGGTTGTCTCAGTTTTCGGGTCACCAAGTTTACTCTTATTAATAATTGAAGTAGAGGAAGTCCTCGAACTTTTTGAGGGTGAGACTGATATGATTTGAAGAAATGTTTGCTACGTACATTGTTTTCCCTCTTTCTTTTCAAAATTAGGTTACTGAATTTGTTTGCAGTGCTCCACTGTAACTATTTTCTAATATATTTTTTTTATTTTTGATAATAATATGTTAGTATGTTGTTATATAAGAAAAAATGTTAATCATTGCCTATTATTTCATAAATCCTTCTGAAGTTTGCTAAATTCTTATATATCTGGAAATAAGAACGAAACAGAGGAGAAGGAAACTTTGTCTTTAAATAAAAAAAACAAAGAAAATCAATTAAAGGGTAAGGGATAACGAAGTTTGGGATTGGGACCCTATTCATAAGGTATAGTTAGGACCTAATCAAATAAAATAAAAAGAAGTCTAAGCAGTAAAAGAAACAGAAAAAATGGTAAAAAGCTCAAAACGAGAAACTAGAGAGATAGCAAAACCAAAGCAAAACTGGAGAGTTTCCAAGATGCTGCATCATCATCAAAGAGTCTTTAATTAAGTCCTAAGAAATGGGTATAGCTCATACCTAAGATTACAAATTGTACCCACAACTCTCGCTCCTTGTTTACCAGCGCAGCACTTAGAAAGCTCCTTGATACTCCATTCCAAACAATCCTTACAACTCAATATGTCCTTCGCACACTGCACCATTGCATACAGTGTTTGCTTCCCAAGCCTCATTTCCCCCGCCGCGTAATATAGAAAGTTGATGCCGTCCACATCGATTCTATCAGCTTTTCCAATCAGCTTGTAGAGGAAATCCGTCGTCTTTTTGTTGAATGAGTTTGCATTCCCTCTCACGTTGTTTGGGTTGTGCATAGAAAAAACATTCTCGTAGTTCATCCGTCTTGGGGAATTGTCATTAATCATACTAACATCGAGAAAACATTGGTCGTACCAGATGATTCCTCCTTTGTTTCTCGGACATCTCCTACGAAACTGTAATATATACAAATATACAATACATATACATAAGTGTTTTGGTATGAAGCATATGAGATGACCATACAAGATGTATGCAAAATGACGAAATGTACCTAAAAGTTGTCCTGTAAATCTATCAAATGATATGATATAGAAGATTTGTCTAATTGAATGATATGTAAATACCATCATATTAAGTGTTGTGCTAAGTAAAAATCAATTTAAAAAACAATTCTAACATTTCAATATAAGATTACCGAGTACCTTAGTTTTTTTCACCAAAAGAAAAATCAAATAGTTGTGACTTGTTTTTAACTAGAGAGATGACTTAATTTATATATTTTAACAAGAAATTTTTGGACGTAAATCATCTTTTCCAAACGAGGATTGGAACTAGTTGTGCAAGCTTCAGTTTCCTTTGGAAGGACTAAGCCAACACCTAGCATACCACAAATTAAGATATGGTTGTATAGTATATATAACAGTTCTGTTAATTGTTATCGATTGATGTGTATGACCCAACTCACAGCTGTGTTAGCTAGGTTCCTAGGTTATAGACTACATATGCAAAAATATTGAAGTGTCATTACCCCGGCAAATGCGGTGGCATAGCAGGAGTTGCACTTAGACCTGTAAGAGTCACCGCGACATTGGAATATGATGGTGATGGATTTGGTATCCCTACTATTAGACATGTGTGTGAAACCATCTGTAAAGTGATGGGTAGCGACACTACGGCTGAGAGTGTTGAGTTCTTTCTCGTACTCACTTCCTGGCTTGTATTTTCCTTGATCAACGCGACATTTGTGATTTAGATACTCATTAGTAAGATTCAAGGATGATGCACTGCTTATGAGGACTTGTATAGCCAATATATTGAAAGAAACGAGGCATTTGGATAGAGAATATGAAGAGTACATTGTTTTGGATGTTTATTTTTTTCCCAGAGGAGACAAAAGAATTTTAGCTGATTCGTCTCACTAGTAACTAAATTAACTATTTTTTTCAAACCTATATTTGTTTTTGATTATATTAGTTTGTAGAAGGAATTGTTTCTATAACAGAAAGGAGAGAGATGAGTTGGGAATTTTCGGCGAGGGATGGGGAGAGCCAATGAAAAATTCAAAGTTCAAAATTTTTACTAAGTGAAAAATCTTAGAAAATAGAATCACCACTAGTTTTGATCGACGAGCAATGTGAATTTGTTAAACCGCATCATTCCCATTTGATACAAATGATGATTTATTTTTTAGAATGTCTTTATTAGATGAATCATTGAGGGGTTGGAAATTCATTTAAATCACTTTAAAATATAATTCCATTAGCTGAAAACATGTTTCAAACACAAGACGTAATTATATTTCGTAAATTAAGTATGACTATTTGCAGAAATTGAAGATACAGATGCTGGAAAGATCAGAAGATGCATCAGATCTTGGATCATGCATATAGCAGAGTACTTGACAAAACACGATAGCTGCTGCGTCAGAAGTCTTGCTAAGCTGGATAGACTTGCAAAAATACAAATATTCTACGTTGGTTTTGGAACGAATAAACTTGAAGATTAAGTTTGTCACCTATCAATAATCGCTTTAAGAATATATATAGTCGTCAACACTGAGGATCGCAAGCTTTTCAAATAGCAAGTTTAAAGGTGAGTGTTCCTTCCATTGATTCATGGTTGTGTGAGATCATTGTAGTGATAGTAGAAGTCGATCGGGATAACAATCTAAAGAGTAGTTAAGATTGTGTAACACTGATCAAATATTATCATTGTAAAAATTAACTTAACATATTTTTAGTGAATAATAACATCAGACGTTGGTGTTTCCAAATCATAGAATGTTGTTGTGCGAGTTTGTCACACTTACAAAAACATGCATATCTCATCAAATGACGTTGCTGAAGTATTGATAATGTTGCTGGTAAATGTTGATTTCTATACGTACATTATTTTACGTACCAATCCTTCTTAAGTTTGCTATATTTTTGAAAACTTATCTGGAAATAAGAGACAGAGGGGAGAAAAAAGTATTGTCTCTATGAGCCATAACCCTATTCATAGTCATAGGTAGGACAAAAACAAAACCAAAAAAACAAAGCGAACCAGGGGAGAAAAATGGTAAAGGCTTAAAAAAAGAGAATTAGAAACTAGCAAGTAAAGAAAACCAAAACAAAATTGGAAGTTGTCAAGACTCAAGAGAATGTGTTCTGCATCATCATCAGTCTTTAAGTTCTAATAAAAGGGTAAAGCTCATACCTAATATTACAACTTGTGCCCAAAAATCTTGCTCCTTGTTTACCGCCGCAGCACTTAGAAAGCTCCCTGATACTCCATTCCAAACAAACCTTACAGCTCTCTATGTCTTTTGCACACTGCACCATTGCATATAGTTTTTTCGTCCCAAGCCTCATTTCCTCTGCCGCGTAATATAAAAAGTTGATGCCGTCTTTGTCGGGTTTATCAGCTTTCGCAATCAGCTTGTAGAGGAAATCCCTTGTCTTCTTGTCAAACGACTGTGTATCCTCTCTCACGTTGTTTGGGTTGTACATAGAGAAAGTATTCTCGTAATTGAGTTTCCTTGGACTTCGGTCATTGACCATACTAACATCGAGAAAACATTGGTCGTACCAAATTATTCCTCCTTTGTTTCTCGGACATCTCCTATGAAACTGTCAAATACAAATCCATGGAATTTTGTTATAGTTTCAATGATGATTTAGTTTTTCAATGCAAGGATATATATGCTTTGTTATTCTAATTTTTTTTTTAACAATAATAGGTTTAAATATTCAAAATAAAAGAATGTAGAGATATTATAATAAAATTTGCAACCTTTCTTAATTTATAAGCATTTAGTAAACTATAACTAAACATCAACTTTTCTTGATATACATATAAGATGTTATCAACACGGACATGTCTATGTTATTCATAAGATATATCCATGTCATTTTTAATTCTCATTAACGTTTCCATGTACGTAAGATAATTTGCAAAATTGTGATGCTCAAGTCTCAGTAATTGTTCCCTTAAAAAGCAATATTATGTAGTTATTATCGGTTCATGCGTATGACCCGGCTCAAATTTGTGTCAGCTGGTTCTTAACTCGAATCTGAGTTTTGGGTTTTCTATAGCTATTTCTCGTTTTCCTTTACGTAGTGTTTTACAGCGAACCACAAGATATATTTTATATAAAAAAATGTTGAAGTGGCATTACCCCGGCAACAGCAGTGGCAAAGCAGGAGCGGCACTTGGGCCCGTACGAGTCACCGCGGCACTGGAATATGATGGTAACGTAATTGGGAGGCTCACCATTAGATATGTGTATGAAACCAGTTGGAAACTTATTGGTAGAGAGGTCATGGGTGAGAGAGTTGAGGCTTTTCTCGTACTCACTTCCTGACTGGTATTTCCCTTGACTGACGCGGCATTTGTGGTGCAAGTAGGCATTGGTAAGGTTCAGCGATGCAACATCGCCTATGAAGAATAGTTGCATAGCCAAGACATGGAAAGAAACAAGGTATTTGAATAAGGAATATGAAGTGGACATTGCTTTGGATTCGATTCTTTTTGTTAGATGTGTTTTTTCGATAAATGAACTGTTGAGATTGAGATGTTTATATAGGAGAGTCGGAAAATTTTAGCTGAATTGCTGCATTAGTAACTAGATTAACTAATCACCTCGAGATGATATTCTTTTTTTGGTTTCATCAATACAATTTTTGATTGATTATTTCACTTTGTAGAAAACATGTTTTGTTGTCGGTAACAGATAGAAAAGAGTGGTTGGGTACGAATTTTATGGAGATGGATGGGGAGACCGATGAAAAAGTCAAAGTTTAATACTCCGGATGTTCCTAAAAAATTGATTGTCCAGAGTTTTATATGTTAAGAAACATTGTTTAATTATTTGATAATCACTTTTTTTAGTAAACATTTTGTCTTATAACTTTGAACAAATAGTAATGTAAACCGCTTAATTGTTTTCAATCATTGCATGTCAAAGTTTACAATTTATTAATATTAATCAATAGTAAAAACTAAAGAAAAAGCCTAATTAAAAATCCATATTTGTGGAACAAACCAAAAAATCTAGAAGAGGGAGTAGTTTACTAAGTTAAGATCTTAAAAAATATAATCACACTATACAAACCTTGTTGCGTATGCCCCACTAGTTTTGAGCAACGAGCAAAAATATTTTGCCGATCTCCCGATATGTTAAAGTTAATGTGAACACCAAGAATATTAATTAGCACATTTTATAGAATAAAGAGAAGAAAGCTCTAGCTGCTCTGATTTTTATATCATAAAGAGAAATACATCACATTAAAGAGGGACACAATTCTAAAGAATCAGAGTATAGATGAAGAAGGCGTCAGGCGGAGCCAGTGTTGTGTATTCCAAAATCAATAGCTTAATAAGTAAACCTTCAACGGGTGTGCTGAGTGTTCGTAAAGATCTGATTGCTCCTTTCTCATAGTAGGTGATGCAATAAATCGAAGCTGAGCTTCTTGCCTGTTTAAGGACGATGATCAAAGCCAGCTTAGGAAGACTGAGCAAGGTGCAAATCCCATGAATGGTTATGGGAGCGGATATGTACACCACCACCAGGTTTCATTGTAGATTTCACCGAGAAAACATGTATTAATTGTCTTCGACTAATCCCCACGATCTGAGCCCATAAAGGATTGTGACTCGGGTTCCTTTTTTATCTTGAAAAGGAACCCGATTCCCAACCAACTAGCCTCTTGGTGAATAACCATAAAAGAAGCTTTCTTCTCTGCTACTACTCATCTGATTGTGTAGATTCACATAAAGACATGCATTATTATTCTGCGTACATCTAATGGATTTAGCGACTCAAATGACTCTATTAGGGCATAATCTACAATTATGACTTGCTTATAGTAAATAGCATGCAGAATCACTTTTTAAAAGCATGAAATCTTTGATGCATATTCTGAATAGGAAAAACAACGGAATCACTTTTTCAAAAAGTGAAATAATAAAAAATGTAATACACCATGCATCATCGTTGTCTCCTTATTAATAACAATTCAATTAAATGAAAAGGTGAGGAATAGCAAAGTTTTGGACCTTATTAACAGGTAGGTATATGGGACTTATACAAACAAAAACATGAAAGCAAAGCTGGAAAAGAAACAATACAAAAACAAGATGGGGAAGGAAACAAAACCAAAATAAAATTAAAGAGTTGTCAATAGAATATTTGCTACATCATTACAAAGAGTCTTTAAGTCCTAATAAAAGGGTATAACTCATACCTAACATTACAACTCGTACCCAAAACTCTTGCTCCTTGTTTTGCTTTGCAACACTTTGAAAGCTCCTTAATAATCCATTCCAAACAAACCTTACAATGAAATATGTCTAGTGTACACTGCACCATTGCATACAGTGTGTTCTTCCCGAGCCTCTTCTCCCCTGCTGCATAATATAGCAAACCGGTGCCATCCGCTTTGGGTTTATCCGCTTTCAATACCAGCTCGTAGAGAAAATCCTTCGTCTTTTGGTTGAACGACTCAGTATCCCCATTGATGTTGTTTGGGTTGTGCATAGGAAAAGTATTCTCGTAATCCATCTTCGTTGGAGGAGAATTGATCGTACTAACTTTTAGAAAACATTGGTCGTACCATATTATTGCTCCTTTGTATCTCTGGCATCTCTTACGAAGCTGTCATATATCCATATATGTTTTGTTCATCGATTATTTATATTTTCAATGCATAGATATGTTTAGGATTTCTTACTTATTTCATAATAAATGATTCATGGTTTGAAAATATAAAAGAAAGTAGAGATAGATTAAGTTTTTCACTTTTTTGCAACTTTTTCATAATAATAATAGCACTAGATAGCCAAATTAAAGAGAAAAAAAAAACTTAATATGGTTATCTATGTTAAATGTACTATATGTATGACGGCTAGCTAATTAATAATGTTGAAGCGACATTACCCCGGCAACGGCGGTGGCATAGCAAGAACCACATTTAGACCCGTAGGAATCGCCACGACATTGGAATACAATGTTGACAGAATTCGGAGCCTCGCCATGAGATGTGTGTCTGAAGCCGTCCCGAAAATGATACTTAGAGATATGATCGATGAGATAATTAAGGTTTTCCTCGTACGCGCTTCCCGGATTATATTTCCCTTGATTAGCGAGACATTTGTGGTGCAAATATGCATTGGTAAGATTGAGGGATGAAACACTACGAATGAGGACTTGTATAAACAAGATATAGAAACAACCGAGGCATTTGAATAGAGAATATAATGAGTACATTGCTTTAGATTTTTTTTTCTTTTCGAGAGGATGTGTTTTGAGATAAATGAAGCCTTGTGGTTGAGATGTTGGAAAGAGAGACTCGGAAGGATTTTAGCTGACTGTCTTCTTTAGTAACTAGATTAACCAATAATCTCAAAACGATTATTTTTTGTTTACCTATATACAAATTCGATTGATCATTTCAGTTTGTAGAAGAAATGTGTTTTTTTTTTCTCTATCACAGAAAGGAGAGAAGATTTTGGGTATTTTTCGGCGAGGGATAGGGAGGGCTGATGAAAAAGTCAAATGTTTCATTAAGTTAAAATTTGTAGAAAAAGTCAAAGAAAGCTTTCTCCGTTTCTATATATAAAAAAAAATCCAAAGCTCTGTACAAGAAGGAAAATAAGATCCTATATACGAAAATCCGACGACTAACCTTACTAGGATCATAAGAGTAGCCAGATTTAGACAGATCAAATACTTGAAAATCTTAGAATGAAGCTAAGCAAACATCGAGAAATCCAATAAAAAAAACACTATGAAAAGGATGAAGCCTCGTTGATAAACATTTTTTTAGGTTAATTATGACCATTTTTATCTCATATGATGGCGTCGAGCAGCCCTCATTTGGGAATGTCAAAGACAAAAAAGATAGCACAAAAGTATATCTGTGTCGAAGTGATGTAGGGGAAATAGTGGAGATAATATATGGGTGTGTAGTCCAAATAGACAGACTTCTTAAGTCGGAATATGAATAAATTTCACTTTGTTTTCAAATGTGTGTTATCTATCATAATAAGAATCGCATATTTGTCGATAATCCAGCCAGGTCTTTGTTGTGGTCAATTGGGTGGTGCTTGGCCGATTAGAATTGTAGTTTGCTTACAAAGTTAAAACTCGTTCAATACGACAGTTATTTAGTTACTAAGATACATGTGATGATCATACTATAGTCGTTTGACCAATTCTTACAAAACATATCCAGAAAATACGAATGAGAAGAGAGGAGACGTTATATTATATTATCTCTTTACTAATAATAAAATCAAAGGTTCAATAAATAATAGAGGTACAACTAGGACCTAACAAACAAAAGAGGAAAGCGGAGCAAAAACCCAAAACCGATAATGGAAGGTAATAAAAAGGGAAAATTGTCAAGAGAATTGTGGGTTGCATCATTCTCAAAAAAAAGTTTAAGTCCTAAGAAAAGGGTAAAGCTCATACCTAAAGTTACAGCTTGTACCCAAAACTCTCCCTCCTTGTTTACCGTCACAACATTTGGGAAACTCGTTGATAATCCTTTCCAAACACTCCTTACACAATGTCTTAAACATGAATACATCTCTCGTACACTGAACCATTGCGTACAACTTCTTCGTCCCAACCATCATCTCCCTGGCCGCGTACAGTGCCATCATTCCGTCCTCCATGTTGTCTTTACGGTTTGCTTCCAACATCAGCTGTTCTAGGAAAGCCATTGTCTCCTTGGTGAAAGACTTTGCATCACTAGTTACCTTGTTCGGGTTGTGCATATAACAATTGTTATCGTAATTCACCTCCATGACCTCGATTGAAGTAATCTCGACAAAACACTGGTCGAACCATATTATTCCACCTTTGTTTCTTGGACATCTCCTACGAAGCTGTAAATTACATAATTATATATCAACAAAATAATCTAGAAAAATATTCTATCAATATTATCTCAATTAAGCCATCAAAGCAGAGTATCATGAGTTATCAGAATTATTACCATTTTAAGAACAAAACTGAAACTATATTGAATTTTTTCCAGTCGAAGTTATGTCTAATTTCTTTCTTTCGAAATTATTATACATGGGAATTAATTTATAGGCAGATGAAAAATTGATAACCAAAAAGAAAAGAAGTGCAATTATCAAAAATACCACTAAAATGAAATACTATAATTAGTTTTTTTTTTTCTCAAAAATACAATGAAAATAAAACTAAACTTTCAACCTTCAAAATTAAACCCTAAATCCTAAACAATAAACCCTAAAAACTAAAACCTAAATCCAAAATTTAAATTATAACCCTTTAAAAACCACTTTTATATGTGGTATTTTTGAACTAAAAAACTTGTAATGATATTTTTGAAATAAAAAAGATAGTGATGGTATTTTTGGAACAAGAACTTGGGTTAGTGGTATTTTTGGGAAGATATTAATATAAAAATAGTAATAGATCAAACATAATCTAACAAAAGATTGCTTTTAATTTTCTCTCATATTTTTATAACAATATACAAATCAATGCCAAAATTTTGAAACTCCTCTGAAATTAACGTGTTTGCGAAATGTAAACATTTTCTTTGAAAGATGAATTCGCAAATTATATACAAGGGATATTGAATACAAGTGACGTTACCCCGGAAATGCCCGCGGCAAAGCAGGAGCGGCACTTGGACTGGTAGGAGTCTCCACGGCACTGGAATATGATGTTAACCATATTGGGACTTCCCATAGCAGTTGTCATGTGACCAAACCCGTTGCGAAAAGTTGAGTTAGTAATCAAATCGATGTGAGAGTTAAGGTTTTTCTCGTACTGACTTCCTGGCTTATATTTTCCTTGATTGACGAGGCATTTGTGGTGCAGATACGCATTGGTCAGGTTCAGGGACGAAACATTGCGTATAAGGAGCAGTTGTGTGGCCACCCCGGCCAAGAAAATAACCAAATCAAGTTGTTTTGATAAAGAATATGAATTGTGCATTGTTTTTGGTTTTGATTTTTTTTTCCAGAGTTAGATGTTTTCCCCATATATGAAGGGCTAAGATTGGGATGTTTCTATATATATAGAAGACTCAAAAGGATTTAGCTGATTGGATTTATTATATTAGTAACTAAATTGACTAATTATTACAAAACTGTAATATTTTTGTTTAATTTACCTTAACCTTATACAAATTGGATTTAATCATTTCAATTTGTAGAAAAAATGTTTTTCTGTCTGTAACAGATAGGAGAGAGGATTTTAGTATTTTCGGCCAGGGATAGGGAGGGCTGATGAAAAAATCAAAGTTCAAAGCCTTTGCTAAATTAAAACTTTTAGAAAACAGAATCATATGATACCATTGGTTTTGTGCAAGGAGCAGCATGATTTTGGGTTGATTTGTGAAGCTATTTTAACTTTAACGTAGACTTTTTTTTTTTTTGAATACCAAGAGGTTCTGGGCCAAAACATGCATTGTGATGAAGTGGAAACTTATTAGCACTATTTGTTGATCCAAATACATTAATTGGAACTTACATATTTTTCTAACAGGATAAACGTAACACAACGGAAATACACCATGAATCTTCTTCAACGACATAATATGGGTTATGAATAATTACGTATGCCGATGACATCTTCACCAAAACTGACCCTTACATCCAATAATACATCTCTTTCTGATCGGTTAAACATTTCTTGCTTGTTAGAAGTTTGCAATATCTTAAACTAGAAAAAGACCCACGCGATGCGTGGGAATAGTTTGAATATATTTTATCGTAAGAAAACTAAATTAGTTTAACCTAAAAACATATTAGAACCTATATATATTAATTATAAAGAAAGTATTAACAAAAAAATCTTTCAGATTATTCATTAAAAGTATAAGCAAAAAAATCTTCCAATTTATTTCTTCTCTACAATGACTTAAAAAGTTGTAATTTACATGTTTAAATAAATCATATGATTTGGCAAAATATTATCAATATATTTGAAAGGCTTGTGAATTAACATTTCCAGGGATATTGGAAAAATAATGAGAGAGCTTTGTGTTAAAAAAAAAAAAAAAAAGAGGACGGTGGACAAGAGGTGAAAAAATTAGAGAGTTGAGATTATATTTTGTTATCTTAAAAGTCAAATACTTGTTGATTATTACAATATTACCATCACAAATAGAATTTATACAAAAATTATAGAAAACAAAATAGTACTCTTAAATCCTAGTAACTAAATAAATTTAATAAAATAATTTATTATCACTTGAGTTTCACATTTTTGCCAAATTTGTAATAAATTGTAAATTAATGTAGTGAAATATTTTGTAACTTATGTGTATCTATAGAGGGTAACAAAACTTTGAATTAAAGTACCACAAAATAATGTTGGACTACCTTTATAAAGCTAAGAAAATGTAAAGACAATACATTAATTATAAACTTTAATAGAAATCTAATGATGTAAGATACTATAAAAAATATTTAATCTATATTTTACAAAAAATTTCAAGTAGTATAAAATATTAAATAATAAAAATAGACGTTAAAAGAAATAAAAACATAGAATATTTATAACATGGATGTTATGTTAAATTATCATTTATATCTCTTGCATCCATTTTGATAATTTGATTTATTATTTTTTTATGTAATAGTTAGTTCACATAGCTATTAGTCTTTTAAATTAGAAAGGAAATTATAAGTATCCGTAGTCATAATTATAAACGGTAGTATTCATAAGTGTTGGAAAATCGAATTTATAAGAGCTTATTCAATATTATCTTTTTTCTTTATGTTACATGTTTACTTTAAAATAATGGAAATTTAGGTATATTAATTTTAAAATATATAAAATGTCGAAATAGTTATTTAAAATGTAGGCGACTTAAACATCATTAGAGCATCTCCAACTCCACTCTATTTTTTTCTCTAAACTCTATTATAAAGCACAATTCTCTCCAACCCTACTCTATATCTCACTCTAAAATAGAGTAAAAGAGAAGATTATTCTATATATAGAGGAACTCTATTTTTTTTTACAATACCTCTATTTTAGAGTAGGGTATAGAGTGATACATTATAGAGAAATCATGCTCTATTTTAGAGTAAAATATAGAGATTTACATTGGAGATGGTCTTAGGAGGTGATTTATACAATTAATGCTCCATTAATAAAAAAATCATTTATTAATAAGAGGATGTAAGGATGTTCATTATTTATTTGAAAGTGAAAAGAAAAACAAAATAAGAAAAATAAATATTAGAATATCTAATATATGTTAATTCTCAATTTTAAAACGACAGTAAAAAGGAAATCTGAAAATACATAAAATAATTTTACTATAAATTATTATAAGAAATTCATTTTCCACAATATTGGTGTCAAATAAGATTATTGGTTTTATTGTGGTAAATTAATATGAATATATAAACACTTTGATAATAACTAAGATTAGAAATAAATATTGGTGTCTTATATGAATTTTATTCTCTACATTATATTGGTATTAAAAAGTATGGTGGAAAAGAATCAAAACTTAAAATATTGAAAAGTAAAGTAATGGAGAGATATTTATTGATTTAAATAAAAAAGAAATTAGTTATGGTATATTAATGTGGATACTTTTTTTTTTTTGGGCAAAAAGATTAATTCTCATTAATCGAAATTAGGTAGCATTACAAGCAGAAAAGGAAAGAGCTTCCTTAGCCAGCAAATCTGCTCGGCGATTAAGGGATCTAGGTATAAAATTGAAAGAGCAGACATTGAAATTTAAAGATAGAAGGAGGATATCGTGTAGAATCCCATGAAGTTCCTTGAGGTGGATCTTCTGATTTAGAGCTTTGACTAGTAATAACGAGTCTGAAGCGAAGAAAAGGGTTTTGAGATCCGATTCCACCGCAACTCCAACAGCGGCGAGAGTTTCCATGGCTTCTGCGATCAAAGGAGATCCGACGGAAGACGACGAAGCTGAGCCTTCCACGAAGGTGCGATCTTGCGGATCCTTAAAAGTCCAACCAAATCCAGCCTTCCCATCTGCTTTCCATGAGGCATCAGTGAAGCAGGTCATACAATTGGAGGATGGAGGTGGTTTGGGAGTAGGATGGCGAACAGGTTTTGCTTGGTGGAGAGTGGATTGGGCAGCTTGCCACTCTTTGGCTCTTATCAAGGCAATATTCAGAGCCTCCTCTTCCGTGATCTTCTTTTTACTGAAGATAAGTTGGTTCCTTGAGGTCCATATTGTCCAGAATATCCAAGGAGCCAAAGGCCCTTCTCCTATTCCAGTGGGAGGGAGGCAGATGAGTTTGTTTGCAGCGAGTATTCCATCTTGGATGGAAAGGGTGGCCACAGCATTCAGTGTTGCATTCATCGGAGCCAGAGACCACACTTTCTTTGCAAAAGGACAAGAGAGGAAGAGGTGTTCTACCGATTCATCTTCTTGACAGTGTGGGCATTTGATTGAGTCATTCACCTGTCTGTGGAGGAGGTTCTGGCCAACAGGGAGAGCATTTTGAGCCGCTTTCCAAAGAAGGAGCTTTGTCTTTTGTGAAGTTTTGAGGGACCAGATGTTAGCTTTCCAGTTGAAAGTCTCAATTGTGCAAGGTTCTGGGGCTGCTTCAGGTTCATTGGAATCATTATATGCCTCAAAGTAGCCGGACTTTGCGCTATATATACCATCATTGGTTGGGAGCCAAGCCCAAACGTCGGATGCTCCCATTTTGCTTGGTCTCAGAGATGTGATCTCAGTTTCGTAACAAGGGAGAATTTTCCTAATAAGGTCTATGTTCCAATCGCTGGTACCAGGGAGAAGAAAGTCAGATACCTTCATATCAAGGGAAGCCTCTGTAGGAGGTCCCATAGGGGATAGAGGAGCCTTAACAGAGAGCCATGTACTTCTCCAGATCGGGGTGGATTCACCATTTCCAATGAGTTTCCCCAGATGTGTCTTGAGGAGATCTCTCCCTAAGCAGATGCTGCGCCAACCATGAAAAATATTAAGTATAGCAATTCTCTATACACATAAGCAGATGTTAGTGTCTTGAGGAGATCTCTCCCTAAGCAGATGTTAGTGTCTTGAGGAGATCTCTCCCTAAGCACATTAAGTATTAATGTGGATACTTAAGAGATGAAAAATATGACATATGTCAAGCATTTGAAGTGCCAAATGTCAAAAAATGAATTTTAAATTATTTTATGTATTTTATTATTTCTTCAACTCCAAAGTCTGCTCCAATTTCAAAGTTAACGTATATTACGACTTAACATTGGTAGAATGATGTAATATACATGTATCATTGATTAAATCAACATACGGCTTATAGCTCTAACATAATATTAATATTAATACGGCAAATTAAATTTTGGTTTTTGATGGATGTTGGGTCTCTCATGTTGAGATTTGAGATTGGTATGTCGTATTGTGCTATTCTTATAATGATGAAATAAATTATAGGAAATTAATACTTAAATGTAACCTCCACCATGAGAAAATACATTCATTTTTTAAAAAATTAAATTATGGAGTTACAATAATAGTTAATAGTGTGTTTGAATGCCATTGAATAGAGAAAAAAGTTAATACACAATTTATATGATTTAGGTTACAATTTAGTATTAAAAGGTGGATTAATGTGTATGATTAAAGAATTAAATGTATTATGTTTGTGGTTTAATAAAATATAGATAAAGTCAATTTTATTAATATATTCATTATCTTTTTATAAAAAATTCAATTATCATGAGATTAGTAAGATATACAACATAGTTTAAACATAGGGCAATATGCTATATGTAAGAAATAAAATTAAATTAAAAATATAACATATTATCGCATATACTTAAACTATTTTATCGCCTAATAATTTGATCTTTATTTTTTACTATAAATTATTTGAAAATATAAAATGTAGGAAAATATCTCTTTATTCAACAATATCCTTAAATTATTTTATCATCAAATAATTTTGATTTTATTCTATAATTTGATTTAAGGACTATTGTGGTTATTGTTCTCAAAAATGCAATATACAGATTTATTGCACTCAAATTAAAAAATAAACTGAAAATGACATGTGTCAAAAGAGTAGAACGCCAAATGTCACATTCTTAGAGCTTGTTTTGAAGAAACCTTGTCATATACTTTAAATTATTTTATCATCAAATAATTTTGATTTTATTTTATAATTTGATTTGAGGACTATTGTGGTTATTGTTCTCAAAAATCAAATAAACAGATTTATTGCACTCAAATTAAAAATAAACTGAAAATAACATGTGTCAAAAAAGTAGAACGCCAAATGTCACATTCTTAAGGCTTGTTTTGAACTAAATTAAAAGATACAAAGTTAAAATAAAAGAGGACAAGTGTCATCAAAAGAGAGTGCCAAATGTCGCAATGTTAGGAAAAGTTAAAAAAAACCTTCTCATATTATATAAGATGTACAGGTTTGATAGAGCTACGGATGATCACGAAATTATCTTTTCAATTGGGGAGTAGTTTTACCCGTTGAATTACTTGACAATTGTAGGATCATGTCCAAATACCTCTAGAAACGGTCAATGAGACCGCTCAGATGAAGAAATGACGCTAAAATATTCGTCTAAGCTAACTACACGTGACGCTAAGAGATAGTCACCAACAATTAATAAGAATATGTGGAATTAACAAATTTAAGATGCCAAGAATAATAGAGCTTCTTATTCATAGGTAATTAACAGCTGTAATTAATAACCAAATAAAGAGTCAGGAATAACACAGCTTGGGATCACATTCATAGGTACACTATGATCTAAGCCAACATATAGGGAAATCGAAGGAGAAACAAAAAATAAAAAAATAGTAAAAAGATCAAAAAACCGGAACTGAAAGTAAACAAAACTGAAGTAAAATGAGTAAGGTGTCAAGAGAATGTGTTGTGCATCGTCATCCAACAGTTGTTGAATCTGAGGTCCTTAGAAAAGGGTAAAGTTCATACCTAAAATCACAGCTCGTACCCAAAATCCTTCCTCCTTGTTTACCGTCGCAACACTTGGGAAACTCCTTTATAATGCTTTCCAAACACTCCTTACACATCTTAGGCCTAACTAGATCTCTCATACACTGAACCATTGCGTACACCTTCTTTGTCCCGACCCTCTTCTCCCCTGATGCGTACAGTGCCATCTTGCCATCGTCCATGTTGTCTTTACTGTTTGCTTTCAACGTCAGCTCTTCGAGGAGAGCCACTGTCTCCTTGTTGAATGACTTTATATCGCCACTTACCTTGTTTGGATTGTGCAAGGAGAAATTGTTCTCGTAATTGATTTTCGAGATGTTGAAGTCGATGGCACTGACTGAAGTAATCTCGACAAAACATTGATCGAACCATATTATCCCACCTTTGTTTCTCGGACATCGCCTACGAAGCTGTCATTTACAATTTACATAGTTAAATCATGTTTCGACGTGTTAAAATAGTTAATACATTAAAATATGAAATATAGCTAACATAATACTACAAAAAAATATATATAAGAAACAGTCATTGTGTTTTCTAACTAATTCATGAAACTGTATTAAAAATAGTTTTCTACAAGTTGAAAATGAGAATGAAGAATCTGTTACACATAAAAATAGTGGAATCACGTTTCAAAACGTGAACAAATGGTATACCATTCGTCACCTTTTCTAATTACCTAATTTTGACACAAAAATGTTATTTTTGCAAACATCCCCGAAGGTGAATTCCAATAAAACAGATAATAGATTGTTAAGTTGTAATCCTAACTAAACTAACTTGTGAACATATGTAAAACTTCTTATGTACCAAAATAAAAGATGTTTAAAATTTTGCACAGAGATTGAAAAATAAATGAATCTTTTAAAAATTATCATTTATTATTTACCTAAAAACAATTCAATAAATAATTTGATAGAGTGATCGAATCGGGCGCTATGGACTTAAAATCCATGATGGTTGTAGGGCACAAGGGAATCTTCAATCAAAAATAAATTGTTGAATACAGATAATCACAGAACATAAAAAAAATTAGTTAAAACAACTTGTTTTGGCTAAAATAATATTTAAGATGATATGAAGAGAGTACGTATTGTTACCCCGGAGATGCCGGCAGCATAGCAAGCGCGGCACTTAGACTTATAGGAGTCACCGCGGCACTGGTAGAGGATGGTTACAGCATTGGGTTTTAGACCACTTGTCATGTGCATGGAACCTGAGCGAAAATTTTGGGCTGCGAGAAAACGGATGTGATCGTTAAGGATATACTCGTACTTGCTTCCCGGTTTATATTTTCCTTCACTAACGAGACATTTGTGATGCAGATACTCATTGGTCAGGTTCAGGGACGAAACATTGCGTATAAATAGGAGTTGTGTGGCCACCAAGGCTATGAAAGGGAACCAAACGAGACGTTGTAATAGAGAACATGAAGAGTACATATTGTCTTTTGTTTTGCTTATTTTTTTTTAGAGTTGGGTGTTTTTTGTTTTTTATTATAAATGAAGCGTTGAGATTGTGATGTTTATATATACAGGAGACTATGAAGGATTTTAGCTGATTGGCTACACTGGTAACTAGATTAACTAATTATTTCGAAATGGTATTCAATTTCTTTTTGGTTACCTTTTTAAAAACTGGATTTGATCATTTTAGTTTGGAGAAGAATATTATTTTTTGTCTGTAACAAACAAGAGAGAGGAGTTTGGAATTTTCGGCGAGGGATGTGGAGAGCATATGAAAAGGTCAAATTTCAAATACTTTACTATGTTAAAACTCTGAGAAATAGAATCACCCATTACCAAACTTGTAGTGCACCACTGGTTTTGTGCCAGGAGCAATAGAATTTTGGCTCTTGGGAATTTGGGTAAGATGTTTTAACTTTTATGAGTAGTGTCCCTGTGTAAGAAGGATAGTTTTCAATGGTAGTTATCTCATTTCCATTGCAATTAGCTCATATTTTTTTATCCAAAGATATTGTAACTCTACTTCACGTGACTAGAAATAGAGATTTAGCTTTTTTTTTTTGGTAGGAAGAAATAGAGATTTAGCTAGGCATATTACATAGATTTTTAAGTGATAGAAATATTGTAATCATTTATTTGCTATTTATTAGGTTTCGACCAAACACTAATTTATGTACTTGTGAAATTTTAACTTTTTTTTTTTGTGAATTTTTAACTTTTTGTTAAGAAATATTTACATAAATTTTAAGTGCAAGCATATGAATCTTAACACCAATATTGGAATTTGTATTTATTTACGTTTATAGTTCACAAATGTTTTTTTTTTGTCACATACTAAAAATTGTTGGGAAATGAAGTTATCATGATGCTGATAAATATGAATGTACTATTTCTTCCCACTTCTACATACATCGAATCCGGCGCAAGACATGAGGTCGCAGCCTTATCACGATCATTCATCTCCAGGCTCTTTCGTCTTTGTGAAACCAATTATCCTAATTTTAAGTATTATCTTTTATGTACGTATCATATATAAATATAGTTTAGTCCATGTTTGTCGATTCGGGAAATCAATTTTGTACGTGTACGCATCTTTTGTTTCGCACGTCACATTTGTTGCTCGTTACGGCCAAAATTATGAGATTTACTAAAAACACCAGGCATAAGAGTTTTCCATACCCTTATTTCAGGATTATTTCTCTCATTATGAGAGAGTTTAGTAGACCTTGTATGAGCTGAGCTATTTGGTATTCTATGTGGGATGTATTTACTCTTATATAAATTCTATACTTGTACATTCCCTCTTAATACTTAAATTAAAAAAAAAAAAATCACAAAAAGGAAAGTACATTTATTCGCTCAAATTCACGTACTAAAATGCAAAACAGTGTATATTATAAGACTGTTTATATGGAACTCTCATTGTATTGTTGTTAGTTTCTAAGAAAAGGATATAACTCATACCTAAAGTTACAGCTCGTACCCAAAACTCTCCCTCCTCGTTTACCATCACAACACTCTGGAAACTTCCTCAAAATCCCTTCCAAACACTCTAAGCACTTTGTAAATATTAAGTTCTTCGTACACTGCACCATTGCATACACTTTATTTGTCCCAATTCTCTTCTCCCCTGCTGCGTACAACACCAATTGTTTACCATCTAAGTTGTTTCTATCGGAGGCTTTATATGCCAGCTTCTCCAGGAGAGCCGACGTCTCCTTGTTGAACAACTCCCGATCACTCATGTTGTTTGGGTTGGACACATAGAAATCGTTTTCATAATCTATCTTATTGAAGGAGCCGACTGAAGATATCTTTAAAAGACATTGGTCATACCATATTATTGCTCCTTTATTTCTTGGACATCTCCTACGAAGCTGTCATGCACATATACATATATATCAAAACCACGATCAAGAAAAATATTGCATTTTTTAATCAGTATATTTGAACTAGCCTTTAAAGTCTATAAGTTTTGTCTCAATTCAACCATTTATGTAAAGTATCAGGATCATTGGACATATATTTAAAGTTTAACAGAAAAAACACAAAACCGACGTATGTGTTCACTCGTAATTTTACATGTAACCATATGACTGCTATTTCAAAATATTGAATTCACAATTACCCCAGAGACGGCAGTGCTGATGCAAGGGGGGCACTTGGACCAGTAGGAGTCGCCGCGGCACTGGAACATGACAAAGACGTTATTGGGATCCTCACCTTCTTCAGTGTAACGGAAACCGTCACGAAAATTGCCAATTGAGGTGATGGTACTGAGGACTAAGTTGAGATTTTTCTCAAAGTCACTCCCCTGCTTATATTTTCCTTCGGTGTTGATGCATTTGTGGTGCAGATACGCATTGGTAAGATTCAGGGACGAAACACTGCGTATAAGGAGGAGTTGTATGACCACCATGGCCAAGATAGGGACAGATCCAAAAACTGAAGACATTGTTTGAGATCTTTGATATTTTTGCGGAGTATGTTTTTTCATTAGATTAATGGTTGAGGAGTTGGAATGTTTATATAGGAGACTCGAGGGATTATGGCTACAAAGTGGAGTTCATCTTTATAATTTTTTTTGGTAATTTTACAATTGCTGGACTGGAAGTTGTCAGTTTGTGGTCACACACAACAAAATTCGATTGATCATTTCAATGTCTAAAAAAAAAAATGTTTCTATCTAAGAGAGGAGAGAGGAGTTGAGCGTTTAGACTAGGTATTTTGCGGCGAAAGGACAGGAGGCGATGAAAAAGTCAATGTTGGAAGGTTTGTCTGGTTTAAAACACACAATACGTAGGGGAATTGCCAGCCTCGTGGGATTAGTCCTTGGGCCTAGGAAGCCTTTGGGAGACCCGCGGTTATTCAAAAAAAAAAAAAAAAAAAAAAACACACGATACGTTCGGTCTCGACCTGAAATGAATGTAATGACATGATGAATACATAATTCTCAGATCGAATTGTATTCCAACGTACAGTTTCATCTCATTATCATGTATGCATGTTATATATGACTTTTTGTCTAATATTAACGTTAGGCTTGTATGTTGCTAGAAAATTTGAAAGAAAAATAAAAGCTGAAAACATTTTATTTGATAATTATTACATATTCTGTTTTCGTTTTCTGGTTACATTATATAAAATTTGTTGATTATTCAGTTTTTAGAATAATTGTTTTTAGGTCATATTGCCGGGGGATCTCTCTCGGTCATCTGAGCTCAGCCTCATCCCTTTGGCTTGGCCTTCTTGGCATTCTTTTGTTGGATAAGTGGGTGAGATTTTTTTCGCTCATTTGGCTTCTCAACGATGGTCACCTCAGTTGCGTTCGAAAATAAAACATTTAAACAATTTCTACCCATGACATCGATTATTAATGTACTCATCTTGAAATCCAAACTTTTTAACTTCATTTTTTTGGTCTTCCTCTAATGTGGTTCTAAGATGATTTTATACCATCATTCCTCTAGAGCGTCTTCATGAAGCTTGTTACTTAACGTACTATAGTTCTAGACTATAGTTGCATGTTTATCAGTATAGAAATGCAATATTCTGTTAGTAAACATCCCTTGCTTGTGCGTATCCATTTGTGGACTATTCCGGCCATAATTGGCCTTTGCCTAAAACAATGGTCACAACTCACAAGAGCTTTAGCTACCCTTATTTCACAATTACGAGAGAGTTAAGTTTACCTTTCATGGGTTTTGTTGTGTTTTATGTGGGATGTATATTACTCTTAGATTTTTTCCCCCTTACAATAGAGTCTCTTCTTTTCATGAATTATGGTGACAATAAAATACGAAAAAAAGCAAAGTGCAGTTAATGGCTCAAAACGTATTTTGTGCTGTATTCAAGTTAGTGCAACACAATGTACATTTATATAAGACCGTGTACTCATGGGCCTCTATCATTTAATATGGAAGTCTCATAGTATCATTAATTTCTAAGAAAAGGATATAACTCATACCTAAAGTTACAACTCGTACCCAAAACTCTTCCTCCTTGTTTACCATCACAACACTCTGAATACATTCTGAAAATCCATTCCAAACACGATGAGCAAGTTGTAAACACTAAGTCTTTCGTACACTGCACCATTGCGTACACCTTCTTCGTCCCAATTCTCTTCTCCCCCGCTGCGTACAGAACCAATTGATTGGCACCGTCTATGTTCTTTTTATCGGTCGCTTTATTTGTTAGCTTCTCAAGGAGAGCCGATGTCTCCCTGTTGAACAACTCTCGATTGCTCACGTTTTTTGGGTTGGACAAATAGAAATCATTCTCGTAATCGATCTTATGGTAGGAATCGATAGTAGATATCTCGAAAAGACATTGGTCATACCATATTATTGCCCCCTTGTTTCCTGGACATCTCTTTCGAAGCTGTCACATGCATATCCATATATATCAACACCACAGTCAAGAACAATATTGTATGGTTTAATTTCATATAATAATGCTTTTGTACTAGCCTTAAATGTCAATATGTTTTGTTTTAATATCTAAGATTTAACCAAAAGAATATTAATGCGTGTGCTGGCACAATGTTACATGTAGACATGTGACTGATAAATTAATAATATTGAATTTATAGTTACTCCTGAGAGGGCGGTGGTGACGCAAGTTCGGCAGTTGGACCAATAGGAGTCACCGCGACATTGGTACATGACAAAGACGGTATTGGGATCCTCACCTACATCGCCATATCGGAAGCCGGTGCGAAAATCGCCATTAAAAACGACAGTACGGAGGGCTATGTTTAGATTTTTCTCGAACGCACTTCCCCGCTTGTATATCCCTTGGGTGTTGTTGCATTTGTGGTGCAGATATTCATTAGTAACGTTCAGGGACAAAACATTGCGTATAAGAAAGAGTTGAATGGCTACCACGGTCAAGATAGGGACCGATCCAAAAGTTGAAGACATTGTTTTGGATCTTTGATCTATTTTTCGGAAGTGGATCTTTTTACATTAGACGAAATGTTCAGGAGCTTTAATGTTTATATAGGAGACTCGAGGAAATATGGCTATTAAGTGAAGATTTTTTCTTAAACCGTTTGATAATTGTTAGAAATTTCTTGAAGTTGTCAATTTTTGGTTGCATAAATACATTCGGTTGCTCATTTTAGTTTCTATTATAAAAAAAAAAAATTAGTCTGTAAGGCAGGAGAGAGGAGTTGGACATTGCGACTTGGTATTTGCGGCGAGGGAAGAGGATCGCCGATGAAAAAGTCAAAGTTTTTAGTTATATATAAATGACTTCTCGTCTACTATGTAATGACGTGAATACTTAATTCTCAGATCAAATTGCATTCCAACATACAGTTTCATCTCATTAGCATTTTTTTTATATATGACTTCTTCATTTACTATTTATCTTAAATTTGTATGTATCTAGATCGTTTACAAAAAGAAAAGAAAAAGCTGAAAAACATTTTTTTTAATGTAATATTAAATTAAATTCAAAGAAAAAATAACGTTTGTACAACTAGTGCATCGTATGTTTGATAGAAATAAATTGAGAGGCAGATATTATATTGAGATGCTGGAATTTAAACTCGACTTTGAAGCCAGCCTTGGAAGCTAAAAGCTGAAAAACATTTGAATTACTAATTATAACAATAGTTGCTATATCATTTTCTGGTTACCTTTTACCTTAAACCAAATTTGGAAGATCATTTCAGATTTAGAACTACTAAATGTTTTTAGGGCGTATGAGCTTCTTTTTTCCTTTTGGCGGCCTCCTTCTTTCGTGTGAAAGGGTGATATTTAGTGGGAAGAAGATACAAGAAAACCAGTACCTTTTCAAATATGGCCTCATTTTTCTAGGATTAGGTCGTTAGGTATTATAAATACTATATATGATTCCTCAAATTAGTTTGTTTAAAAACTAATACAACTTCTTCTTTAATGAGTTATGCATGTTAACAAAAGAAAATACAAAAACAAATTACAAAGAGGAAATACATTTATTCGTTCAAAACAACTACTAAACGCAACCAATGTATAAGACCGTATTTTGGCTCTGGACCCCTTTCATTTAACATAGAGCTCTCACTGTACATTCGTTAATTTCTAAGAAAGGGATATAACTCATACCTAAAGTTACAGCTCGTACCCAAAACTCTCCCTCCTCGCTTTCCATCACAGCACTTTGAAAACATCTTGAAAATCCATTCGAAACACGCAGCGCAAGTTGTAGTCACTAAGTCTTTCGTACACTGCACCATTGCGTACACATTCTTCGTTCCAATTCTCTTTTCCCCTGCCGCGTACAGCACAAATTGATTCCCTACCATGTTATTTTTATCGGTGGCTTTATTTGTTAGCTCCACCAAGAGAGCCGACGTCTCCTTGTTGAACAACTCCTTATTATTCACGTTTTTCGGGTTTGACAAATAGAAATCGTTCTCGTAATCAATCTTATTGAAGGAGTTGATCGTAGATATCTCAAAAAGACATTGGTCATACCATATTACTGCCCCCTTGTTTCTTGGACATCTCCTACGAAGCTGTCATATACATATCCATATATGTCGACACCGCCGTCAAGAAAAATATTCCATTGTTTAGTCTTCATATTTTTTTTGTAGTTTGGGTCACAATCTTCTTATTATATATAGTATTTTGTACAACCCTTAGATTTTTATCAGTTTTTGTCTCAATTCATCGATTTATGTAGAGTGTCATGATCATCGGATATATATCTAAGATCTTAACCAAAAAAAAAATGACGTGTGTTTGTGCACGCAATTTTATATGTAAATGTATGACGGCGAATTAGTAAAATTAAAGTGACAATTACCCCAGTGACGGCAGCGCTTATGCAGGATTGGCACTTAGACCCGTAGGAGTCCCCGCGACATTGGTACATGACAAAGACTTTATTGGGATCCTCACCTCTCTCGATGTAGCCGAAACCATTGAGAAAATTGTCTGAATCGATGGCACGGAGAGCTAAGTTGATATATTTCTCAAACGCACTCCCGTGGCTATATTTTCCTTCGGTGTTGTTACATTTGTGGTGCAAATACGCATTTGTAAGGTTAAGGGACGAAACACTTGGTATAATTAGGAGTTGTATGCCCACCACAGCCAAGATATGGACCGATCCAAATATTGAAAGCATTGTTTGGATCTTTGATCTTTTTACCGGAGATGGTGTTTTTTCATTAGATGAAACGTTAAGGAGTGGGAATGTTTATATAGGAGACTTGAGGTATTATGGCTATTAAGTGAATATGTTGCTGGAATTTTTTATTCTGCGGTTGCCTTCAAAAAATTCGTTTGATCATTCAACTCTCTATTTTTTTAAAAATGTTTTAGTATGTATTTGTGGCGAAGGAAGAGGAGCGCCTATGAAAAAGTCATAGTTTGAAGGTTTGTGTATTTTTAATCACACAATATGTTCAGTCTCGACCTGAAAGAAAGGCAGTGTTAGTTTATTTTGTAGTCTATATGTATATGAATTTCCGTCTACTATTAAATATTAATGTCTACTACATAATGAAATGAATACAAAATTTTCAAATCAGTTTGAACATACATTCCAAACTAGAGGGTGCCAGTTCACATATTTTATTTTCACATCTTCTAATTACTGTCAACGGATTTGTGCTCTTTGTCGTCGAACAGTCACACAGAGGAATTGACTTCATCATCCAAAAAGGTTGTTGAAAGGAGAAATTGTATTTACTTAAGTTTTAGATTGAGTTTACGGATGATTTAATTACTATTATTTCAATACCTCGACAACTATTGACGTCAAGGTATAATACCAAGTGTAGCTGGTCCATTCACGCGGATGATGTCTCGGAGAAGACCCTATGGAAACCAATTTTCGGTGCAGAACCAAGTAGTCTTTCCATTGCCTAACTTCCTAAGGATATGACTTATGAGGGAAAATAAGATGTCGTAGTTTTGCTGTTAGGAAATGTAGTTGTTCCACTAGTTCAGAATTTATGAATGCTTCTTCATTTCATTCAGTAAAATTTCGGAAGTGAGAAATTATGCTTTTGCCCACCAATCAATTAGCTAAATATTTTTCAGAAGTATATAAGATTGAAAAAAAAATATGAATAGAAAGATTTAGGTCACCATTATGGAATTGCAATCAACTTTAACGGGGAAATAATGGAATATTTATTACGTCGGAAATATATTGCGAAAATATCTTCTTCTTCTTTTTTTAGTTTAATTGAAAAATACCATACAATTGAAACTATTAAAACTAATAATAACATACAATTTTGAATGTGTGTTACATACTATTAATAGAAAAGTTAGAAGAATTCTCCAAACCATACTGTTTCTCCTGAGTGTTTTTTTTTTTTTTCATTTTTTTTCAAGAATAAATAAAATCAAACAAGTACGTAGTTAATTAGAACGTGTGTTATACAAAACTAACCACAAGGAAGAGAACATTTTTTATTCCCCCATTGCACTTATTTAAACACTTCACAATTTATATGAGAGAGTGAGAGCCGAGAGAAAAAAAAAAAAGTCCTTTACTTTCTTTCTTTATTTTCCCTCAAAAGTACTTTACCTTCTAAGAAAAGGGTAAAGCTCATACCTAAAGCTACAACTCCTACCATAAACTCTCCCTCCTGGTTTACGGTAGAAATGCTCTCCATATTTCATCTGCGTGATCCATTCTAGACACACATGGCAACCAGTCTGCCATAAGTCTTGCGTACACTGCACCATTGCATACATCTTATTTCTGCCAATTCTCATCTCACCCACTGCGTACAACAGTCCCTTGGCGGCGTTTTCCTTGCTATCCTTGGTGGCTTCCAGCATTAGCTTGTGGAGGAGATCCCTCCTTTTATCTTCGAACCGCTTGGGATCGTTGGTGACGTTCTTCGGGTTTTGCATATAGAACATACTTTTGTAATGGATCCTCCCCTCGGAATCCACCGAAGAAATCTCCAAAAGACATTGGTCGTACCATATTGTTGCTCCTCTGTTTCCCGGACATCTCTCACGAAGCTGTCATATATATACACATTTAAATAGACAGTCAAGAACATCATTGCATGGACTAATTTACATATGATATATTTATATTGTACTAGCCTTAAATGTGTATTAGTTTTATCAATAAAACCTTACTAGGTTCATCATAGATCTTTTATATAATCATCGCTATGATTTAAACATGATTGCACATATGCATGCACATTTATATATGTAAATATGTGACTTCTAATATATTATATTGAATTGAAATTACCCCAGAAACGGCTGTCCTGAGGCAGGAGTGGCACTTGGACCCAAAGGAGTCACCGCGGCACTGGAGCAAAACGAAGACAATGTTGGGATCCTTGCTAACTTTGTAAGCCACAACATTGGAGATGTAGGCGTAACCGTATCTAAGATCGAGGTCAGAGATGTTATGGAGGACTTGGTTGAGGTTCTTCTCGAACGTACTCCCATGAGTGTATCTCCCTTGGGTGTTGTTGCATTGGTGGTTCAAATACTCATTGGTAACGTTCTGGGAAGAAACATTGCGTAGAAAGAGAAGTTGTATAGCCACCACGACCAAGATAGGGACCGATCCAAAAATATTTGAAAACATTTTTTGGTTATTGATATTTTTCTGGAAAGTGTATTTTCTTCCTTTTTATTGTGAGATGAATCGTTGAGGAGTTCGAATGTTTATTAAGGAGACTTGATGATGAGGGATGTTGGATCTTAAATGAAGCTGATATTTTTTTTTTTGACAATATTAGAATTGGTGGAAGTTTTGACCTTATATATATACAAATTCGATTGATCATTTCATTGCTATATATATCACATGTTCTATTTAGATCTGTAAGAAAAGAGCGAGAGGAGTTGGACGTTAAGACTTGGTATTTGCGCCAAGAAAAGAGCGCAGACGAAAAAGTCAAAGTTCGAATGTTTGTAGGATTTTAATCTCTTAAGATTCACACGAAACGTTCACTATCAACCTGAAATAAAGCTATTATTAGTTTACTATGTAGTTATGTAATGACAAGAATCCCTTCTAAAAAATAAAAAATAAATTGGGTATATTCCAACAAAACAAAGTCGCCATGTAAATCCTCAAACTTTGGGACTTGGAAATATATGTGGTTTGTACCATTACATAGAAACTTTTCTCACTTTGGACTTAAGATTTCCTCCTGTAATAATAATAAAAAGATGAAAGAAATAAATGTTTTGTCCGTTTCACTTTTAAGATATTTTGATTAAAAACACATATTATTAAAAAAACTTCATGAACTTTTGTATATACTTTTATTTATTCACATTTAAATCATATTTTGATATCTAGTTAAAACTTCGACTTACTCTTGTCTGAAATCTTCGTTTATACGGGCATGTGAGAGGAAAGTTAAGACTAGCCAAGCAAACTCGCTGATAAGAAGCAGACATATTGGAAATATAAACTCTGGAAATATTACCATCCTTTTGTTGTCCAAAATAACAAGTTGATCATAGTTATTCAGGTGAAAATATAGAGAAGACAATGGAGGGGATATTGGGGAAGACGTCGGAGAGTATAGCGGCAAAAATGCAAGAACGTACACTGGTGAAAACTTAGCAATGGAGAGGGGAAAAAAAAAGAGAGAGGATAGTACCAAATTCTTACTCCTTTGATTGCTATTTGTTGTAGATAATCATCATCATTTTAAATCAGAAAATATGAATTACAAAGCCTCTAGACCCTTACACATTTAAGCTTATTTACACATTTTTCTTGAATGAAAGTAAAAGCTCTTAGATATTTTTCTAATTGCGACATCTCAAAGAAAAGAAAATTAGCTTGTGCTTTAAAAGAGAATATTAATTTTGTTGTGAAGCAAAAAAAAAAAAGAGTATATCACTGTCTATTTGCTCAAAACACTTATTCAAACAAAACAACAATATAAATATGGGGCTCTCATCAAACAGTCTCAAGTCTTCACAAAAGGGTAAAGCTCATACCTAAAATTACAACTCGTACTCAGAACTCTTCCCCCTTGTTTACCGTTGCAGCATTTGGGAAGCTTCGACAAAATATAATTCAAACATTCATTGCAACCGTCACTCGATAAGTCCTTCGTACATTGCACCATTGCGTACAACTTCATAGGCCCGAGCCTTTGCTCTCCCACCGCATACACAATGTATTCCCTTCCGGCATTGGTTTCATTACTAGTGGCTTTCTCCTTCAGCTTATTGAGGAGAGCCCGCGTATTCTTGTTAAACGACTCAATATCACCGCTCACATCCTTCGCGTTGTACATATAAAAATCGTTCTTGTAGTCAATGTTGCCTAGGGTATCGATGGAAGAAATCTCGAGAAGACAGTTGTCATACCAGATTATTCCCCCTTTCTTTTTGGGACATCTATTTCGAAGCTGCCATATACACATATCTATCAACCCCAAAATCAAGAACAATAATTTTCGGACCAATCAAAGTATACTGATAAAACTTTTACTGTACTAGCGTTAAATGCCAATTAATAAAGCCTCAATTAAACCACCCCGGTAGAGCATGTGTGGGCATTTAGAGACGTAAATATTGTATGTGACATCTAACTAATAGTATTGAAGTGACTTTACCCCAGAAAAGGCGGTGGCGAGGCAAGAACGGCACTTGGACCAGTAAGAGTCACCCCGGCATTGGAGCTTTACATAGACGGTATTGGGAGCGTCACCATTGGAGACGTGGGCGAAACCACTACGAAGATTGCCCGTAGAGATGGAACGGACAACACGGTTGAGACTTTCCTCGTAAGGACTTCTCGACTTGTATGTCCCTTGACTATTGATGCATTTATGGTGCAGGTATGCATTAGTCTGATTCAAGGACAAACCACTGCGTATAAAGAGTAGTTGTATGGCCACCATAGCCAAGATATGGACCGAAACGGAGCATTTAGATACAGATGATGAAGAGTACATTGTTATAGGATTTAAATTTTCCCCGCAAAAGATTTTTATTAGATGAATAAAGGAGGAATTGAGACGTATATTTTGGAATTCTAGAAGAGATGAATTTCTCTTTTATAGATAAAAATTAGTTTATTTGCAGTTTTCTTTTTTGTTACCTTAAACAAAATTTGATTAGTCATTTCATTTTTCTTAAAGAAATGTTTTTTAAGTCTTTAACGGACGTGGGAGAGGATTTGGAGATTGAGACTTTGTATTTACGGCGAGAGGAGAGGAGGGCCGATGAAAAAGTCAAAGTTTAAATATCTAAAACACTTAAAATCACAATTCACACGGCTTTTACGGTTGCCTACCTGAAAAGTAGAGCCGGGAAAATTATTCTACACTGAAATTTCAGTTTGTAATGACATGAATAAGTATTATAAATTGCAATGTCTCACTTATTACAAAGTAATACTACTAGCATCAGTTTATTTTTCTGCACCTTTAAACTTAAGCTATACAACTCTTATTTTAATGAAACCAAACTACCATTGGGAATATGTCTTAGAATCGCATGATGATGAAAGTATTACAGTATTGATTACATAGTTTATGGCAAGCGAGCGTACACAAACATTCGATTAAACTTCCAATGCAAATAAACTAAAAAAAGTATGTTAGACAAAGTGAATCACAAAACATTTATTCAAACACACAAAATATACATATGGAGCTCTCACTATATAGTCTTAAGTCTTTACAAAAGGGTAAAGCTCGTATCTAAAATTACAGCTCGGAGTCAAAACTCGTCCTCCTTGTTTGTCGTTACAGCATTTGGGAAGCTTTGCCATAATCCAATCCAAACACACACTACAATTTTTGGCTGATAAGTCCTTCGTACATTGTACCATTGCATGCAATTTCATGGTCCCGAGACTTTCCTCACCCGCTGCATACAAGTAGTCTCTCCTGTAAGGTAATTCTTTTTTACTAGTTGCGTTCTCCTTCAGCTTAGAGAGGAGATCCCTTGTGTTCTTGTTGAAAGATTTTGTTCCGCTTTTCACATCCTTCGCATTGTACAAATAGAAATTGTGCTGGTAATCGATCTTGCCATAGGTATAGATCGAAGAAATGTCGAGAAGACAATTGTCGTACCATATTATTCTTCCTTTGTTGTTTGGACATTGCTTACGAATCTGTCAAATATACATATATCGACACCAAATTCAAGAACTATTGTCTTTCTGTACTATATATAATATATAGTGTTTTTTGTAATATCGGTAAATAGCCAATCAGTATCATCTAAACTAAACAACTCCCCATAGAGTATCATGATGCTAAGATATAACCAAACTAACGTGTGTACGTGCATTTGTATATGTAACTATTATGTGACAGCTAATGGATGATACTAAAATGAAGTTACCCTAGAGAAGGCAGTGAAGAGGCATGCGCGGCAATTGGATGTGGAGATGTCGGCCCGGCACTGGAACTTGGCATAGATATCATCAGTACCATCACCAGCAGCGCCATTGGCGAAACCGTAGTCTAGATAGGTTGACAAATGATCGATGAGACCTTTGACTTCTCTCTCGTATATACTCCCCGACTTGAATGTCCCTTCACCGTTGAGGCATACGTGGTGCAGATACGCATTGGTCTGGTTTAGGGACAAAACACTGTTTATCAAAGGGAGCTGCATGGCCATCACGGCCAAGATAGAGACCACAACAAAACGTTTCAATACAAAGGATGAAGCCATCGTTTTAGATTTTGATATTTTCTCCAAAGATTAATGTCTTTTTACTAAATCAATCTTGGAGAAGATGGGTTGTTTATATAGGAGACTCGAGTAATTTCGGATACCGAGTCAAGATGTTTTTTTTTGTAAAAGGATTTGATAATAATTAGAAGGTTGTACTTTTTACTTGAAGATGCATTTTAGTTTCTAGAAAAAATGTCGATAGGACAGAGGGATGAGGTTGAGATTAAGACTTGGTATTTTCGGCGAGGGAAGAGGAGGACGGATGAAAAAGTCATGGTTGAAAGGTTTGAAACTCTTTAATCTAAGATTGCTCTACACTGAATTTCATTTTGTGACGACCTTCAAAGATGAAATGTTTAAGAAACAAAATACATCTGCTATATTGATGTCCTAAAAACGAAAAAGAAAAACATATCACACAACATTAAAATTACACGATTCTTTTTATTTTTTGGGCTGAAATATGATAAGATTCAACTTTCAGTTTCATCTTTATCTTAAAAAGGCTAAATATACTTCTCCATAAAACAAAAAAATGCAATTAAGAAGCAGCACGAAGAAAGCAAGACAATATAGTTACGTTTGAAGCCGAATGGCAATCCAATTTGGTCGCGGTGTAATGATCTAATAATCATGGTCTACATAGCCCAAATAGGCTAAAAAAATTGTTAGACGTAAAGAATCACAAAAGATAGATTTCTTTTTAGTTTTATTTGCTCAAAATATTCATTCAAACACAGAAAATGTACATGAACATGTTTCTCTCATTAAAAAGTATTAAGTTTTTACAAAAGGGTAAAGCTCGTATCTAAAATTACAGCTCGGAGTCAAAACTCTTCCTCCTTGTTTACCATTGCAGCATTTGGGAAGCTTCGCCATAATCCAGTCCAAACAGACACTACAATTTTTAGCCGTTAAGTCCTTCGTACACTGTACCATTGCGTATAATTTTGTTGTCCCGAGGCTTTCCTCCCCTGCCGAATACAAGTAGTCTCTCCTGTAAGGTAGTTCTTTTTTACTAATTGCTTTCTCCTTCAGCGCATAGAGAAGAGCCCTCGTTTTCTTGTTAAACATCATTGTATTGCCGCTCACATCCTTCGTGTTGTACATATTGAAAATGTGTCGGTAATCGATTTCACCAAGGGTATAGATCGATGAAATGTCGAGAAGACAGTTGTCGTACCATATTATTCTCCCTTTGTGGTTCGGACATTTCCTACGGATCTGTCATATATAGATATATTTAGTCACAATAAGAACTGACATATTTACGTGCATTTATATATGTAAGTATATATGACATCTAAACGATAATATTGAAATGTTGTTACCTCAGAGAAGGCGGTGGCGACGCAAGTGCGGCATTTGGATTCAGAGGCGTCCGCCCGACACTGGATTTTGGCGTAGATTTTAGTGGGGCCATCACTACCGGCGCCGTTAACAAAACCATAGTCAAGATCAGTTGTTGACATATGATCGATTACACGTCTGACTGATCCTTCGTACGAACTCCCCTTGGCTGTCCCTTCACCTTTGATACATATGTGGTTCAGATACTCATTGGTCTGGTTTAGGGACAAAACACTTTGCATAAAAGGGAGTTGCATGGCCACCATGGCTAAGACATAGACCGAAACGAGGGGTTTTGATACAAAGGATGAAGACATCTTCTATTTTGATAATTTCTCCGGAGAAGGCCTCTTTTTTATTACATCAATCTTGGAGACTAAGTGGATAAGTAAGTATTAGAAAGTGTTGTAGTATTTGTGTTTTTTTGTTACCTAATACAAAATTTGATTGCTTATTTCAGTTTCTAGAATAAATGTTTATAGTCTAGTGGACAGGAGAGATGAGTTAATTTGGGGTTGAGACTAGGTATTTTCGGCGAGGGAAGAGGAGTACCAATGAAAAAAAAGTCAAAGTTAAAACTCTTAAAATGTGAAATTACTCTACATTGAATTTTCAATTTGTTACACAACTTTTAAAATAGCTTCGTAGCTTGCAGCAGTACTGCTGCTAATCAATCAGATGTGTAGTGGAGCTATAAGCCTATAAGTAAAGTAACGGCTGGTTTAACTACCAAAATAGGATTGGCTGGTTTTGATCTCTTAAAAGAACATATAATGATGAAGTCAACAACCACCAAAAAATCACACGATAATGAAGAAGTTTTATTGATACAAGAGTCTTTATTTATTGGCAAAATTTTGATAAGATTCTAACTTTCAGTTTCATCTCGTTACCTTAAGACTTCTCCTCTCGTGCGTCTATTATAACTGTTACGTTTGTATCTATCTAGGATTTTTTTTTTTTCTTGAAAAGGAACTACTCTTTTAAGAATTACCAGTGCAAAATTAAATCTCTATTTCGCAAATTTTCTCACAAAAGCGTTTTTGGTGGAAATTCTGCCTTCTTAACGGTTTATTTGGGTGCATGATATCGGATGAACTCTTAAAGCATAAGACGAAATGAAATTGAATTTATTTTTTTCTTAATTTGGTTGATAGATAATAACAAACCATACACAAATCCCCATCTTGGACATTATATCTAGCTAGGGCATACTTTTTATTTTTTGGTTGAACATCTAATGCAAATACTCAAAAGTGTTATACAAATTAAATTGCAAAAGAGCTAAAAAAAAAAAAAAGTATATCTGCTCAAAATACTTATTCAAACACAAAACATTACATATAATTATATAGCTCTCATTAAAATAGTCTTAATTCTTTACAAAAGGGTATAGCTCATACCTAAAATTACAGCTCGGACTCAAAACTCTTCCTCCTTGTTTACCGTTGCAGCAATCGGGAAGCTTCTTTATAATCCAATCCAAACACACTGTGCAATTTTTAAGCGATAAGTCCTGCGTACACTGCACCATTGCGTACAATTTCACCGTCCCAAGACTTTTCCCTCCCGCTGCATACATATAGTCTTTCACGTAGGGTTTGTTTTCTTTACTACTTGCTTTCGCCTTTAGATTATGAAGGAAGGCCTTCGTGTTCTTGTTGAATGACTTTGTATCACCGCTCACATCCTTCGAGTTGTACATATAGAAATTGTTCTTGTAATCGATCTGGCCATAGGTATAGATTGACGAAAGGTCGAGATGACAGTTGTCGTACCATATTATTCTCCCTTTATTGTTCGGACATTTACTACGAATCTGTCATATATAGCACATAAAATCAAGAACTATTGTTTTTTTGGTACTATATATAATTTTACAATCGTTAGTATTATCTCAATTAAACAACTCCAATAGTATCAGAATGCTCAGATATAATCTAAACTGGCGTGTGACTTACATTTATATATCCACGTATGACAGAAAATTAATAATAATGAAATTATCACATTACCTCGGAGAAGGCGGTGACGAGGCAAGAGCGGCACTTGGCTTGTAAGGTATCGCCTCGGCACTGGAACTTGACGTTGATATCATCGGGACCAATACCACTAACGCCGTGGACAAAACTGTAGTCTTTAATAAAAGACGACAAAAAATCAATGAGTTGTTTGATTTCTTTCTCGTATGGACTCCCCGACTTGAATGTCCCTTCACCGTTAATGCATATGTGGTGCAGATATGCATTGGTCTCGTTTAGGGACAACACACTGCGGACAAAAGGGAGTTGCATGGCCACCACGGCTAATATGGAGACCGAAATGAGAGGTTTCGTTACAGAGGATAAAGACATAGTAGCGGATTTTGATATGGTTTTTTTTTTTCAATCAGATCAATCATGCAGAATGTTTATATAGGAGACTGGAGAGATTTTGGATACATATATAATGGATTTGTTTTTTTAATTCGACAATATGAAATTCGATTGATGATTTTAGTGTCTAAACGAAATGTTTTTAGTTTGTAAGAGACATAAACAAGTGTTTTTTTTTTTTTGAATAATTGGTTTGACAGGAGTTGTGCTATAGACTTGGTAATTTGCGGCGAGAGGAGGGGAGTGGCCAAAGAAAAAATCAAAGTTGAAATGTATGAAAGTCTTAAAATTACACTATTCAAACGCTTTCTAACCTAAAATAATAATATATATTAATTGTTATGGTTGATGTACATTTGCATAGTTAGTATCCCTTAGTATCAGTTATTAGGTCATTTCATTAGCAGTTGACTCATTAAATCTGCCATAACACACCTCATTTAGTAGGGTTAAACGAAGCTACATTGCTGAGTTCTCTTCGAATTGATCTGATACAGAAACTATTATTATGTTTATTTTTCAATTGTATCTTTTTCCAATATTTTTATTTTTCACTTTTTGTAAGAAAAAAACTGTATAGAGCGGATGATATATGAGAGTGGTATTACTGCACATCAGTAGAGATCAAAGCACATCAGTGGTTTTACTGCCGACTGGTAACTAGGAAGCAATCATTGCTTGGCTTCTATGCTGCTCCGGTGACGGGGATACCAAGATCTTTACCACTATCTAGTGGCAGATTGTGATGTATGAAAATTGGGCTGAATGAAACAGTCAGCTTCATGATGTCCCTTGCTTCGATTAAGACCAGAATAGATAGATCATTCAACAATGGTTCCACGGTTAATCTTTATTCCACTTACTTGCTCAAGTGTTACAACCAGCTCCAAATCTCCCAACAACTGTAATTGATGGAGGTTATCTCCCCTTCTACTATTAAAATGATCATGAACTAATGCAGTTTAAGGTGATTTAATTCTTCAATATTAATACGAGGACCTTTATTTCCTAGTCAACGATACAACGATGATGAGTGTCATGTTAGGATGATGTTTTGAAACACTTAGATATGATTTTGGTGTAGCTAGAGCTTGAGGGTAAAAAATTTTCATCTATTAATTTTCAATTTTGCAGCAATCGAATTGTGAACCATGCAAGTTTGGATTTATGGTTTTAGGTTTAAAGTTTAGGAACCTTATTAATTGCAGCAATTCTTAGTAGTCTTTTTTATAAAGCGCATAGTCAATCATTCTTTGGTTAAACATCTAATGCAAATAGACTAGAAAGGTGTGTTACAAAATATATCACAAAGAGTAAATTACATCTAAATATTATTAGCTGAGAACACTTATTCAAACACAACAAGTATATGCATATCAAGCTCTCGTTAAATAGTCGTAAGTTGTACAAAGGGGTAAAGCTCATACCTAAAATTACAACTCGTACTCAAAAATCTTCCTCCTTGTTTACCATTACAGCACTTGGGTAGCTTCGCCAGAATCCAGTTCAAACACACACTACAATTTTTAATCGATAAGTCTTGCGTACATTGCACCATTGCGTACAATTTCATCTTCCCGATACTTTCCTCCCCCGTCGCATATAAGTAATTTTTCTTGTTGGGGATGTTTTCTTTACTACTTGCTTTCTCCTTCAGTTTATAGAGGAGAGCCCTCGTCTTCTCGTTGAATGAATTTGTATCACCCCTCACATCCTTTGCATTGGAAATATAGAAATTGTTCTGGTAATCGATCTTGCCATACGTATGAAACGTTAAAATTGTGAGAACACAGTTGTCGTACCATATTATTCTTCCTTTGTTGTTGGGACATCTTCTACTAACCTGTCATATATACATATCAAGAACTATTGTTTTCTTTGGTACTACATAATATGTATGGTTTCGTTTGGTACTATTGTTAACATGCTAATCAACAACTAATGTACATGTGTGTGTGCGCGCATTTATATATGTAAGTATGTGACAGCTAATCAACAATATTCAAATGATGTTATACCCCAGAGAAGGCGGTATCAAGGCAAGAGCGGCACTTGGATGTGGAGGAGTCCCCCCGGCACTGGAGCTTGACGTAGATGGAATTATCACCGCTAAAGACCACAACGTCGCCTAAAATTGAGATAGAGATAATTTGGATGAGATTGTTAAGATCTCTCTCATCTTTACTACCTGACTTGTATGTCCCTTGACGATTAAGGCATATGTGGTGTAGATACTCATTTGTTTGGTTTAGGGACAAAACACACTGTACAAAAGAGAGTTGCATGGCCACCATGGCCAAGATAGGGACCGAAAAGAGTCGTTTCGTTACAAAGGATGAAGACATTGTTTTGGATTTAGATATGTACCGGATGGAGGATGTTTGCTTTGTTATATAGATTGTGAAGAAGTTGGGAAGATTATATAGGAGACTGGAGGAAATCGATACTGAATGGCGATGGATTTTTTTTGAACTTTATTTGATAATTATGAGAAGGGTACTTAATTCAGTTTTTATTTTGTGGCTACATTATACAAAATTTGTTTGCTCGATTCAGTTTTTAGAAGTTATTTTTATCTGTAATTGACAGGGGATATATGTTGAGGGGTTGAGACTTGGTATTTGCGGCGAGTGAAGAGGAGGACCGATGAACAAGTCAAAATTAATCATATTTGTACACTAACAGCCTCCATGCAAATAATATACATCTAGAATAACTTACCGATGTATATTTATAACTCCTCTAGAATAACTTGCAAATGATCATATACAAATCTGGAGAGTGCAAGGAGTGTAGATGTATCTCTTAAACGTCAAAACTGAATCTCCTTAATTTCAATGACTTCATAACAATTTCAATCTCCTTATATTGTGTGAGTAGTTTAATTCTTTTTTTTAAATGATTGTTCATAAACCATTGTGTAAAGCCACTCCACTTCTACAGTAAACCACAAATAAATTTTATAATCAATGTACCTCCCAATTAGTTTTTGGAAAGAATGTTGTCTTGACCCGACAAAACATGTATTTCTCACTTGGTAGTTGCTACCGATTTGCAAAAAGAAAATAAAAAAATTTAACTTTAAACACACACAAAAATCAAAGTGAAACTACGAATAGCCTTAAAAAGTGTTATAGAAAACAAATCACAAAGAGTATAATACTTTATATTCGCTCAAAACACGTAATTAGACAAAACAAATACATATAGAGTTTTCATCAAACAGTCTCAAGTCTTTACAAAAGGGTAAAGCTCATACCTAAAATTACAGCTCGTACTCAAAAATCTTCCCCCCTGTTTATTACTACAGCATGTCGGAAGTTTCGCCATAATCCACTTCAAACACACATTGCAATCTTTAATCGATAAGTCCTTCGTACACTGCACCATTGCGTACAACTTCATCGTACTGAAACTTTCCTCCCCTGTCGCATACAACTTCTTCATTCCAAGCCTTTTCTCCCCAATCTCGGGTAAGTCCTGCTTGCCGTTGTTGTTTTCTTTACTCGTGGCTTTCTCTTTCAGCCTATAGAGGAGAGTCCTCGTATTCTTGTTGAACAAATTTTTATCGCCGGTCACATCCTTCTCGTTGTACATATAGAAATTATTCTCGTAATCAATCTTGCCGAGGGAATTAATTGGAGATATCTCTAGAAGACAGTTGTCGTACCATATTATTCTCCCCTTGTTTTTCGGACATCTTCTACGAAGCTGTCATATTATATAAGATACACCAAAATCAAGAGAAATATTGAATTAGCCAAGTAATAGGTATATAATTTTTGTTTGTACAAGTGCTAAAATGTCAATCAGTGTTATGATCTCACATAAACCATCATCAAATATCGTGGGCATTTATAAATGTAAATGTGTCATAGCTCATTAATGGTTTTTGTTGGGATCTCATATAGTGAGTTACAAGGAAACTAAAGTAAGATAGAAAAAAAGGACATGAGATAATTACTTTTTGCCAATTATTTTGAATTGTAGTGATCGATGAATGCGCTTGACAAAAAAAAACAAAAGGATATTAATATGGTTTGTTGACCCAAATAAAGCCCAAAATAGGGTTTTATTGTCGGTCTTAGAGTGAGATTCAAGTTTAAATGAACAACTGATAAGAGTTATCATCTCAAAGACGTGTTAAGATCCCATTGAAATGGACATAACGTAATATATAAGGGACATGGACACTGCATTCATTGCCAACCGGTGTAGAGTTAGAAGTTCATGAAACTTAACAATATTCAAACGACTTTACCTCAGAGAAGGCGGTGGTGAGGCAAGAGCGGCACTTGGATAAGTAGGAGTCGCCTCGACACTGGAGCTTTCCGAAAACGGTATTGGGGGCATCACCATTGGAGCCATGGACGAAACCATAGTTAGAAATTGTGATAGATATTGCACGGATGACACGGTTGAGGTTTTCCTCGTATGGACTCCCTGCTTTGTATGTCCCTTGACTATTGATGCATGTGTGGTGTAGATAAGCATTGGTTTGGTTCAGCGAATTGGTTTGATTCAGGGACATAACACTGCGTATAAAGACGAGTTCAATGGAAATCATAGCAAAGACAAGGACCGAACCAAGGCGTTTTGATACAGACGATGAAGACATTGTTTTGGATTTTTCTATTTTTTTCCCGATGACGGACGTTTTTTTAAATTAGATTATTTGTAAAGGAGTTGAGTGATGTTTATATTGGAGACTCGAGGATTTTGGATATTGAGTGGATATGATTTTTAAATTTTATTTTCTAATCATTATAGAATGTTTGTTATCAATTTTTGGTAATACATGACAAAATTTCTAAAAGAAATGTTTTTGGTTTGTAAAGGACATGAGAGGGGAGTTAGGAGTTGAGACTTGGTATTTGCGGCGAGGAGAGAGGAGAGCCGATGAAAAAGTCAATGTTCAAACGTATGTCTAGTTTTGTTTTTTTCGAAAAAGGTTTGTCTAGTTTAAATATTTCATAATTATGCAATAATGAAGGCAATATAGTTTCGATAACGTAGCTAAATATAATTACAAGGTTCTTCATATTTTTGGTTAAATTAATATATGATGGAGATTACAACATCAGCTTCTTCTCACTAGCATTTTATAAGTAAGACTTCTCTTCTATTATTAGTGTTAGGATTATTTTTTTATTTTTTTGACAGCATTAGTGTTAGGATTTTGAAACTCTTTATATCACACGATCTGTACTAAAACTTTGTTAAAACCTGCAAAATAGCTTCATAGATTTCATAATGATTGCTGCAAATTAGTCAGATCGCTGACACTCTTCATGCAGTCTCGAAGAACGCACCGAATGTGCGTAGTGGAGCTAATACGTAATGGTTGGTATTACAACCTAAAGAGAAGTCAAAGTCAACCTACGTAAGAATACATTGAACTTCTAGTTACATGAAAAAGTTTTTTTTTTTTGTCTCTGGGCTGTGTATTTGTTTTTTCTTGTCCTTCTAATTTACCTAGAAAGCATTCTAATTTGTCACTTGTAGTTTCATTATATAGATTAACGGCTAATTTATAATGTAATTAATGCTTCAATTTGTGGGAATTATACGTGTTTTCTGTTTTCTTGGTGATATTTTTTTAACTAACGGTGGAAATTAAATTCATATGTTCTCGTTTTTATTATATTTGTTTGATGATGACAAAAAAGTAAGAGAGTAGTGAAATGACTAGAACAAACAAACAATTCAACCAACAACAACAACAACAAAAAAAAGAGAAAAAACTATTAGATCAACGGTGGAAAAGAATATGACCATTTCCATATACTCAACAATTACAATGCAATATAACAGCTTCAGTTTAATGCTTGAAGCTTTTGTAACAAAGGTCCTTACTTTTAATAGACTTCAAATCATAAGAAAAGGGTACATCTCATACCTAAAATTACAACTCGTACTCAAAACTCTTCCTCCTTGTTTACCCTTGCAACATTTAGGAAGCTTCGCCATAATCCAATTTAAGCACACATTACAATTGTTAGGTGTCAAGTCTTTCGTACATTGCACCATTGCATACAACTTTTTTTCCCCAAGACTCTTCTCCCCTGCCGCAAACATGAAATCCTTCTTGCTCTTAATGTTGGCTTTCTCCTTCAGCTCATGAAGGAGATCCCTTGTACTCTTGTTGAACAACTCAATATCACCGCTCACATCCTTTGCGTTGTACATATAGAAATTGTTCTGGTAATCAATTTTGTCGAATGTATCGATTGAAGAGATCTCGAGAACACAGTTATCGTACCATATTATTTTCCCCTTGTTTTTCGGACATCTCCTACTAATCTGTCATATACATACAGACACCAAAATCAAGAACAATATTGCATTGACCAATTAATAAAATTAATAGATATTGTAGTAGTGTTAAATGCAAATTAGTATTGTTTCAACTATACCAACCTAGTGGAGTATCAGGATCACTGATCAATAATCCAAATTGACCTTTGTGCGCGCATTTATTTATGTAAATATATGATAACTAATCAAAAATATTGAAATGACTTTACCTCGGAGTTGGCCGTGGAAAGGCAAGAACGGCACTTGGAGAAGTAGGAGTCGCCTCGGCATTGTAGCTTAATGAAGACAGAGTTGGGAGCGTCGCCATTGGAGGAGTGGACGAAACCAAAGTTTAAATTTAAGGTAGAGATAGTACGTATGAGCTATTGAGGTTTTTATCGTATGGACTTCCCAACTTGTATTTCCCTTGTTCGTTGATGCATTTATGGTTTAGATACGCATTGGTCTGGTTCAAGGACAATACACTGCGTATGAAGAACAGTTGTATGGTTGACACGGCCAAGATAGGAACGGAAGCGAGGCGTTTTGATACAGATGATGACGAATACATAATTTTGGAATTTAATCTCCGGAAGGGGAAATTTTTTTTACGGAGAAGTTGGGATGTTTATATTGGAGACTCGAGGGATTTTCGATATTGAGTGGAGATGGTGTAAAACAAAATTGTTAATTATTAGAAATTTAGAATGGTTACAGTAATTTTCTTATACTTCAATTGATCATTTTAGTTTCTAGAAGAAATGTTTTTAATCAGTAAGGGACACTCGGAGGTGTTTGGCGTCGAAACTTGGTATTTGCGGCGAAGGAAGAGGAGGGGCCAATGAAAAAGTCAAAGCTTGAAGGTGTGTCTAATTCTTTTTTCTTTTCTTTATTTACTTTTTTGTTGAAAAATGGCGGTCTAGTTTTTTTTTTTTTTACGTCTAGATTGTATTATTTATTGCAAATTATGAGAACTGTTACATAGACGATTCTACAATGGACAATTCCTTCCGACCCTTATTAGATCCACGACAGACGACACTTCCTTCTCCATGCTCTTGACGGACACCTTCAATGATCCACGACCTGACGACACTTCTCTCTCTGCGTAGAATCCTGGCGAACGGCTATAATTGTACTTCGCTGGAGATCTCCTGCACACTTGCCTCCTTTAATCTGCAAATTTATTAATAAATCGTAATATCTGGGATTCGAACCCCAGGCCTCTTGGTGTAGAAGCATTAATTAACCTTTGGTCAACCAATGGGCCAAGGGGCTTTACGGCGGTCTAGTTTAATAGAAATTTATTCTATAGTTATATATAATTACGAAATTTTTTATAATTTCGGAAAGTTTGATAGAGATTTCAACTTGCAGCTTCATTTCACTAGCATTATAAATAAAATGCTCAAGATGCCTCTATTTTATCCTTAAACATACACACATAAGCATTTTTTTTTTTTTTGATAACGCAAATACTTATTATTCTCTTTCAATCTCTTCCACATATGTAAGCACCATTACGGCCGACACCGGAGCAAAAACCCATGGGATTGTGGATTTCAGACTTTTGTTATGTTGTTTCATTCAAAGAGGCTAAATTTACTTTGCAGTCGAAGGTAACATGTTTTAGATGCTAAACAGCTATATAGCCCTGAGAAAATTCCTCTAGATCCATGTGATCTAATTTTGTCTAGAAAAAATATGAATCGTCTATACCACAGCTGTTAGGGTGCATGACGGAGTTGGGCCGATCAGAATTGAAGTTGTTCAACTAATTGAGAACTCTTTCAATATATATACTTTCATCATGTAAAATTTTGGAAGTGTTATTCTGGAGTTCAATTTACATGAAATATTTAAAATTTGTTATGAATTTACATGTAAAACAAACCACAAGCAAACAAGAACAAAAAAATAATTGTATTCTCTCAAAACATTTATTCAAACACAACACACACACGCATTTACATAATATGTATAGAGAGAGCTCTCATCCAACAGTCTGTTTAATAAAAGGGTAAAGCTCATACCTATAATTACAACTGGTACTGAAAACTCTCCCTCCTAGTTTACCGTCGCAGCAATCCGATTCCTTGAGGATAATCCATTCCAAGCACGCATAGCAAGTCTTCAACCATAAGTCTTTCGTACACTGCACCATCGCATAAAGCTTCTTTGTCCCAACTCTTTCCTCCCCCGTCGCATACAGCACCGCTTGGTTGTTCTCGTCCATGTTGTCTTCACTGGTAGCTTTCAACCCCAGATTTAGTAGGAAATCGACCATTTTCTGTTTGAACTCCAGTGGCGATCCGCTAGCGTTCTTCATGTTAGACACACAAAAGTTGTTGTTGTAATCGATCTTTCCGTCGTTACGGATGGAAGAAATCTCCATAAGACATTGGTCGTACCATATTATTCCCCCCTTGTTTCTCGGACATCTCTTACGAAGCTATCATAGAAAATTTACATATTGACACCACAATCAATTACAAAGTTTCACATACAGAATAATTAACGTATAGTATATAGTTTTTTTATCTATAATATCTATTTCTAAGATGTCACGAAAATTTACATGTGTGGTGGCTTCTGCATTTATACGTGAATATGTGATAAGTAAAAAATAAAAAATTAGTGACGTTACCGCCGAGAGGGCGGTGGTGTAGCAGGAGCGGCACCTGGACCCGTAGGAATCGCCACGGCATTGGTACATGAAGGTTACGGAATTGGGACCTTTACCATGCGAAATCTGATCAAAACCGCTGCGAAAATTGCCGGCTGAGGTGGAACGGATGAGTGTATTGAGGTTTTTCTCGTATACACTTCCAGGCTGATATTTCCCTTCACTTACGATGCATTTGTGTTGCAGATACGCATTGGTAATGTTCAAGGACGAAACGCTGCGTATAAGGAGTAGTTGTATGGCCACCACCGCAGAGATATAGACCAAAACGGATGATGAAAAGTACATTGCTTTGGATTTGTAATTTTGTTTGGTTCCAAAAGATTGTTTCTTATAGATGAACCGTCGAGACTAAGAGAAATTTGGATGTTGATTGGAGATGATTTTTTTTTCTTTTTATAATTTTCAATTTTTGGTTTATCTTATACGATTTTCGATTGGTCAATCCGTTTTAGGAATAAATGTTTTCAGTTTGTAATGGCCAGGAGAGAGAAGTTAGAAATTAGCACTTGGAACTTGCGGCGCGAGAATGGCCGATGAAAAAGTAAAGGTTCAAAGGCGTGACTAAGTCATAACTTTTACAATCACACGATTTATACGGTCCCGACCTCAAAATGAAGCCATTATTGAATTATTACGTAGTTATATAATTACAAAATTCTGTGTATTTTCTGGTAAAAATGATAAGATTCCAACTCTGTTTTATCTTATTAGCATTATATATATATATATATATCTAATATTCCAAATTGAAACTAAATATGGTTTCACTACGATCATCTAAGTGTTGCAGAATACGTGATCATTTCTAGCACCATACTTTTTTATGACATTTAGTTTATCAAATACATTTTGCATTTTCATCTAAATTTAATATGGTGTTACTGTTATGTAAACCCGGTTGAGGAAATTAATAAAAATGAATGTGTTAACAGTAACCATTGCGTAGACGACTTTCTTAATCTTGTTTATTTGGTCCTATTAATTATCATATCATTTTCATAAACATAGTTATGTTCCTCTAACATTATAATGCAGTACTTTTCCTCTTGATAGTTTTACAAATTTAAAGAAAACAAATTCACATGGAAAATTCAAAAAATAACTATTTAGAATCGTTTACAACTGATAGAAATTTACTTAAACTGCATCATATGATATTTTACTAAATAATAGAAAATAAAATTTACGTTAAATAAGGGGAAAATTAGAAGTTAAAAAGAAAAGAAAAAACATTCTAGAAGCAACATATTCAAATTGCTTTAGAACTTGGTATAGTAAGGACCCTTGGGATTAATAAAAGGGTAAAGCTCATACCTAAAGTTACAGTTTCTACTCAAAACTCTTACTCCTTGTTTATTTGTCCAGCATTTTGGAAAATGCACTATATAATATAGCATACACTCATTACAACCTTGAACAGATAAGTCAGCCGAACACTGCACCATTCCGTATAGATTCTTCGTCCCCAGTCTCTTCTCCCCCGCCGCATACAGTACCGGTTTTTTTATACCTTCTATGTTTTTATCTATTTTAGTGACCGCCATCTTTGTCAGATTGTTGAGGAGATGCAACCTTTCTTCTAAAGGAATTGAATTGCCGATCAGGTTCTTCGCGCTGGGCATACAAAAGTTGTCGTCGTAATTAATCTGCCCAGAAGTATCTGACGAAGAAAACTCCACAAGACATTGGTCGTACCATATTATTGCCCCTTTATCTCTCGGACATCTCTTACGAAGAAGCTGCCATAAACATTTTGCATATTAACGCCACAGGCCCACTACCAATATCAACACTGCATGGACTAATTTACATATAAGATATAGTTTCTCTTGTTTATATTTATCTTTTAGATCTAAGCGTAAATGACATGTCACGCATGACATAATGTTACCTCATAACCGGCAGTGACAACGCAGGACTGGCACTTGGGCCCGCGAGAGTCGACACGGCACTGGTAAGTGATGGCGACCATATCAGGTTCTTTACCGTAGGCCGTCATGCTGAAACCAGTACGAAAACCATACGAATTTTTATCTTTATTTGAAAAGCTTTGGATGATATCATCGAGTGATTTCTCGTACTTGCTTCCCGGCTTGTATTTCCCTTCACTGACTAAGCATTTGTGGTGGAGATATGAATTGGTAAGGTTTAGTGAAGAAACGCTGCGTACGAGAAGGAGTTGTGTGGTCACCACGACCACGATAGGGTATAGAACGAAGCGTTTTGATACAGATGATGAAGAATACATTGTTTTGGATTTATTTTCTATTTTTGTTTCCAAGAGGGTTGTTTTTATATAGATTTTTAGCGTTGAGACTGATGTTTATGTAGGAGACTCGGGAGGAACTTTGTGGCAACAAGAGGGCCGACGAAAAAGTAGAAGCTCCAAGGTGTGACTGAGTTCAAACAATTACAATCACACGATTGTACGATGACGACCTGAAATGAAGGAATTATTGATTTCTATAATTACAAGATTCTTTGTTTTTTTTTCTAACATGGTCGATTCCACTTTTCAGATTTCATCTAATAGTGTATATTTGCTAATTTATCATATTTGTATGTTTCTAATTAATATATTTATTAAAAGAAAAGTGCTTTAACTTAAAATGTTTAAAAGCTAGATCCTGAGATAAAACTAAAAGTCTGAAACAGCTTAACGAGGAAAACTCTACAAACAAGGGAAGAGAGACCATAATGGTTTAACATAGTTACATATTATACAAAATGGCCAAACCCATAGAAAATTTAACTTTTATAAGAATTTCCTAATTTATGTGATTTCCATCGTATACTTGGCTATCTTTTTCCCATTTAAATATTCGGTTAGTCGGATTGGATTTTCGAGATCCTCTAAACAGTTGAATTTGTTTATTTAGGGAATGTTGGATGCTCGTATATAACAGAAGAGCATCAAGTAGGTGACTCCTTATGACATTTGGTACAGCTTTGCTTCTCCCACCGCCTCTTACAATGGAAGATGATACGTTAAACTAGCATAGTTAGGATGGTCTCTGGAAGGAAAAAAAATGAGTTTGTTCTCTGATATAGTGTTTTAGTCAATTAAACTCCTAATGCACTAATGATCCCATCATTAAACTACTTCGGATCGATCCATAAAGAGCAATCAATTAACTCATCAAGAATACACAAGTTCACTTAATCTAAGCTTAACAAGAGTTTGATTTTGGTTTTCTAATACAAACTTAACTAAACCAAGCAATTAAAATCAAATAACACAAATCAAAGCAAAAGAAAACAATATGCAAAAGACTAGCTAACACAATTCAAAATCAAACAAAGCAGTTTAAAAATAGATAAAAGACGAATTCCCAGGTTAAGGTATTCGATAAAGATGATCAAAATATGATTTTTGGAGCTTAATACAACTCCTAAAAAGTGTGAACCTTAGGTAATAGATCACCAAACAAGACTAATTCATTTCCATGATATTAATTCCTTTACTAATCATCAACAATTTCCAAAGGCAATCAAATGGTGAATAAACATTAATAACAAGTCTATCTAGCCATTAATCACCCTAGTTAACAATTTCCAAAAGTAAGGAATGAAAATTCAAAAATCAATTTATATAGAATTGTTTACTTAACTGAAAGAAATTTACTTCAACTACATCATATGATATTTTACTAAATAATAGAAAACAAAATCACGTTAAATAAAGGGAAATTTGAAGTTAAAAAAGAAAAGAAAAAATATTCTAAAAGCAACATATTCAAATTGCTTTAGAATTTGGTATAGTAAGGACCCTTGGGGTTAATAAAAGGGTAAAGCTCATACCTAAAGTTACAGTTTCTACTCAAAACTCTTACTCCTTGTTTATTTTTCCAGCACTTTTGAAAATGCACTATATAGTATAACATACACTCATTACAACCCTGAACAGATAAGTCAGCCGAACATTGCACCATTCCATATAGATTCTTCGTCCCCAGTCTCTTCTCCCCCGCCGCATACAGTACCGGTTTTTTTATACCTTCTACGTTTTTATCTATTTTAGTGACGGCCATCTTTGTCAGATTATTGAGGAGATGCAACCTTTCTTCAAAAGGTATTGAATTGCCGATCAAGTTCTTCGCGCTGGGCATACAAAAGTTGTCGTCGTAATTAATCTGCCCCGAAGTATCTGACGAAGAAAACTCCACAAGACATTGGTCGTACCATATTATTGCCCCTTTATGACTCGGACATCTCTTACGAAGAAGCTGTCATAAACATTTTGCATATTAACGCCACAGGCGCACAATCAATATCAACATTGCATGGACTAATTTACATATAAGATGTAGTTTCTCTTGTTTATATTTATCTTTTAAATCTAAGCATAAATGACATGTCACGCATATTTATAGATTATGTGAAATCTAGCTTATTATAAGTAATACTCAAGTATGTTACCTCATAACCGGCGGTGACAATGCAGGACTGGCACTTGGGCCCGCGAGAGTCGATACGGCACTGGTAAGTGATGGCGACCATATCAGGCTCTTTACCGTAGGCCGACATGCTGAAACCGGTACGATAACCATACGAATTTTTATCTTCATTCGAAAAGCCTTGGATGATATCATCGAGGGATTTCTCGTAGTCGCTTCCCGGCTTGTATTTCCCTAGACTGACTAAGCATTTGTGGTGGAGATACGAATTGGTAAGGTTTAGTGAAGAAACGCTGCGTACGAGGAGGAGTTGTGTGGTCACCACGACCACGATAGGGTATAGAACGAAGCGTTTTGATACAGATGATGAAGAATACATTGTTTTGGATTTATTTTCTATTTTTGTTTCCAAGATGTGTGTTTTTATATAGATTTTTAGCGTTGAGACTGATGTTTATGTAGGAGACTCGGGAGGAACTTTGTGGCAACAAGAAGGCCGACGAAAAAGTAAAAGCTCCTAGGTGTGACTGAGTTCAAACAATTACAATCACACGATTGTACAATGACGACCTGAAATGAAGGAATTGTTGATTTCTATATTTACAAGATTCTTTTTTTTTTTTGTCCAACATGGTCGATTCCAATTTTCAGATTTCATCTAATAGTGTTTATTTGCTAATTTATCATGTTTGTGTGTTTCTATATAACATATTTATTAAAGAAAATTGCTTAAATTTAAAATGTTTAAAAGCTAGGTCCTGAGATACAACTAAAAGTCTAAAACGGCTTAACGAGGAAAACTCTACAAACAGAAGAAGAGAGGCCACAATGGTTGAACATAGTTGCATATTATATAAAAATGGCTATACCCATAGAAAATTTAACTTTTATAAGAATTTCAAAATTTATGTGATTTACATCGTATAGTTGGCTATCGTTTTCCCATTTAAATATTTGGTTACTCGGATCGGATTTTCGAGATCCTCTAATGTTGATGGTAGATTTTGAGCTCAGGCCCAAAATTCTTAGCTAGCCCATCATCTTCTGCGGCCCAGTAAACCAAGGAATACAGAAGCCCAAGAGAAGCCCAGCAAATGTTTCTCCACCGACCAAAGGGGCAAAAAGGACATTCCACGCGTGTAGGGTACCCTATCTATGTACCCTATAAATAGAGAAAGAGAGTGATTGGACAGGGGATCCCGAGATAACGGTTTTCGGCAGAGACAAGACAACCGTCAGAGAACTTTGCGGCTCGGCTCGTTAACTTAGAGATTAAGCTCGTCTATTTTTGTAATTGTCAAGCTCGTCATTTAAATAAGAGATTCTTCTTTCTTCCCTCGAGAATTCGTACTTGTGTGATTTGAGGATCAACATCTAAACAGTTGAATTTGTTCATTTAGGGAATGTTGGATGCTCGTAGATAACAGTTGAGCATCAAGTGGTGACTCTTTCAGTAAGGGAATAATCGAATCACACTCATGACATTTGGTACAGCTTTGCTTCTCCCACCGCCCATTCCAAAGGTAGCATAGTTAGGATGGTCTCTAGAAGGAAAAAATGAGTTTGTTCTCTGATATAGTGTTTTAGTCAATAAAATTCCTAATGCACTAATGATCCCATCATTAAAGTACTTAGGCTCGAACCGCAAAGAACAATTAATTAATTCATCAAGAATACATAAGTTCACTTAATTTAAGCTTAACAAGAGTTTGATTTTGGTTTTCTAATACAAACTTAACTAAACCAAGCAATTGAAATCAAATAATACAAATCAAAGCAAAAGAAAACAATATGCAAATGACTAACACAATTCAAAATCAAACAAAGCGGTTTGAAAATAGATAAAAGACGAATTCCCGGGTTAAGGTATTCGATAAACATGATCAAGACCTCATTTATGGAGCTTAATACACAACTCATGATCCTTAGGTTCCATGATATTAATCTTTTTACTAATCATCAACAATTCTCAAAGGCAATCAAATGATTAATAAGCATTAATAACAAGTCTATATAGCCAATAATCACCCTAGTCAACAATTTCCAAAAGTAAGGAATGAAAATTCAAAACTTAATTATATAGAATCGTTTACTTAACCGATAGAAATTTACTTCAACTACATCATATGATATTTTACTAAATAATAGAAAAAACAATTCACCTTAAATAATGGGAAATTTGAAGTTAAAAAGAAAAGAAAAATATTCTAAAAGCAACATATTCAAATTTCTTTAGAACTTGGTATAGTAAGGACCCTTGGGGTTGATAAAAGGGTAAAGCTCATACCTAAAGTTACAGCTTCTACTTAAAACTCTTACTCCTTGTTTACTTTTCCAGCAATTTTGAAAATGCACTGTATAATATGTCATACACTCATTACAACCCTGAACAGATAAGTCACCCGAGCACTGCACCATTCCGTAGAGATTATTCTTCCCGAGTCTCTTCTCCCCCGCCGCATACAGGACTGCTTTTTTTATACCTTTTATGTTTCTATCTATTTTCGTGACGGCCATCTCTGTCAGATTGTCGAGGAGACGCAACCTTTCTTCAAAAGAAATTGAATCGCCGATCAGGTTTTTCGTGCTGGGCATACAGAAGTTGTCGTCGTAATTGATCTGCCCAAAAGTATCTAACGAAGAAAACTCCACAAGACATTGATCGTACCATATTATTGCCCCTTTATCTCTCGGGCATCTCTTACGAAGAAGCTGTCATAGACATTTTTCAGATCAACGCCACAATCAATATCAACATTGCATGGACTACTTTACATAGTATAAGAAATATAGTCTATGCACGTATGTTTATACATTATGTGAAAGCTAGCTACTATTAGTAAGGGTGAGTAGGAAAAATAGTCAGTTTTAAAGACTTAATATGGAAAGTAGTCGTTTTACTATTTACACTTAGGAAAATCCTCACCTTTCATTGTTCTTTTCAATAAATCTGTCAGTATAATAGAAGAAAAACCTTGTCGGCTCCATCTCATATTTTTAAAATTTTAATTTTTCTTTCTTTTTACACTCTCCCTCAAATCTAATAATTAAAATACACATCATTGTAAATTTATTTTCTAAAAACTTTGAGGTACATAAAAATCTTTTTTTTTCTCTATAATTTGATATACATTTTGTTTGATGATTTCAAATATATTACACACACGTTTTTATCTGTACAGTTAATTAAGTGTACAAATGTATAGAAATTTACACATTAAATCATTTGATTGAGGACTTGAAAATTATCAAAATAGTGTATAATAGTAAAAACTAGGTACATATTTTGCTAATTTTGAATAGTAAATTGACTACTTTATTATTAGTAATACTCAAGTATGTTACCTCAGAACCGGCGGTGACAACGCAGGAGTGGCACTTGGGCCAGCGAGAATCGATACGGCACTGGTAGGTGATGGCGACTATATCAGGCTCTTTACCATAGGCCTCCATGCTGAAACCGGTATGAAAACCTTCCGAATCTTTTGAAAAGCTTTGTATGATATCATTGAGGGCTTTCTCGTGCTGGCTTCCCGGCTTGTATTTCCCTTGATTGACTAAGCATTTGTGCTGGAGATACGAATTGGTAAGGTTTAGTGAAGAAACGCTGGGTACGAGAAGGAGTTGTGTGGCCACCACGACCAAGATAGGGAGTAGAACGAAGCGTTTTGATTCAGAGGATAAAGAATACATTGTTTGGATTTTTTGTTTTTTTTTTTCCAAAAGGGAATTTTTTATATAGCTTTTTAGCGTTGAGTGTGATTTTTGTGTAGGAGACTCGCGAGGAACTTTGTGGCAACAAAAGGGCCGAGGAAAAAGTAAAAGCTCCAAGGTGTGACTAAGTTCAAACAATTACAATCACATGATTGTATGATGACGACCTGAAATGAAGGAATCGTTGATTTCTATTATTACAAGATTCTTTCTTCTTTTTTGCCTAACATGATCGATCCCAATTTTCAGATTCCATCTAATTATATATATATATATATATATATACGCTGATTTATCAAGTTTGTGTGTTTCTATATAACATATTTATTAAAAAAAATTGCATTAATTTATAATGTTTAAAGGGTTTAAAAGCTAGTTCCTGAGATAGAACTAAAAGTCTCAAACAGCTTAATGAGGAAAACTCTACAACAAGATAAGGGAGACCATAATTGTGGAACATAGTTGCATATTATACAAAAATGATCAAACCCACCGAAAATTTAACTTTTATAAGAATTTAAAGTTATGTGTTATACGTCGTATAGCTGACTATCTTTTTCTCATTTAAATATCTTGTTACTTGGACTGGATTTTCGAGATCCTCTAAACAGTTGAATTTGTTCATTTAGGGAATGTTGGATGCTCGGAGATAATAATAGAGCTTAGGGTAGGTGACTCTTTCATCGAGGGTATAATACTTATGACATTTGGTAAAGTTTGCTTCTCCGGCTGCCTCTTACAAAGGAAGACGATACATTGAAGTAGTGCATAGTTAGAATACTTTCTGATCCTAAAATTAAAAAAAAATTGGTTTTTGAGGATGTCAAACGAAAATAATTGGTTTTTGGGAGAGCGATCTAAGTCTCAGTCTGTTATTTGTTAAAAAAATGTTGAAAGGAGTACACTTTACTTTCTCAATTCTGTTTATTTATTAATTATCAATCATTTCAACTAATTACATGATTAAATATAGATATGTTCTATTCTTCAAGCATACTATGCAATGTTTATCTCTTTAATTTATGATTTTCTTTATACAACCAAATTGCTTAAAAGAAACAATTACACAACAAATTCAAAAACTAGTTTAGAATATTTTTTTAAAAGCCTAATAAAAATTTATTTCACCTACATTATATGATTTTTTCTAAACAAAATAATTCATTCTTGTAAAATAAAATTCAAATTTAACCAAAAAAAATATGAACCAAAAGAATAACTGAAATTCCTTGACAACTTGATTAGTTAGGACTGCTCTTCGGGTCAACAAAAGGGTAAAGCTCAAACCTAAAGTTACAGCTCCTACCCAAAACTCTAGCTCCTTGTTTTTGTTTATAGCAATCTTGATAATGCACGACATTATGTGACATACACTCCTCACAACCCTTCTCAGATAAGTCAAGCATACACTGCACCATTACGTACAACTTCTTCTTCCCCAGCCTCTTCTCCCCAGCCGCATACAGCGGCGGCTTCTGTTTTTTAGTGACGGCTATACGTGTCAGATCGCTGATGAGAACCAATAACGACTTTTCGAAAGAAATCCGATCACCGCTAACGTTCTTCGCGCTCGGCATACAGAAACCATCATCGTAATTGATCTGCCCTGTAGTATCGGACGAAGAAAACTCGACAAGACAATGGTCGTACCATATTATTCCCCCCTTGTTTCTCGGACATCTCTTACGAAGCTGTCATGTACATTTTCCATATCAACGTCACAATCAATATCAACATTGCATGGACTAATTTAAATGTAAGATATAGTTTCTCTTAAGATGTAATCATTTGACGTGTGTGGGGATATTTATGCATGCACATACGTGACGGCTAATTGATAATATTCAAGTGACGTTACCTCAGATTGGGCGGTGGCAAAACAGGAACGGCACTTGGGTCCGTAAGAGTCGCCACGGCAGAGGAAGGTGACGGAGACCATATCAGGTTCATCACCGAAGGCCATCATGCTGTAACCGGCGCGAAAAGCATCCGTATCATTCGACAAGCTTTTGATGATTTTATTAAAGTCTTTCTCGGCCAAACTTCCCGGCTTATATTTACCTTGACTAACTAAGCATTTGTGGTGCAGGTACGCATTGGTCATGTTCAAAGAAGAAACGGTGCGCATAAGGAGAAGTTGTTTGGTCATCACGACCAAGATATGGACTAAAACGAGGCGTTTTGATATAGAGGATGAAGAGTACATTGTTTGGATTTTTTTTTTTTATGTTTTTCCAAACGGAAGTGTTTTTTAGATAAACCGTTGAGACTTTGATGTTGATGTAGGAAACTTGGAGGAATTTGGATAATAAATGGAGATAAGTGATATATAGGTTACAGTTTTTGCTTACCTTATACGAAATTCAGTTTCTAGAAGAAATTGTGAGAGTTTGTAACGGAGATGAGAGAAGTTATTTTTATTGGTATTTGCGGTGACAAAAGGGCTGACGAAAAAGTAAAATTTCAAAGGTGTGACTGAGTTCAAATTCTCTCACAACCACATGATTATACAGTGACGACCTGAAATGAAGGAATGGTCGTCAAACATGATCAGATCCCAATATATTTTCACTTTTCATCTAATTAGCATATAGGAGTATAACTTAATAACTGTTATGAGTGTTAGGTTTGTGTCTCTCCAGATAAGAAAATTACTTTAATTTATAAATATTTTCTTTTTTGATAAATTTGATTTAAAATGTTTCAAAGCTAGCTCTTGAGATAGAACTAAAATAGCTTAACGAGGAAAACTCTATAACAGGAGAAGAGACCATAAGGGTTAACATAGTTGCATATTATACAAAGATGATGAAGAGTGTAAATTACATCTCATGACACCCATGAGTAACTATTGCACTCAATGATACTTTGGTATACCGTGGGTTCAAAGACCGAATTACACTTAATGAAAAATAGTGTTTGTCATGTACTTATATGTCGTTTTAGTTTTGCAATACAGTAACAGAATGATTTAGAATTATATTCACTTTCAGATAGATGTACGTACATTATATATGAAAATACGTTCATTGACATGTATTAGAGTTTTAGTTTGATATTTGTATATAGTGATATGTCATAGTACTTACACCACATGTTTTAGAATTTTTTGGTTTTTCTTGTCAACATTTTGGAATTTTTATATTAGAATTTTTTGGAGTACGTACAGTATAAAATATTAAAAAGTGTCATGTAGTGCAATAAAAACATGAAGATATCATGGAATACAATAAAAGTCCAAATAAGTGACTTCTGGGATAATTCCCTTTATTTTAACTACATCATAAGATTTCTTCTACATAAAATAATTAATTAATGTAAAACAAAATTGATAATTTACAAAAAAAAATCTAAAACCTGTATTTTTCATAAAATTTCATTAACTCTTCAAATAAGAATTAGGACCAGTCTTGGCATTAACAAAAGGGTAAAGTTCATACCTAAAGTTACAGCTCCTACCCAAAACTCTCGCACCGCGTTTACCACTTTTCCAGCAATCTTGAAACTTCAAGATATTAGAAACCAGACACTCTTGACAAGCCTTAACAGATAAGTCATCCGTACACTGAACCATTCCATACATCTTCCTCTTTGTCCCGAGCCTCTTCTCCCCCGCCCCGTATAGTGCCGGTTTGTTGGCATCTTTTAAATTTTTATTCTTTTCAGTGATGGCTATATGTGATATATTGTCGAAGAGAGTATCCCACTTCAGTATGAATAAATATGGATTATCTCCCACATTCTTCGCGTTGGACATACAAAAACTGTCATCGTAATTGAGCTGCCCTACAGTATCGATCGAAGATATCTCGAGAAGACATTGGTCGAACCATATTATTCCCCCTTTATATCTCGGACATCTCCTACGAAGCTGTCATATACATTTTGCATATCAAAGCCACAATCAATATCAACACTGCATGGACTAATTACATAAAATAAGATATAGTTTTTCTCTGTTATATATTTTAATATCGCTAAGATGTAACCAAAACTGATATATGTGTACACAGATTTATCATGTAAATATTTGGCAGCTAATAAATAATATTGAAGTGACGTTACCCCGGCCATGGCTGAGGCAAAGCAGGAGCGGCACTTGGACCCATAGGAGTCACCACGGCACTGGAGGATAACGCAGATTAGATCTGGACCGTCACCAAAAGACATCATGTCATAACCGCTATTGATATTTTCACCAACCGAGATGGAATGGATGATAGCTTCTAGGCTTTTCTCATGCACACTTCCCGGCTTGTATTTCCCTTGACTGACTAAGCATTTGTGGTTTAGATACGAATTGGTCATGTTTAAAGACGAAACGCTGCGTATAAGGAGCACTTGTGTGGCCACCAGGGCCAAGATTGGGACCAAAACGAGGTGGTTTGATATAGAGTGTAAAAAGTACATTGTTTTTGATGTTGTATTTTTATGTTTTCCAAACGTGGGTGGATAAAGTTTTGAGACTGTGATGTATATGAAGGAGACTAAGAGGGATTTCGATAACTTATAAAATTTTCTTTTCAATTAATTAAAGTTTCTATTAGAGTATAGAGTTTGTAACGGACAGGAGAGGGGAATTAGTATTTGCGGCGACAAGAAAGCCGAAGAAAAAGTAAAAGTTCAAAGGTGTGACTGAGTTCAAACTTTTACAATCACAAGATTTGTACGGTACGTGACAATGAAAGAATTGTTAATTTCCATAGTTACAACTTACAAGATTCTTTGTTTTTTTTGTTTCTTGGTCAAATATATATTATAAGTTTCTAAAATATATCACTTCCCGTCTACTATTACTGTTACGTTTGTATGTTTCTAGATTTTTTTTTATTTTTTTTAAAACAATAACAAACAAATATTGATATTTACTTCTAAAGCAAGATCATGAGATGCTGAGTTCATACACAAACATATGTTGAATTATTTACTAAATAAGTTGATACTTACTAGATTTTATTGAATTACGTGAACATTTACACATATTATCTATTCCTCATTCTTCATTTTATAATAGTGGTGATGCAAAACGTCTACCATATTTCTCCCTCGTGTCGAAATCCAAGTTTTTGGGAAATGTTTTCATAATTTTTAGTTGGTTCATTTAAAATATATGAACATTCCTCAACCTTTTAGTATCTCTTATCTTATTTGTACTTTTTGGGGAAATTATATGTTATTTTGGTGAGCTTCTTTTTCTTACAAAAAATAAATTTTACACGAAAAGTTCAAAAAATAAAATATTTAAAATATATTTCTAAAGCATAACAAACATAAAAAATTATTTGAACTACATGATATTGTTCTTTCTAAACAAAATAAAAAAAATCATATAAATAAAATTTAATGTTCAGGGAAAAAAAATCTAAAAGCATAAGAATTTAAAATTACTTCAAACTAGGACGAGGCTTGGCACTACTAACAAAAGGGTACAGCTCATACCTAAAGTTACAGCCACTACCCATAACTCTAGCTCCTTGTTTACCATGCCAGCAATCTTGAAATTTCACGGCTAAGTGTCCAACACACTTTCGACAACTATTATTAGATATGTCAGTCCTACACTGCACCATCCCGTACAACTTCTTCGTTCCGAACCTTGTATCCCCCGCGGCATACAAATAATCTTTGAGGGCTATACCTACCAAATTGTCGAGGAAAGTCATCCACTTCTCTCCAAACGAATCTACGTTCATTTTCTTCGCGTTGGACATACAGAAATCGTTATCTTTATCGAACTTTCCTTGAGGATCGAACGAAGAAATCTCGACAGTACATTGGTCATACCATATTATTGCCCCCTTATACCGCGGACATCTCCTCCGAAGCTGTCATATACATTTGTCATATTAACGCCAAAATCAGTATCAACATTGCATTGACTAATTTACATATAAGATATAATTTCTTGTCTATTATACATTTTATCGCTAAAATTTGTTGTCTATTATACATGTGTGTGTGCACAAATTTATACATGTAATAATGATATATGTAATAGCTAATCAAAAATGAAATGGCGTTACCCCTGCGATGGCGGTGGCAAAGCAGGAGCGGCACTTGGACCCGTAAGAGTCGCCGCGGCACTGGTTGGTGACACTGACGTAATCAGAATCATCACTAAGGCCCATCATATCGTAACCGTGGGTAAAACCATCACCGCTTCCGATAGAGACTATGATAGTTTGGAGTTGTTTCTCATACCAACTTCCCGGCTTGTATCTCCCTTGTTTGGCTAAGCATTTGTGGTTCAGATAGGCATTGGTCATGTTCAAAGACGAAACGGTGCGCATAAAGACCAGTTGTGTGGCCACCATGGCCAAGATATGGATCAAAAAGAAGCATGTCGATACGGGCGATGAAGAGTACATTGTTTTGGATTTTTGTGTGAGGTGCGAAGGGATTTGTATATTGAATGGAGATAAGTTTTATAAAATATATGTAGTTTACAGTTTTTGGTTATCTTATACGAAAGTCTATTGATTAATTCAGTTTCTAGATTAAATGTTTAGAGTTTGTAACGAAGATGGGAGAGAAGTTGATATTTGCGGCGACAAGAGGGCCGAAGAAAAAGTAAAAGGAGTGACTGAGTTCGAACTCTTACAATCACACGATTTGTACGGTGATGACCTGAAATGAAGGAAATATTATTTTCTTTTAAGTACATATTCTCTGATTTTTTTTTTTTTGTCAAATATGATAAGATTCCAACTTTTAGTCTCATCTACAATTAGCAATTTGTACATCCCCTATATATTAATAGAGAAACATTTTTTAAAAAAAACCTTACCATCATGTGTTATTAACAAGATTGCCACGCTGATGTGTCGCTCTCACAATGATTTGGTTTCTATTTAGATAATTACCCAAGATTTATTAGACTATTTACAGAATTTGCCATTAGTCTCATACATCCATATATCCCATTAATAATTAAAAACATACACTTTTTGTTTATCTTATATTACTGTATTTTTATATTTATATTTTTATATACATTTATATAAATTTTCTTTAGAGGATGGGTAAACAATCTTTTTATTTATATTTATATTTATGTTTATATTTAAATAATAAAATATAAACATTTGGTTCAAGAATCTCGAATTCAAAACTACAAAATCTTTACATCTTTCATAAATTTTTTACTTAGATAAATAAGATAATCTCCTTTCTATATATGTTACGAATACTTAAAATCCTATTTTTTGGAGGAATTCTAACTTTTCGAAGAAAAACATTATAACCACATTTGTATATAAACCAAAATCTGGCCACATTATAACCATTTCGTAAATAATCCATTCATAATCTATGAATCGTAGATTTAGAACACTACAAAATCTTAGCTTGGAAACTATCAAATCTCATCTTTGCTAAATTTTGGATTTCTTATACTTATTAAAAAAAAAAAATCTTTTTATACTACAAAATCTCGAAATCTTTAAAACATACGGAAAGACATATTGCCATAAATGGTAATATTTCGTCAATACTTTTTTATAACGTTGAAGCTTTATTCAAGGTTCAAATATTTCACGGGCAAAACATATTCTTATATGAAATAGTCCCAAATTTGAATAAAACAAAAAAAAATTTGTAACATGTTTCGTTTTACACAAACGGGTATTAGATCCCGGATAATAATTTTAATCATAATAATTTTACTTGAATCACTTCATCCCGCACATCGTGCGGGTTGTTATCTAGTGTAATAGTATAACTAGGAAAGCTTAATAACAAGAAAAGAGAAGCCGTACTGGTTAAACTTTGTTACATAGAAAAAAAAAATAAAAAATAAAAAATAATAAACTTTGTTGCATAATACTCGAGAGACTGTTGTGTGGAAAATTTTCAGTCGTGAGTGAGACACCGGCCAAGCTGGCTGCGTCGGACTGGTTAGTTTATTTAAAAGGTCGGTTTTGGTGGTTCTTTTTTTTGTTAATGGGTTTAAAATATGGGCTCCACTAATTAAGTTTTGATGTTACGTTATTTATTTATTTGGGCCTACTGAGAGACTAATTAATTAGGCCTAGATTTATTAATTACCTTTGGAAAGCCCAACCAACTTGACCGACTGCACCAAGATCCGTTCTTTTTTAGGCTGTTGAGCTTTTCCAGTCCGGTTCGGTTTTCTAGATCTTCGGTTTATGAATAATGGTTTCAAAATAAACATGTAAACTAAAATGGATGGTTTGGTAACGTTTTAATTTTTGTTGGGATTCTGGTTTTAGTCAAATATATTCTTAATTTACAAAGAAACTTCGGTTCTAGATCAATACTCGAACTCGAGACCTCTGACACTCATCTGTGAGAAAGAAATACCACTAGACCATAGACCCTTTCTCTTAAAATTGATAAAGTTTTTTCATGAATCCAACTTATTCTTCTCTTAAAATTGCAATCTCTCCTATCCACTTTCCACCTTAACGATTTTTCTCCCAAACTTGTGATCATTTGTTTAATAAATATCCACACTGTTTTATGTTCAAAACAATGAAAGTATTGATTAAGATACTATTTTCTAATTATATGATCTGTTAGCTCATCGGATTTTGTTAATGTCAAATAAGTTATTACAAGGGACTTATAACAACATACCCAAACTCTATACTTTTATGATAAAGAGTTTGTTTCATTACATGCTATAATATGGCTTATGGTTTTCCATTTTCTTGGAAAACAGTTTTTACGAACACAAATGGTCTAGACTCCAACAAATTGCTTTAGACATAACTCATAAGACATCATATTCATAATATCACCGTCCAAGCAAGTTTCTCCAACTTCGATCAAGATATTTTATAAACTAGCCAGGGTTATAGTTACGCGTATACATGCGTAAATTAAATGTGATAATATGTCCTACATACTATATTTAAAAAAAAAATCTGAATAATAAAATTGCAAAAAAATAATGGTCACATACTTTTTGGAAGATTGGACGGCTAAAGTCTCGACCAACAGGCAACAATAAAGAACAGACAGAAAAATCTGAGGACAAAATTAGAAAATAAAAAAGCTTTTGGATTTTGAATCAATATGATCCACACAAGTGGACTTACGCATCAACACTGAATCAACTTGTGGACAACAACATCTCTCTTTTTTTTTTCCATAACGTATCAAATATAATAATATTCTTCGTCTCATTATTATTTCAGTCCGTCTAATAAGTGTTCGTATTTTTATCACTCCATTACTTTTTTTTTTTTTAATATCTGAAAGTTCAAGTCCGAAGACCCTATAGCTCTTAGAGGCGAGACTCACACCAAGTTAAATTCATTTCTTTTGGAGAAGAGATCCCTCCCAACGGACGTCGAACCCAATACCTCCACTTAAAAGATTTACCACTGGGCTAACACAAAATTTTGTAGATGAATATCGTAGGTTAAGTAGTTTAATATAAACTTTTAGACAAAAAAAAAAGTAGTTTAACATAAACAAGTTAGCTATGTAATGAGATGTATTAGTACTCTCTTGTGCGTTTATAAAAGTCTCTCTTTTTTTCTTTTTAGTTAAAAGTCTCTCTTTTATCACTTAAAAAATCTTTGAAACCATCCCTTTGATTCAGTATTGAACCAGCATGGAAAATGCCTACTCAAATTACATTACCTAATGGCTAATGCCAAAGTTTTTATTTCGTCCGATTAATCTTCAATAGTAAACATATGCAGTGGAAGAATCTAAATAACATTGATTAATATCATTCGCGATATTTGTGAATATTATACATTCTAATTATCGTAATGTTCACGCATTGTACTAGTTTATAGAATTTGAGTTAACGAAATGTATGACTCGGATCGTCGTTACATGTGTAAACGATGGCGACATATATGATGTGTTGCTTATGTTTTAAACGATCTAATATATTTTGACAACAATGAATAATCTTATAATTTTTTTTGTATGAAAAATAATCTTAGAATTTTGGTTAAAGAGATTCAAGAATATATTTTAGTATTTTACTGACATGAATATGCGTTTAACTATGTCTACTTTGCCAAATGAAACTTAAGGATCCAAACTAATAGTCTTCAAATATTTATTTTATTTCGTCCGATTGGATTAGGTATTATCATCTGTTATAAGAATTGTAGTATGCAACTAATCTTATTAAGTTGCTTTCACGATATATAGATTAGTAAATAATTTACTATGAAAACCCAGCAAACAATATATATATATTACAAACACTGTTTACGAATAATGTGATGTTAACTACAAAACCAAATTACTTATACCCTTACTTATATACGTACTAGTAAGCAATCACACGCAATGTATAACACTTCTATTTATCAAACCTTTTAAATTAAAAGGTATTATTCGTAATTTGTGGGGTAGCTTTCACTAATAAAAAACAAATAAATGACTAATAAATCAACCCAAATAAAATCTTTAAATGTGAACCATACAAGTGAAGTCCTATTTGCTTCGACTGATAGTAAGCTTATATAATTAATTAAGAGTTGACTGATTAACCACCACACAATGTCCCAAAGATGACCAATAACAACGATATTGATATCACCCTGAATTCTAGCCGTTTCTTATGCGTACCCCCTATCCTCCACTAATCACTTGTAGTATCTTTTATTTTTCTTCTAAACAATTCCTAATTTTTTAACTAAAAAAATTGTCACAAAATTCAATAGAACAAAATCTTAAATATTGTTCGTCTCTCCAAAATCAATCTAGTTCTCTCATTAGTGTGATATGTCTGTTTTGGACCGGGGACTAAGTATGCACGGATTTGTTTTTAGGTTTCCCAAAAAATCTCATAGAAATTGGAATAGGACTTGACTTATATATTAGACTATTATTATTCTAATAGTTTTCCGATGTCGGACATTGTTGGTATGTATCTCAACAAATATAAGAAACATATGAGATAATATGTAATTATGTACCATTTTATTATTTCTAATATCATTTTTGTCAGACTAATTCTAGAACCTTAACTATCATGTAAATTAACTATCATATAACTATACTCGCAATCTTTCATATCTGTTTATGGGAAATTTTTTTGTACCTTTCGGTGCATCTATATAAATCTTAAATTCTTAATAGTTTAGTTTTTATCGTACATCGTAATCACATTACAATAAGATACAATTAACATCATATCATCCCCCAAAAAATAAAACCAAAAAACAATGATTCATATCTGATGTGGTGGGTGATATAAACCAAAAGAAGTCGTACTAGGAGTTTGTTTCGAAAACTTGAAAGTTGTGCGTCCAATATGAGGACGAGAGATCGCTTGGAGGAGAAACGTTTTTAATTTTGAAATTAACAATTTTGCCATCATAAGGGCATTTAAGTCAAAATAACAGGGCAAGATTCATCCACGTGTACAACAACAACACAACACATCATTATATTATTTTATGACAAAAAAAAATCTCCATTTAGTTTTAAAGAAACAAGATTCCTATATAAATGTATAACGTTTCTCCTATTAACAAATCTTCTTTCCTCAATATCACCCACAAGAACAAGAGAGAGAAAGATTTAGAAAAATGTGTAGAGGCTTGATCTTTAATGAAGAAGAGAACAGAAGAAGCGACGGTGGTGGTTGCCGGAGTCTTTGCACGAGACCGAGTGTTCCGGTTAGGTGTGAGCTTTGTGGCGGCGACGCCTCCGTGTTCTGTGAGGCTGACTCGGCGTTTCTATGTAGAAAATGTGACCGGTGGGTTCATGGAGCGAATTTTCTAGCGTGGAGACACATAAGGCGCGTGCTATGCACTTCTTGTCAGAAACTCACGCGCCGGTGCCTCGTCGGAGATCATGACTTCCACGTTGTTTTACCGTCGGTGACGACGGTGGGAGAAGCCACCGTGGAGAGTAGAAGTGAACAAGATAATCATGAGGTTCCGTTTGTGTTTCTCTGATTTTTTAGTTTTTTTTTTTCTTTTTTTTTTTTGGTGTAAGATATAAATATTCCTAGGTTTTTATGCAATTTTCTATTAAGAAAAATCTGGGAAATTTAATTTTATGAAGCTTAGAATCTTAAGAAATGGGTATCGACTAAAATAGCAAAAAATATCTGCAATAGAAAGGAAAGAAAGAAGTATCCTTTGTAATTGAGTGGGGTATATTCTTCGAATCTTTTGAATTTTTCTATTATGCAGTGATTGTAACCACAACTAAAATCCATAAAAGAAATTTCCTGTAAAAGAATAAAACAAAATCCATAAAAAATTGCTGTAAAAATAATATTAAATCACCAAACTCAATGTTGAAGCAGGAATGAATCAGAGCGGCATATAGACTGTCTGTTTGGAATTTTATTATAGATTTATTTGGGTTTCTATTTCTGACATCACACATCAATTTGTTTTCTTTTTGTTATTGTGTGTTTCTCACTACTTCTTTGGGCTTATCATTTTCCTTAATTAGAGGTACATAAGAGCTATAATAACTAAACTTTTCACAAGTGAAACATCTTCTTAATGCAATGCTAACTCACTAATTAAGTAAATTTAGGAAATAGAATTATTTTATAGTCTTGAAGCAAGTTAAACGCGTGCTCTGTACCACCTTTATACAGAGAATGAAGCAGATTGTAATCACTGCTACTTTATTTATCAAAAATCAGCTACCAAATTTATTTGTATAAAAGAAAAAAAAAAACAACTTAAAAATATCAAAAACAAAGATAAATATAAAGACGCAAAATTACGAAATTTTTTCACCATTTTGGCTTCCACCATCTTTGTTTTCTCCAACGTTCCCATGCCTCAACATGTTGATTTATTCGATCCATAAAAACTATACACAAATAAGACAAAACGATTACATTACTTTTCCGACAAGAAACTGTTTTTACCAACCTTATCATCATCATGAAGCATGATTTGTGTCTGTTTGGGAAAGAAGACTGTACATTATTTTTGTAAAATTTCAATTGTTTGTCGTCGGTGATGATGGGTCATAATCATAATTGTCACCAGCTTTCACAAATCTTCCTTTCACTCTTTTCCTCGTGTCAGCTCTTGCTTTGCGCGATGCATATCGAATCTGTTTCCCGAAACTAAATATTAAACTTGATCCAAGTTAATATAAACTATGTTTTGTAATGATTAGTAATAAACTTACGAGCGCAAAAAAAAAAAAAAAAAAAAAAAACTTACGAGCGCTTTAATTTCTTCTCCATGTATCTCAACTTAGCCTGGTTTCTTGCTTGTGGACAACTAACTTCAAGATTCGATTCCCATGGCGCTTCACTCAATATAAACCCTGGAGACATTCCACATTCCTGATAATCAGCTGCATTGCTTTCACCTGTGATGTTGGAGATGTTAAGCGATGGATGGATTTGTCCGAACAAGACAGGTGATAGAGGAAGCGGAAGTCCAGTGTTGATGTTCATTTGTTGTCCTGGTGACGATGCCTGAAAACAAAATAACACAATTTTCATTAGAAATTTTTCTTAAGGTACTAGAAACTACAACAACAGAAAAAAAAGTGAAAGAGACCTCTAAAGCCTTGTCTATAGTAAAGTTTGAGGTGGTAACTACGGATGTGTTATTCTTGTCGATCAAGAGGCAATTTGGTACCGTATGGTCCGGTTCTATGTGTTCTTCTAAAGAACATCCGATAATATCATCTCCAACGTCAAAGTTTAACGGCACATTGTCAAAGTTAAGCCCTTCACATAGATCTTCTTCCCCTTCTTCAAGTTTAAGAACCAAATCAGGATATCCCTGGAAATACACATTCAAATAAGAACCATATTGTTCATCAAGAACTTAAGCAACACTTTTAATTTCCTCTATTTATTACCTTAGATTCCACGGAAAAGAAAGACAATTGGTCACTGAAACTCTGAGTGTCATTGAAGTTATGTGGCACCATGGAATAAGCAGAACCGATCAAACCGTCTAATTCGTTGATTTTCGCCATTCCAAACATGGTATTGTTGGGATCATTCAAGGGCAAGGAACCAACAAACGGACTAAGCAAACCGGAAACAGAAGGTTCAAGAATTGAAGACCACATTCTGACAAAATCTGTAGGAGAAGGACAACCAGTGAAAGGATTCAAGCTCTGAACTCTGTGTCCTAAATCCGAGCAGTTGCTTCCATTCCAATGACATCCTTGGCAGTATGAAACCTTCTCGCCGAGACAGCGAATTACGGCAGGCTGTGAGAAGCATTTCTCGCATATCAAAGAGCGGGTGTGCCTGTGAGATAGAGGATTCGCAGAGTGTACGTAGAAGTCGCAGTTTTGGCATAGTTTAGCCAAATCGGATTTGCAATAAATCACTGCTTGTGAGGTTGCACAGTGGTCACACTTTGGCTCCATACTTGGACACATGATGAACAAGATGAATTTGTAAAAATCAAAGAAAAGTGTATAGAGAAGAATATAACGTTTAATTGTTCAGTAAAACACACGTAAAGATCCTGCACAAAATAGATGCACGAAGATGTCAGATGCAAATCATGGAAGGAAAACTATGATTTTGGAATTTCAGATCGTAAAATATGGGTGCATGATAGGGTTTTGTGTTTTAACTACATTAAAACACATTAAATTGCGAGAAAAAATGTAATAATTTGTGACGTTTCAAATAGAAACACATGTTTTTGAAAGCTTCTACGGAGGAAGAAGCACTCACTTATGATGACCGAGATCGATTAGTGAGTCACAACCTTTTGTCGCAAAATATCGAGAAACTCAAAACCCAATAATGGAAGATTACGAAGAAAACAGATTACAATATAAGAACAAAATATTTTTATGAATCGAATGAAATGTGAAGAAGAACAAAAAAGAGTTTTTACACTTTTACAGTGGTGTGCGAATCACGTAGAAGAAAGAGAGGTAGGGTTGCTCTTTTATACTTAACGAAAGCGTGTGTCCACGCGGTGAAAAACCACGTGGCGTAATTATGAGCCTTGACGTGATTTATTATGAAGCCATGCAGGTAATTGTGATTTCATATCGCTCGTCAAAACTATCTGATTTTTTCTTGCTCCATAGATTTTGTGCTCTGTGGCAAACCTTAAAACTCGTTGGTTCGGGTCGATACTTAATGAATATTAATAAATCGTAGATTTCAAGACGTAATAATTGAAAATAATTAACTCTTTTAGATTATCATTGGTTCATAGTTTATTAAAAATATTTAGTAAAAATAAATAATTATCAAATAGCTAAACAATCTAATATATGTGAAATCACTAGAAAATCAATCTTTTAGACGCATAGGGAATATTTTTTGCAGTTGACTCTTGAATAGAAATATGTTGTTAGCATTTCTAACTTTTTGATCAGGCTGCCCTGAAATTTTGGGATTCCTAACCTAAAAGAAATTGTCATCTATTTTGTAAAGAATTTGTTATTAAAAGATAATTGTAAAATTTGAAGTAGTAATCCTTTGAAACAATCCTCAGAGACCGAACTATTTTTTTTTTTTTTTGCACACCAACCTAACTATTTAAAACTGATACAATTTTAGAAAAAAATGCCTTACGCAAAGAAAATGATATATAGATTTGATAGATATAAAAGTACGAAACATGATCATTTTTAATGTAAGCAAAGATAAATGAACTAAAAAACACAGAGATAAAAAAAATGGCGTACATAACATTATAATACAATGAACTCTCCTTACTAGACATGTATGACTGAACGACAACGCGTATGCCTTCTTTCAAATATGTAAGTATCTAACATTAGTTTATATCTATCAACGCGTATACTATATTTAGTATTTACATCAAGAATATGTTCCAGCATATGTAGTAAAATTTGTGTACTGTGAGACTTTTCAAAGGAAATTGTACTAGTCCCGGACGAGAAAATTGTGGACCAAGACCCGGAAACTTTTTGTAATTAAAGGAAAAAAAACAATAATGCTAGTAATATGCAGCAAATTAAGTGGAAATAAAGTTATTTGTTTGATAAATGATATTGATAACTAATTCTAATTTAATACAAAAGTCATCGGAATCCTATCTTCTCACAGAGTGACACGTGTCAACCCATCTCATAAGCTGGTCCAAAGTCAGACCAAACATGATAACATCCCCACGTTACATCTTAAGCACATCGTATCTCCACCACCCAATCTACAAGCCATATATACCCAAAACGAACTATACAACATGGCCCATTAACGTGAGAATTGAAGAGAACCCATGTTAACCGTAGCCGGAGACGATGAACTAGACCCGGTCGTGGGACCAGAGCCGCCAACGGAAGCAGCCACTCCAAGAGTGTTGACTATAATCTCCCATGTGATGGAGAAGCTCGTGGCACGAAACGAGTGGTTAGCTAAGCAAACTACGGGATTCGGGAAGAGCTTGGAGGCGTTTCACGGTGTCAGAGCACCAAGCATAAGTATAGCAAAGTACCTTGAGAGGATATACAAGTACACAAAATGTAGCCCGGCGTGTTTCGTTGTTGGGTATGTGTACATAGACCGGTTGGCTCATAGACATCCTGGTTCTTTGGTTGTCTCCTTGAATGTTCATAGACTCCTCGTCACTTGTGTCATGATTGCTTCCAAGATACTAGACGACGTGTAAGTTAGCCTTTCTTGAATTTCTCATATATCGTTGTATCTTAATTGATTAATAAAATTAAAATACATTTTATATCTAACCAATAAAAATGAGGACAAACTTTGAAACTATACGTATATTAAGTGCCCCTTTTTAAGTTATTGATTTCGAGATTTCGACATGTATTAGATGAGATAATAGAGGCTTTTTTTCTCTAACTAATTTCTTATTCACAGGCACTACAACAACGAGTTCTATGCTCGGGTTGGAGGCGTGAGCAATGCGGACTTGAACAAAATGGAGTTGGAGCTTCTCTTCCTCCTTGACTTCAGAGTGACAGTGAGTTTTAGAGTTTTTGAGAGCTATTGCTTTCACCTCGAAAAAGAGATGCAACTAAACGGCGACGTTTCATCCCTCAAAGATATTCAACCAATGCAAGAAAGTCTCTCTCCTTCATCCTCTTTATCATCTTTATATGAATGATATGTATACAATTTTTTTTTATATTTCTTTTAACTGACTGCGTTTGGTTGACAGAAAAAGTTTATCAACCGACTATCCAAATTTTTAATTTTTTTTACAGAAATTATCTCAAATTTCTGCTAAAAAAACTAATCAAGATCTCAAACTATGTATACTAGATTAGGACAATGATTTTACAATGTAAACTAGATAATTTAAATAGTTTGCAATTTTCAACTAAAGTAAATAGCTTTTTTCCTACTTATTTCACATGATGTTTTGTTCTTCATATTCATCTCTCTATTTCCTTCTTTTCACATGTAAAATGATACTCCATGATTGCTTAAGTATCCAACAACAACAAACCTCAAACCAATTCTAGTTTCCTAACTTTCTTGCTCCTCTAATTACCTCCACTTCATCGTGTAAAATTTCCTCTAAACAAGAACAAAACTCACCGTTTCATACAGATCAGATCCAACGCACCCTACGATACAAACCATGGTCTCACATGCTCATCCACCGCCACGTGTAAAACAAGACACGTGTCCAAACACTTTGACTTTGCCTAGTTGTGTTCTACGGGAAAAAAAGTACAATTCCTCTTTTCTCTCTAAAGTCAGGAGAGGGCTCGAGAACAGTGCCAATATCCGAAAGCTGAAGCTAAGAATCTGAAAGTTCGAGTCTTTACGCGTTTAAAACGACGACGTATTTGAATTTCGCTTTGAAGGAAAGGTGAAATTAATGGCGGAATCGTCGTCGCCGTCGCCTAGTGAAGAGATCGTTCGGTTGATTAAGCGTTTAAGCGCTTATGTTGCTTTCAAAATGTCAAGCCTTTTCTCTACTACATCGATTCGAAATCTGGTTTTTTTTCTTAATCTCTTCTCTTTATATCGGATCTGGGTCAGATTTTGGTTTATCGATGGTGGAATTGAATTCAATTTTGACTGATTAATTGGTGAATTAGGGAAATGATTCTTCAAATTTGAGTGATTTAGCTCAAATTTGAGTGATTTTAGGTGGTTTGGGATTAAAAAGATTCCAACTTTTGAGTTATTGTTATGTAGTTGATTTGTTGTTGATGTTGTTGTGATTAGGATTCAAGATCGATTGGTGCGATTGCGGGGCTTGCGATTGCGGTGATTTTTACGTGGAGGGCGATAAGAACGCCGGGGGAGCAACGTCAAAGAAGGCAGCCGAAGCGTAGGATTAACAATGCAGAAACGTCTAGTGCTGCTGCTGCTCAGTCGAATGTAGCTTCGGTACTTCCTGAAGTTTCTTCGCCTCGTGAGGATAACGCGGTGCAAGATGTTGTTGATCAGTTCTTTCAACCTGTTAAAGTAACATTTTGTTTCTCTATCCAATTTTGAAATCTTGTGTTACCGTATTCGCTTTGTTCTGTATTAATTCAGAATCCTCTTTATTTGCAGCCTACCTTGGGGCAAATAGTTAGGCAGAAGCTTAGTGAAGGAAGGAAGGTAATTTCATATCAGCATTGATAGTGTTGGCCATGTTAGATCATCGAGAATTGTTTTTATACGAGTTTGAGCACCTTATTGAGTTGTGTAATATGCATTTATAGGTAACATGCCGTCTTCTTGGAGTAATTCTTGAGGAAACAAGTCCAGAAGAACTTCAAGTAATGATATTTTCTTTTGAAATGTTATTTATATAATGTGTGATGCGTTTGTACCTGACACGAGTGATTTCGTGTAGAAACAAGCAACAGTGAGGTCATCTGTTTTGGAAGTTCTCCTAGAGATTACAAAGTATAGTGATTTATATCTCATGGAAAGAGTTCTTGACGATGAAAGCGAAGTGAGTAACAACTTCTTGTTCTAGTCAATGTTCCCTCTCATTCGTGTTCTTTTGTTGGCCTTTGTGTTGGAACTAGTCTCTAGCATGACACAGTAAATCAGTCGTGGTTATTATTATACATGGTTAGCTTAAATACTCGGGCAGTAGGTCATAACATGGATGTTCGTATAGATAATAGTTGGGCGATGAATAATGTTTGACTAGAAGGATTCTTAAGCAGATATCTTTACATTGTTAGAGGAAGAATTCAAGTTCATTGGTGCAACGAAATGCTTGAGACGTTTGTGCATTCTTGTAATCTCTTTCCCGGTTGACAGAGCCAAGCGGGTATTCTCAGTAGTTTCTGAAACTCACATTTTGAGCTCAAATATGCAGGCCAAAGTTCTACAGGCTTTAGAGAATGCAGGAGTTTTCACATCTGGTGGTTTGGTCAAAGATAAGGTATGCAAATCGAGCTTTCTTCGACAATGTTGTACCCGTTAACTATCTCAAATAGCTTTGTAATAGTCTTATCAAAGCATGACATATCGATATTTCTCTCTATGTTTTGACAAAAGTGCAAGAATTACAATTCTGTAAATATGAAATTGCAGGTCCTCTTTTGTAGTACAGAGATAGGAAGAACTTCCTTTGTCAGACAACTAGAACCTGACTGGCATATCGATACAAACCCGGAAATCAGCACACAACTAGCTGTAAAGTCCTTTCCTCGTTTCCTCATTTACATTCTTACTTTGCTTTTAGTTTAACTCATTCTCTCTTATTTGCAGAGGTTCATCAAATATCAGCTTCACGTCTCTACGGTGAAACCCGAGCGAACGGCTCCAAATGTGTTCACCTCGCAGTCAATAGAACAGTTCTTTGGATGTGTTTAATGTCAACAAAAAAGAGAGGTGAAAGATACTACGTTGTCCTGACCTAAGCATCATTGATCGAGTGTCTCTTAGGCTGAAACTTGAAAAACCTGTTTTATGTTTCTTTATTGTGTCTAAATTAAAGTTTGATATACATTTTGGAGTTAGATATTATTACTGCGAATGTCTCTGTGAAAGTATCCAAGTTTGTAATTTTTGTATTAGCAACTTAGCACAAGTCTTAATGAAATAAACAAATGTCCCCATCTCTTCCTACTTCTGTTTTTGGCCATTAGTTCATAAACGAAGTGAATGCTTGAAGAAAATAAGACATAATTTCTTTGCTTTCATTTTTCTTTGATTTTGTTTCTTTATTATAACGTAAAACTTCATATAGTTAAATCCTGATCTTCTTTATGTGAAAACAATGGATGATCAAATAAAACTGTGTGCTGAAGTTTCCTAATTGGAACATTTAGTGGTATTAAGAGAAAACTAAGTGATCTAGACATTGCCGTGTAATACTACGATCAATTGCGTAACACGTGAATATATGCATGCATTTATAGAAAGTTTGAAGACGCGTTATGTGAATAAAACAACATCATAGTGCATTTTTGATGAAAAAGTTTATTTGAAAATTTGAGTCGGTGGTTAGTCCAATAGATAAAAAGGGAATTACATACAAACTTACAAGTAAACACATCAAAAAGTTGTGGTTTTAATCAAAAAGACACATAAAAAAGGACTTTAGTGAAAGAGGCGAAGAGCAACATCAACGTGAGTAGACATACAACTTCATGCTTTCGTGACTTACTTGACACGATACATGCATCTATGAAAGTTAGGGCTTATAAATAGACAAGCGCATAGGTTCATAACTTCATTACCTTATTATTCAATCCTTCTATCAAATCTTCAATCTTTCATCAAATTTCTTCCAGAGAAAAACAAATCTCCCCCACAACGAAAAAACACAATGTCGACGAATAAGATCACCTTGACGAGCTCCGATAGTCACTCATTCGAGATCGAAAAAGACGTTGCATGCCAATCCCAGTTCATAGCTGGTATGATTGAAGAGGATTGTACCGATAACGGAATCCCGGTTCCAAACGTGACAGGCAAGATTCTTTCGATGGTGGTTGAGTACTTAAAGAAGCACCACGTCGGTGATGCTAACCCTTCCACCGACGAGGATCTCAAGAAGTGGGACGCGCATTTCATGCAAATCGATCAATCTACCATCTTTGATCTCATTCTTGCTGCGAATCACCTAAACATCAAAAGCCTTATTGACCTAACATGCCAAACTGTCGCGGATATGATCAAAGATGAAACTCCAAATCAGATTCGCGAACGCTTCAACATTGAGAATGATTATACACCTGAGGAAGAAAAAGCTGTTCTTAAGGACTATCAAAAGGCTTTTGAATGAGGGGATTATCAAAACATAAGCAGCTTTCTTTCTTTTCTTTTCTTTTCTTGTTCAGTGTGTGTTTTTCAGTTTCTATATCAATGTAGATGATGGTGACTTCGTCTACGTTCGATAATCCAATAATGAAAGCAGCTTGCTATGTTTTCTCCTTTAGTGTGTGTTTTTCAATTTCTTGATCAATGTAGTTGATGATGACTTCATCAAAGTTCAATAATCAAATAACGAAAGTAGACATATATTTCTTTTATTGTGATTCTTAAAGAAAATACTCTTTTTTACTCGATGAAATACTTTTGTATTCCTATAGTTGTTTTGATTAAAATTCTGATAAGTTATGGCTTGTTTAACCTTATAAAATGTATTCAAAATTATACATAATTCAGTCGAAATATTTACATTTATATAGATTTAATTTTTTTTTGTGCACCCCAAATATAGATTTAACTAGATCCGGACCCGCACGTACGTGCGGGGTTTATATTTTACGATATGTGTTTTATAAAATATGTTTTTCAGAAGTAGTATTTAACAAATTATTTTATATTTTTGTAGTGTTTTATATAATTGTATATAATTCATAATAATATATAAATTTATTGGAAAATTTTATTTTGTGTTTTAAATAAACTTTGGTACACAAGTTGGTTATTGTTTGATAGAATATAAATTTTGAATAGAAAAGTAAGTATAATTGTTTTATAGAATTAGTTTATTGGTTTGGGTGATTGATAAATAATTTGGATAGTTGCAGAATATTGGTGTATAATAGTATAATAGTATTTATGATTGTTTATAGAATATGTAATTTTAATTAAATGGCAAACAATTGTTTTGCTCCTACGAAAATAATGGATATCATTTGTCATTAAAAGGCTATAACCCAACGAAAATTTAGAAGCCCATTAATATATCAGATAGCAATTTTCTTTTGGGCCGTAACAGACAAAATTGTCTTCAGATCGTTTCACATAAACGAATGATTTTTTTTATTGCATAAATGATTTTTTTTTCCATAACAGATAACTCTAGAACATTGTCTTATCGTCTTCACTAAAACACACCGAAAAAAAATCAGACGGTTGTTCGTAATAAAAATCATTCGCAAAATTGTCTTATAATCAAGATACTATGTCTTCGTTTATCATCTGTTAATCGTAACACCGGAATTCTACAAAGAGGTAAACTTATTATTGTTTCAGATTTTTGACTTTATTTTTTCCATATGTTTCGATTGAAATTCCAATCTTTGAAATTTTATGTTTGAACAGAGCTCATGGGCGTTGATTATCAAGAACCCGATAATATATGGGTAAGTAATGCTAATTTTATATCTTTAAAGTTTTTGAATAAAGAGGTAGAAACAGTTTTGCAAATCTCAGGTGATTGTTCGATCTAAGAATCAATCCCAAAATTTTCTGATAATCAAGCTATTACGTCTTCGTTTATCATTTTTTCATGTCAAATTCATAAAAGAGGTAAGCTATGGATTTGATTGTTATTATTGACAAATATTTAAAAAAAAATGTCAATTCTAATTCGAACTTTGAAATTTTCTGTTTAAACTGAGTTCTTGGGCAATGATTGTCAAGAACCCAGATCGTTACATATAGAATTACATAAATCTCAATCTCTTTACATAAATCGTCAGTTGTGGGATAGTTTATTTGAGTGTGTTAGCTAGTAAACCAATTTCTTTACATAAATCGTCTGTTTTCCGATTTAAGATTTTTAGGAATTTGATTGTCTATAAATAATTATTAACAGTTGATTTTGAGTTCTGATATGTGTTTTAATTACAATTTTTTCTATATATATTTCAGATAATGGTTTGCCCAACGATGTTGCCAAAAGAAGATGATTCTGAATAAAATTAAATGGCAAATTTTATGTCATTTAGAAGCCATACCAGAACTGGAAGCAATGTTAAAGGTTAGTGAAGTGTTAATGATTCAACTTTTGTTTAATCTATAATAATATTTAGCTATTGTTAGTTGTTACTCTTTCTGAATTAGTATAATTGTTTTGTCATTGTATGTTTTCAGATTTGACTAAATTTTCCCTTTTGTTTGTTCAATGTATACAGTCCAAGCATCAGTTCAAAGTTAAATTATCATGGATGAGGCAGATTTGATGTTACCTTTGTAGCAATTCAGAAATATAGAAGCTTCGGTAAAGGTTAGTGAGTTGATAAGTTTAAGATCTCTCTTTAGCCCATATAAATTTTAGAGTATGTTATCTCTTTTTGAACTCGTAGACTTGTTATATAAAATATGTAGTTGTCAATAGTTACAAACGTTATCAATTTTTATGAGTAACTATGTAATTGTCAATTATTTGTTTTGATAGTGACTATTGTTAATTAAACCGAGTAAGTTTTAATTATACAACGGCAGACCGCTCAAGACAGGAAATGTTGAGTGTCATGAGCCCAATGCCAATAAATCGTTGGCCATTCCGTAGGTACATGTTTTGCTTCAATTTTTACCCTTCGAAAAGAGCATCAAACAACTTGTTTGGTTGGCTCTTAACAAAACCTTCATTGATCTAAATCAGCAGAGGAGAGGGAAACCCAACAATGGTGTCAAGCCCACATACCCATAAAGCACCAAAACATGCACCTTGTCCACCCTTTCGAACCAAACTCGCAGAGATGAAGCAAATCACTGCTGTTCTTTTCCAAGACCAGACACCGTTTCCTTCATGATGCATCATTCCTTCTGTTCTCCAAAGGCCGACTTTGTTCAAACTAATGGCTCCAAAGCACCCTCGAGTGCTCTTCTATGAGCATGAATTATGTCAAGCTGTTGCTTAAAACAACCTTACCTGATTACAGTTGCTGCAGTCAGACTCTTCATATTGGTTTCCTCTCTTTCTGTTGATATTAGATTTTGTCTTCATTACATTATTGATCATTTCTCTTGATGATCATCATTACCTATAGTAAGAAGCATGCAAGATCGGTGCATGCTAGTGGTGCTGCCATTTTCTTAGAAGGGTCGTGAAGAGAACAGATGAAAGCTTTTTAAAGGTGAGTGTGTATCTTCAATTGCATTCTTTACACTATATTTATAGTAAACTCAAGTCGTAGCATTTTGTTAGGGTTTAGTGAATTTCGGCATAAGAATATATTTTCGAGAAAGCATATTTTAGGTATATGCCTGATTTGTTTCTATATGAATCTAGATATGAAAGCTTTTTTTTAGTAAAATTATTAACTAAATACAGATTTGAAGAGATTTTTTATTTTCAAAATATCGGTTGTTATAAAAATATCGGTGAACTGATTTTTTATAAATCGAATTTATTGTTTTGCTTGTTATGGAATTATATTCGAAGCTATCGAATCTTATTTATTGAAATTTTAATTGCTAACATTCCGTAAATTATGTATAGAGAAAGAATTTTCTTTAGTTGTTCCGATTTGATGCAACACATATCCTTGATTTTTGTGATTAAAAATCATAACTAAATATGGATATATACTGATTTTATTAGTTGTGGTAATCAATCATAAATGAAATCGAATATGTTCGGAATTAAGTTTCTTTAAATCTACGGAATATATGGGATTTGGGTTGATATGGAAATATTTACGAAGTGATAATTTCTAATTCGAATTTTTAAATTTGCTTTATATGGAAATATATGTGAAGATAGTTAATCTAATTTATTTTTACTTGAATTCATGTAGATCTCGTCCATAATTATTAGGCTAGATATTGGGCTAATTTACTCGAAAGCCCAATATGATTATTCTGCAGGATCCGCGTGTTTTACCGTTTGTGTACCCGGGATCCGCGCGTTTTACCAAATTGGGATCCGAATAATGATCCAAGATCCGCGTCCTTCAGAGTGCGAAAATGTCCATTTTACCCCTCAAAGATTTCTTTTATTTAGTCATAGAATTAAAAATTTGTAATGGCATCCTTTGTAATTCTTTACCCTTTATAAGGTTAATTATTATCCAATGCTTCCCAATTAATAGTATAGATTAAAACGCTATATTTACATGTATACAATAGAGATGTATTAAAACGCTATCTTTTTCAAAAAATTGAGATGTATACAATATTTTTTTAACAATAAACAAAAATTGCAAATAATGAGATCAAAGCTTAATTAAACATATATCTATTTATAGGAACTTTATAGATGCGTATAAGATATAATATATTAATGCCCCTTTGAGAAATTGTTAAAAATGCCCCTTTTTCAATGCCCCTTTTCAAAAATGCCCCCTTTGAGAGTCCATTTTTAAGTTTGCCCTCTTTTAATTTTTAATGACCATTTTACCCTTATTTGAAACAAAATTAGGTCCACAAAATACAAAATATTTTTTGGCGGGAAAAGTGATCCCGCAATTTTCCCGCCAAAACACTTGTAAAAAACCTTTAAAATACCTTGTAAAATTTTTCCCGCCAAAAAATTTTTTTTGCGGGAAAAGTGATTCCGCAATTTTTTTTTTTGGCGGGAAAATTTTTGGCGGGAAAAATTTACAAGGTATTTTAAAGGTTTTTTACAAGTGTTTTGTAAGGTTTTACAATGTATTTTAAAAGGTTTTACAAGGTACTTATTAGGTTTTATAAGGTATTTATAACTTGTAAAACCTTATAAAAAACTTGTAAAATCTTATAACTTGTAAAAACCTTATAAAATAGCTTGTAAAATCTTATAATATCTTGTAAATACGTTGTAAAACCTTTTAAAATACATTGTAAAACCTTATAAATACCTTGTAAAAAACCTTTAAAATACCTTGTAAATTTTTGGCGGGAAAAATTTTCCCGCCAAAAATTTAACGCCAAAAAAATTGCGGAATCACTTTTCCCGCAAAAAAAATTTTTTGGCGGGAAAAATTTTACGGGAAAATTTTACAAGGTATTTTAAAGGTTTTTTACAAGGTTTTACAAGTGTTTTGGCGGGCTAAATTGCGGGATCAATTTTCCCGCCAAAAAATATTTTGTATTTTGTAGACCTAATTTTGTTATATTTCCTTATATATTTGTGATATATTTTATTAAAAGAAGGGTAATTTAGTCATTTTGTACATAAAAAGGGGTATTTTTAAAAATGGACAGCCAAAGGGGGCATTTTTGAAAAGGGGTATTGAAAAAGGGGCATTTTTGTGAGTCTCCCTATATTCAATTTTCAGACTTATTCATAATGCAACAATGAAGTAATGAACTCAATTTCATATAATTACTGGATTTTGATTTTATTATAAAATAAATTTTCATATAATTGAATAAATTCTGATATTCTTTATACGAAAACAGTGGATGAGTATTTTTCAATTAAAACTGTGTGCGGAAGTTACTTAATTGGAACATTTTTGGTATTAAGAAAAGACAAAGAGATATAGAAAAAAAGGTAAAATCAAAAGACCATTTATTAAAAGTTGTGGTTTAATCAAATGGACACATAAAAAAGGTAAATATATCAAAGACTTTTGTGGAAGAACAACATCAACATGAGTAGACATACAAGTATACACTTAATGCTTTTGTGACTTAGTACTTGACACAATACAATGATACTTCTATAGAGGAAAGCAGTAAACTAGAAGAAAGAAGAAGAGCAAGACTAAATATACATAAGTCTTTCGATCTTAATTTGTTCTACAACCAAAACAAATTAAGAAATGGTTTCACGGCAGAGGCTGAGATTATCGAACTTAAAGCCGAATTCAATCGTCTCAAGGACGCACCAGAAGTAGATGAAGAGAAAGTGAAGGCTTGTGTTCGTTTTGATATTCTTGTAACTTTATACATAGTTTGTAATTTCTATGTAGAAAACATTAATCAGATCTTTGCAAAATCTAGGATTTGGAGAAGAGAATGATCGTTGTCGTTGAAACAAACAAAGGATACATAGGTCTTGATTATATGAAGACATTTCAACATCTCAGACGCAGTAGATTTTCTCAGATGATAAGGAAAAGAAGAATTAGTAATATAACAAATATCTGATCATCATCATCATATTCATGGAATAATCTCTTACTTTTAAGTTTTTCTTGAGTAATTTGGGGTTTGTTGTAGTGATTAAGAAAGTCATGTCGTTTTACTTTTTCGTAAACGGATTCTTATAATTAGTTATTTAAGTTTAATAATATTTTATCTTCTCAACACTTTTTCTACATAAGACCGTGTGTAACAACAAACCCCAATTCTCAACCTTTTCTCATGATTTCGATGTGGATATCTTTGTGTTACTTCGATGACTTAGAACGTAACACAGTTACACACGGTCATAAGTTATTGGCAAGTGCTTCTGAATTCAATAATCCAATAATGATATATATATTTCATTTATTGTGTGTTATAAAAAACTTTTGTATTCATATAATTGTTTTGATTAAAACTGTGAGCTGAAGTTTCCTAATTGGAAGTTTTTGGTATTAAGAGATATAAGAAAGTTAGAATCAAAGACTAGATATCGCCGTGTAATACGATCAATTGCGTAAGACGTGATATTTATGCATGCATTTATAGAAAGTTTGAAGACGCGTTGTGTATAAAACAACATCATAGTGCATTTTTGATGAAAAAGTTTATTTGGAGAAATTGAGTCGGTGGTTTGTCCAGTAGATAAAAAAAAAAGAATTACATAGAAACTTAGGAGTAAACACTATAAAACACGAATATCCTTATTGAAAAAAAGAGTTGTGGTTTTAATCAAAAAGTCACATAAAAAGGCCTTTAGTGGAAAACAACATCAACATGAGTAGACATACAACTTAATGCTTTTGTGACTTACTTGACACGATACATCATACATGTATCTATGAAAGTTAGGGCTTATAAATAAACACTCATAGGTTCATAACTTCATAAATTACCTTATTACTCAATCATTCTCTCAATTCTTGAATCTTTCATCAAAATTTCTTCCAGAGAAAAAATAATCTCCCCTCACAATGTCGACGAAGATGATCTCGTTGACGAGCTCTGATGGTCAAACGTTTGAGATCAAAGAAGAGGCCGCACGCCAATGCCAGATCATAAATCATATGATTGAGGACGATTGCGCCGATAGAGAAATCCCGCTTCCAAACGTGACAGGCAAGATTCTTGCGATGGTGATCGAGTACTGCAACAAGCACCACGTCGACCCCTCAAATCCTTCCACCGACGAGGATCTCAAGAAGTGGGACGAGGAGTTCATGGAAAAAGATCAATCCACGATCTTTGATCTCATTAATGCTGCTAGTTACCTATACATACAAAGCCTTCTTGATCTAGCATGCCAAACTGCCTCGGATATGAGCAAAGACAAAGCTGTTCTTGAAGACAATAAATGGGCTTTTGAATGAGGGGATTATCAAAACATAAGCAGCTTTCTTTCTTTTCTTTTCTTTCTTCTTTAGTGTGTGTTATTCAGTTTCGTTATCAATGTAGATGATGGTGGCTTCGTCTACGTTCGATAATCTAATAATGAAAGAAGCTTTCTTTCTTTTCTTTTTTTTTCTTTTTCCTTTATTGTGTGTTTTTCAATTTCTTGATCAATGTAGTTGATGATGACTTCATCAAAGTTCAATAATCCAATAATAGAAGTAAACATATATTTCGTTTATTGTGATACTAAAAAAAAACTCTTTTTTACTCAATAATATACTTTTGTCTTCCTATAGTTGTTTTGATTAAAATTCTGATAGTTTATGGCTTGTTTAATTAACCTTATAAAATGTATTAAAATTATACATTATTGAGTCGAAATATTTAAAGTTAAATAGATTTAATTAAAAAACTATATTGACATATTCTTATTCAAAAAATTGAGATGTATACAATATTGTTTAACAAAAAAAAACTGCGTAAGTAAATGTGTGGGATTGTGGAATCTTAGTTAAACATATAACAGATACAGTCTCAATCCTAGTTAAACATGTGAAATAGAGTTCTTGAAATGTATATATTTGTTGCAAAACAATTATTGAAACATTTGAAATTTCAACTAATGGTTACAGATTATTAACATTGGGGTATGTCTTCAAATTCATATATAAGACGTGATATTTATGCATTTATAGGAAGTTTGAAGACGCGTATGTATGTACACATTAATATCATAGTGCATTGATTTTTATATAAAAAGAAAGGTTTATTTTGAGTCGATCGGTGGTTAAAGTCCAATGGATTAAAAAAAGGAATTACATACAAATTTAGGAGTAAACACTGTAAACAAGAGTTTCCTAGTAAATAAAAAGTTGTAGCTTTAATCAAAATGACACAGAAAAGGTAAATATATCAAAGACTTTGTGGAGGAACAACATCAACATGAGGAGATATGTAACATGATGTTTTTGGGACTTACTTGACGATACAATACATCTATAAATTGAGGAAGCATTAACGAAGAAGCAGAAGAAAAAACACAATATATTATAGAGAACTCTTTTTCTCTTGTTCTACTACCAAAAAAAAAATAAGAATTCAAGAAATGGTTCTTACAGAGGCTGAAATTAAAGCCGAATTGGATCGTCTCATGGAAGCACCAGAAGTAGATGAAGAGCAAGTGAAGGTGAATGTTCTTTTTGATATTTTTCAACTTTTAATTTTCTTTTTCTATGTAGAATACATTAATCAAATCTTTGTAAAATATAGGATTTGGAGAAGAGAATGATTGAGGCCATTAAAACAAACGAAGGAGTTATAGATCCCAAGTATATGAAGACAATTGAATACCTAAAGATGGATAAACGACTCCAATCTATGATCAAAGGTACAAGAACTTCTATTGTGGAGAAGAAGGCTTCCTCCTAGCTCATCTATCATAGTTGATTTTCTCAGATGATAAGGAAAAGAAGAATTAGTAGTATAATTAATAGATATGTGACCATCATCAATTCATCATAATCATGGAATGATCTCTTACTTTAAAGCTTTTATGGAATAATTTAGGGTTTGTTGTACGTAAAAGGATTCTCATAATTAATTACATGTCTATATAACAAACGATCTAATTCTCAAGCTTTTCTCTTGATTATTTCGATTAAAATTTTGATAGGTTATGGCTTGTTTAATTAGCCCTATGAAATTTATTTAAAATTATACATAAATCCAGTCGAAATATTTAAAATTAAAAACTAAATTTACCTTCCCTTTCTCAACTAATTTTGATATTTTTTTTAATAAATTTCAATTCAAATGAAAACTTGGATAATGGATCAAATCAAATAGTTCGAATACCTAAATTCACTTCCCCAAGTTTCACTAATTTGGTTTAGAATCATCTACTTGTAAAAAAAAAAAAAAAAAAAAAAATTATCCAACAAAATAAATTGGTAAAACACCAAAAATTGAGAACGGGTATGGATCCGGGTCGGATAATCCATCTCCTCACCAAAGAGTCTCTCTGGTCTTTTGTACCCAAACAGTCAAAATAGCACCAAATTAAAAATACAGACGCGCCGCCGCACGAGAAAATCTCCGGCCACTTTAATGGATTCCGTTTGCAAAACCGACGAGAAAATCGCCGCTGATGTCGCCGCTCTTCTTGCTCCGCTTCCAACTCTCCAACAGCAGGCAAAATCCCTCTCCCTCTCTCTCTATATATAAGCGCTTTGAAGGTAATCTCCATGGAAACTTATAGTAACTGAGCTCGATTCCGGTTTGTTCAGGAATATTTCAACAAGCTTATAACTAGTAGAAGATGCAATGGAATCGAAGTGAAACTAAATGAAACCATTGGAAAAGGTTAAGTTCTTGCTTTATCTTTGTAAAGATTTTGAGATTCTCAATGGCTGCAATGTTGGTTTATAAAATTTTGATTTCTTCCAATTTGTTAGGTGTTTATGCAAATTCAGAGTTTCAAGAAGATGAACTCATTTTGAAAGATCAGATACTTGTTGGTATCCAACATTCTTCCAATAAGGTGGATTGTTTGGTTTGTAGTTTTTGTTTCCGGTTCGTTGGATCGATCGAGAAACAAATCGGCCGGAAACTCTATTTTAAGAATCTCGGTGTTTCTGGTTGTTGTGACGGCGATTCATCTGAAAGCGGAGAAGATGAATGTGTGAAGTATAATGGAAATGAGGTACAATGTGGTGGAAGCAGTTCAAGCCATAATACTCTTCCGGAAGGAGTTGTTAGTTCTTTGATGAATGGCGAAACGGCATTGCCGTACACTGATATGTTTCCTTTGCCTTCCCCTATTTCGTGTCATGGAGGGTGTCAGGAGGCTTTCTACTGTAGGTAATTGTGGTTTGATGTCTTCGACTTTCGTTTTTCGTTAATATTTTTACATGTTTAATATATGCCTACTGATAAACTAATGTGCTGTTTCAATATGATATAGTGAATCATGCGCAGAGGCAGATTGGGAGAGTTCTCATTCTTTACTTTGCACTGGTGAGAGGTCTGAATCAATATCTAGAGAGGCGCTTGGAGAGTTTATAAAACATGCTAATGGTAAAATTATTATTAGTCTCTTTGGACTTGAATGATCTGTCTTGCGATAACTATATTTTTATATATTTTCATTTCTTTATTTTCAGATACAAATGATATTTTTCTCCTGGCTGCCAAGGTATACCTTGTATCACTTTTTATGTCTAATTGTTGAATATTTTAGATAAAATGCCATGGAACTTTCAACATATATTAGTTTACGGTGACCTATGGAGCTTACACAATTTCGACTTATTCTGTATATATCCTTACGCATACTATATAATGAAGAGAAAATAACTAGTTCTGGAAAATGTATTATGGCTAGGCGATTGCCTTTACCATTCTAAGGTACAGGAAAATGAAAGCAGAACATGTGGACAAAAAAGCGAAACAGAGTGAGCCAAAGCAGTTGCTACTCTTGGAGGCATGGAAACCAGTATCGATTGGATACAAAAGGAGGTATATACTGATGCTGCCATTAGAAATCACTTGCTTTTCTTTCCCTATGTTTCTGAATGTGATCCAAATTACATACGGTAACTCATGATCATACATAATTGGCTTTTCGGTGATATATCTACGCCACATATAAATTATCTAAAACTCATCTTCTTTTTTTTGGGTAGGTGGTGGGACTGCATCGCATTGCCAGATGATGTTGATCTTTCTGATGAAGGAGCCTTCAGGATGCAGATAAAGAATCTTGCATGTACGGTATGTGTTTCAGTTGTATGCATCATTTGTAGGTTGAGTTTGCTTGCCGCATTTTGTGTAAAGATCACAATCGCAGTTGCATCAATTTCAAATCTTGACTGTTTTGCCAACTGAATTATATTGTTTTCTCTCCAGTCTTTGGAGCTCCTGAAGACAGCCATATTTGACAAAGAATGTGAAGCCCGTATCCCCCCCCTCATCATTTTGATATATTATTTGTACCATCGTTTCCTTGTTTTATTTTTTACTCACAGAGGGTCATTCCTTGACGCTGGAAAGTGTTCTCCCTCGAAATCTATGGGAATATCATCGGCATGTTTGAGCTGAATAACCTGTAAGAGTCATCAATTCCTGTTTATATCCTTACAGTTACAATGAATATACCCACTATATGTTTGATCTTTGGCAGAGACTTGGTGGTAGCATCACCAGTAGAGGACTATTTCTTGTATATTGATGATCTTCCTGATACAGAAAAGGTCTGAATAGAATAACGCGTTCCACCCATTCTTACTATTCTTTGACCAAAATCTATTGACTCTTACCAGTTTCTTATTCTCATTATCCTAGGAAGAAGCGGAGGAAATCACGAGACCGTTTCTAGATGCTCTTGGTGATGAGTACTCGGACTGTTGCCAAGGTTAGAAATGAAAGGAACATTGTCACCATAAAACAGAGGAGTTATGTAACTTGTAACCAAGATTTGACATAATTATGTGTTTAGGAACGGCCTTCTTCCCTCTGCAGAGCTGTATGAATCATTCTTGTTGCCCTAATGCAAAAGCCTTCAAAAGAGAAGAGGTACCTTTCTTACATCTCGTCCTCTTTATGGTCTACACATCTCAAGGATTAAAGATATTTCATCAACACTTTGGGACTGAACTCGATTCATCCATTTGGAACTCTTGTGGGTTTTGCAGGACAAAGACGGACAAGCAGTTATTATTGCGTTAAGATGCATCAGCGAGAAAGAAGAGGTACACATCTTCTCTCTAATCGTAGCAATTGAATGGTTAGGAAAAGAGAGCTTGTTTTTGAGTTCCATATGTAACAGGTGACGATTTCATATATCGACGAGGAGCTTCCGTACAAAGAGAGACAAGCATTACTTGCAGACTATGGTTTCAGCTGCAAGTGCTCTAAGTGTCTGGAAGATTCTTCATCAGTTTGAAGCCTAATTTTTGTTTTCAAAAGAACATAAAATTTTAATTTTGCCTATATAGTGATCACTGGAACTCGCTACTGAAAAAAAAAACGTGTGGAGATATTCGTTTAGAATAGAGTTAGTTTTGGTTTTAGTCGGAGATGTTTAAACTAGTTTCTCTACGCAACATTGAAACGATAAAAGAACATATTCGTTTGAAGATCAAGCTTTAGTTCTTTTTCAATATATATCTAAAGATGATGAACAAAAGCATGTACCGATTCTAATCATTGTTAATATTGCACCTAAAACAGGCTATGTTTTTAGTGTTCAAAGTTTTGCGGTTATTATGATCAGAAGGAATCATCGTCATTGGCTTTCTTCTGTTCCATCACATCAACGTTTACATCATCCTCGTCTCCCTGAACACAAACCACACGAGATTCGTGAGGATCATCATCTCCGAGTAATTACTTTCTGACGAATTTAGTTTGCCAACATAAGTTTTCGAGAATCCACTCATGCTTACCTGAACATGGGCATCTCTGAAAGGTGGGGGTGGAGGAAGAGATATGAGAGGAGAGACTTTGGCTGCTTCGGGATTCTCTTCCTCAGATTCTGCATCATCATCAAATTCTCGAGCTGCCATGCTCGTAGACGATATTACCTGCAGCAACGTAACCATGTAACGAAGTCTATTATCTCTGCTTTTAACAAAAACACATCTTCAACGTGAAAGATCATCAAAGGCTTAACTTGACCCCCAATGTCAATCTCCTTACAGTTCAAGTGAACACCATTTCTGCAGAAGAAGAAAGATGCCGTACCTTATCAGTAGATGAGGTGCCAATAGACAATCTTCTTCTTTTCCAGTTGTCTTCCTTTGACGAGGACTTGTTAATTGTGTCTTCATCGTTCCACGCTCCACTTTCTTCTTCAGAATATGATTTTGAAGAAACCATATTCCAACAAGGTCTCTTCTTCTCCTTCTCCACCTTCTCTTCTTCACCTCTTCCTATCAAGCCTGAAACAGATGGAGAAGGTTCATATACGTGTGTATGAACTGAGTTTTCATTTAAACACAAATATAATAGTATAGATAAGTTTACCATCTTCAACAGGTTCTTTCGTAGTATATTGATCCACATAATGCTTTTTCCTGGACAGTGAAGAAGTATTCTGCAGCTCATTCTGTGGATCACAAGCAGTTCTCAAATTCCGACCATTATTCTCGTCATCAGTCACAATATCCACGCCTGCATCCCTATTATTTCCTTCACTTCCAGCAAGATATGTACTAAGTTGGTTTCCCAATTTCTGAAGACGGGCTTCTGACCTATAGATTTAACAAAGCATTGTGTTATTGAATGAATTTTTGCATTCTTAAATAAGTAGCAATTAGAAATAGAGATAAATGCCATGCCTCTTTAGATCATCTTGTGCCCGCAAGAAACGGTTGTATTCTTTCACAAATTTCTTTGTGTTTGAAGTAATCCTGACATACAAGAGGATTAAACAACAATTATCACCAGAAGATCAAGTCCAGAATTTGCCACAACGTTACTTCAGTATATCGCATCATAATTAATTTCAAGCAAACATCAAAAGAAATTAGTCATTACCTCCTACATTCCTGTTTCTCTCTATCCAACTGAGTCTCAAGCTCATGGATCTTAGAACTTAAAATGTCTACTTCATGTGCCTTCCTTTCAACGGAAGCCTTTGGAAAAAGAAATGTGCCAATCATATCTGTCAATTAACTCGTATTTACAATGCAATTAAATTAATTGTGGAATGGAGAAATTTACCTCCAATCGTAGTTTGTCATCAGTAAGCATCTTAACATCCATCTCTACGTCTTTTAACTGCATATAGACAAATTGGACTTGGGTCCTTTAGCAACATCTTTACAAACGTTATCAACTAAACATTAGATTAAAATAAAACGACAATCACGTCCTCAACGACACCACCCAACCAAGAAAATGAAGGTTTCAAACCTGCTCCTTCAGAACATTATTGTAACCCTGAAACTTATTTCTTCCATCTTCTGCCCTGTCTTCAATTCTATTCCCAACTTTCAAACCACCAGCATAATTACGTCGTTCATCAAATCTACGGTTCTCCCTGTACTCGTTATCTCTGTGATAATAAGAAATATAAAGCCGCATTGTTAAAGCATGGCCATCAAGTTACCACTGAAATTTCACATAGCATGAGTATAAGCAAAACCGAGGGGAGAAGATACCTTCGGTTCTCAAATGGCCTAGGATTGTCATGTCCTGCAAATTTGAATTCCGTCGGTAATAATCAGAAGAAAGAAATACAGAACGAGAAGTTGACAGAGAAATTTGATTCTGCCTAATTGACAACCAAACTCCAAAAACCCAAAGCTGCAGATCTTACCACTAAACCTTTGTACCCGTCTTCCACTTCTGTCTAAAGATGGTCTCCGCTCTGGAGAAAACTGTCTACCAAGTCTATCTCTTAAGTCACTATCCATATTGTGACGTCTGCCTGCAGTAGACGAAACAGACTTTGCAGTAAAGCATACTTGTGGTACAGATGTGAACTCCATTTCAAACAATCAGAATCATGCCAGTCAACAACACTTGGATAAGATCACAGAAAACTACAAGTAACATAAAGAAAAACGTAATGGTGCTTACTTGCCAGTTTAAAGAGACCACAAAATAATGTCCTCTTCTTACCAGCAGAAGGAGAAAAACCACAATTGGGCACTAAATAAGCGGAAGTCACTGTATTTCATCGATAAATAATAGGTTGAGATTCTGGAGAATGCTTCAGATTATATTGGACGAGAGAAAATAAGACCAATCTTGAAGATCCATTTAATTACACAATCAAAATCCACCAAAATTTGATGTTCAATTCCTTCTAACGAATCAAACCCCCATATACTGCATATTTCTTGATCCAAGAAACCGCTTGAAAGACCACTGAAGATATAACAATCATGGAAATACCACGTGCTCCATACACATAACTGGCAGCATGAAAATGCCAGAAGTCATAACAACAGGCATTGATAAATCCTAATAACAATCATTGATTGCCACCAAATCCTGGAGTCTGAGAACCATGGTTGTCGAAGAATAAGTACCCCACAAAACCCATGATAGATTTTCTTCAAAAAGAATGAGCTTTCAAGAGCAATAAGAAAACCAATATAAATTTCACCACAAAAAACCAGCAGATTCCACACTCCAATAAGAAAACCAATATAAATTTCAGCCAGAAAGACCAGCAGATTCCACTCCGGGATAAAAATAATACTAAGCCTGAGAGTTGCTATCTTTCTGCATATTACAGAATGATTCAGCAAGACAAAACTAGTCAGTAAAAAGTTGATATGGAGAAAAACCAAATCCAAAGTAAAGTATAATACTGATACCATTACCATGTGTTTATCAAACATAGCACTGTGGGCTGAAACGTTTTACACAATCTCATAAAATATGGAATAATAATCACAAAACTCCGGGAGAAAAATACTTCACAAAATCATCAAAGTATAATATAAAACTCCAAGAAAGTCTATGCAAAGAGACCTTATCAACTAAAGACTTTTCTATTTTACCCTAATCAAAAAGAAGTGCTCATGAATCCATCAATCCTTCCACCATTAACAAACTTAAGCCTATTCAAATGCATAAACGAGAACATTACCTGTAAAAGAAGATTCTCCAGGACGACGAAGCTCAGCATTTCCATGAGCAAAAGAACAATTCGGCCTAGAGCAATCACCAGTCTTGTTGAACAGAATACAAAGCTTCGTCTTATACATACTCGACCCAGACATGATTAACAACGAAACCTCTTTTCTTCAGATCAAAACTTCAAAAAGTCAAGCCCAACCTCAAAAGTCAAGCAAACCTCCGTTAACATAGATTAAATCCAGCGTATCGTTCCTACATAAGAAACAGAAGCAACGCTATAAAATGGAAATCTCTAGACTCTCACTGGAATTGGATATTCTAGAATCCATATAGAGAAGCATGAAGATCAGTTATATATCAAAATTTCGAGTTATGTAAGACTCTGAGAAAATCGCAAACCTACAATGGCGGATTCTACGCAATTTGTGGTCTTCTCTTTAGGTTTATCGTTGAAGCAGCTTCTTCTTCTTCTTCAATGGAAGCTAAACGGCAAGGAGGAGAAAACAAGTCGGACGAAAATGAACACACACAGAAAAAAAAAAAACTAATAGAGCACAATTAGGGATCGATCCTCGTATTTATATATATTTTAAGCAGAGAAAATTAGCAAAAAAACAGAGCTAGAGTTTTACTATTTTGCCCTTTCGCATTGTTAGCCTAATATAAGATTAGTTTTGTATAACTAATTAACTATAGCATCAAATCCGATTTATTTAATTAGAGCTCTTAATTAGTAGTTTCTACTTTCTATATGAATTCTGTGTCTACTATTGAATATTATCTCAAATATTAACTTGTGCAACCTCCATATAGGCATATACTGATACAACATTTTACTAAAGAATCTGTACCATTTTATAAGTATTAATAAGTGGAAACTGCATTGTTCTTATGTGAATAAACAGTAAAATCAAAAAGATGGAACATAATCTGAACAATGAAAAGATGTTTTTACTTAAATGGCTTATGAATATCTCCAAATAATTAATATAGGTAAATCCTATTTTCTGGAAATCATCAATCTTGTGTGTTACATTTTCATCTTACAAAAGATAAATTACCATTTCTAAATTTTGCCAAATAACCATCTATGAATAATAAATTAATAATATTTATCAGGAAAATGTTTAACACTTTTGCCAAATAACTATTAGACTTTCTTCAAACATTTTCGAAACTTGACAAAACCAAACGAATTAAACCAATTGATACAACTAAGTCAATGAAACTTTAAGCATCGGAAGAGGTCCTCTATACTTGTAGAGATGATCGAAGCAATCTTGGTCCACCAAACACAATGTAGGATTGATCCAAAGTCTATTAGTAGTCTCAGGTTCAAGATTAATAAAATTACATCGTGGGAACCTCCAAAATATGAGGTTTCAGAGTTGGCAAGCAAAAAACATCTGATCTTTCGAAACAAGTCTCATGGTTTGCGCAAACAAATTCCACGAAACATTGATACAGAGACCTCTAAAAGCCTCAGCTGGATGTCCATGAAAAGAGGTTTCGTTGTTTTTGCCCTTAAGACAACATATCAAGATTTTATGTAGCAACTAACAATTCTCGGCCTGAAGCTGGGATATCATAATTGTTCATTCCGTTGTATATTTATATTGTCTTATGTCACATATATTGATATGATTGGATGTGTATGATATACTTGTAACACATCAATTTACAAATACAATTTTTGATTTGCAATCCTTAATCGCTTGATCATTGCTTGATTTTATACTTTGTAATCCACCGAATTCGACAAGAAAAACCGTAACTTCAAATTCAAACACCATTAATCACAATACCAATATCCACCAGTAACAAGATCGCAACATCCACCAACAAATCTCAACACAAAAACCATGAGTATGAACAAAATGTGCGAGGCATTTCCAGGATCAAATAACATAGAAAAAAAGCCAAATGATCAGGATATACCACAAATAATATTGCGTCAATGCCATTATACCTAAAGGAACCATTTTTAATCCTTCAGAATTGGTAAAAGACGCCATTCAATATTATCAACAATACTAATAAACACAAAGATTTAGGGAAAATCTCAATTATGCTCAGTGGAAGGAGAAGTCGTTTAATTAAGAGAGCTCACGGCAAAACATTGTTTTGTCCACTGCCCTTCACGCACCTTCGTGCTATTTTATCATCATCGCAACAAATTTTCCCCAATAAAAAACAAAACAAACAAAAAAGCCTCAGTGTGTGTAACAATTCAGTTCATAGATTTAAAAAAACCTCACTGAAATCCGCTAAGATAATTGTTTTTATCATCATAGGCAAAATAAGATAACAAAACAAAAAAATAATGTGGTGGGCAAAAAAGGATTTACTCAGACAGCCAAGGGTTGTATCTTCAAATTCTGGGTGAAGAGCCCAGATCTGAAACTCTAGTCCACGAAATATTCGTATCATCACCATAAACCCTCTTTTAAGCCCACCAAAAACGAAAACTTTATCAACAAATTCTTAAAAAACTCTAAATTATTTACTAGAAAACCTAAGCAGAAGTTAAGAGAAAGAAGCAGTTGTTGCTCTGAGTTAGAAGAAAGAAGACGAAGCCTATATATACTCATAGACGGACGCTGACGGATTAGCTTTGAGAATTAGGGTTTTTCTTATTGCGTAGCGGCTACACCGTCTCTTTTGTTTGGTTTAGGGTTTTTGTTTAGAAGATAGCCCAATAAGTACTAAATGGGCCGTTTATAACTCCCTAGTAAAAGCCCACAGAGAGTGTTCTTTTGGGCCTTCGTGGTGAAGCGGCTTTATCAAGGAAACTAGCGCAATCAATGGAACGGTTTTGAACGATGTGGTCATATAATACCGTTATTTATTTTTATTACTAGGATTGTTACACATTTTGCATGTTTTATAATCAACAAATTGGAGGAAAACTAGGCAGATATTTATGAACGGTATCGATTTAGGGAAGAAAAAAAATCTTTTAAGATGCCTTGAAAAGTTCAAACAGATTATTTTATTTTTCTTATTATTCAATTCCTATAAACAGAGCTAAGGAAAAAAAGCTTATATGATAACTTCTCATTGGTGTTATCGCCTACCATTGAAACAAAGCACCAACAAAGGAAATAGAGAAGAAGAATAAAACATGAAGAAATTTGAGCTTGTCTTTGTACCGTTTCCTGTGATTGGTCATCTCAGATCAACGGTAGAGATGGCGAAGCTACTAGTGGAGCGAGAAACTCGCCTCTCTATCTCCGTTATCATCCTTCCTCTCCTTTCCGGTGAGGACGTCGGTTCTTCCGCTTATATCACAGCCCTCTCCGCCGAATCCAACGACCGCCTCCGCTATGTAGTGATTCCCGGAGAAGATCAACCAACCGTCGAGTTACATGTCGAGAACCATATCCCGAAGGTGAAACATGCCGTTGCGAAACTCGTGGATGACTACTCAAAGCTACCGGACTCGCCGAGGCTAGCTGGTTTAGTCGTGGACATGTTTTGTACCTCGGTGATAGACGTGGCTAATGAGTTTAGTGTTCCGTGTTACTTGTTTTACACGTCAAACGTTGGGATTCTTGCTCTTGGATTACATATCCAGATGTTGTACGATAAGAAGGAATATAATGCTACTGAAACTGATTTTGAAGACTCGGAAGTCGTGTTGGATGTTCCGAGTTTGACTTGTCCTTATCCAGTGAAGTGTCTTCCTTACGGTTTGGCAAGGAAAGAGTGGCTTCCTATGTTTGTGAATCAAGCAAGAAGATTCAGAGAGATGAAAGGTTTTTTGGTGAATACTTTTGCTGATCTTGAACCTTATGCGTTGGAGTCTCTTCTCTCGAGTGGTGATACTCCTCGTGCTTATCCAGTGGGACCATTGTTGCATCTTGAGAACCATGTTGACGGTTCTAAAGACGAGAAGGGTTTGGAGATTTTACGTTGGTTAGATGAGCAACCACCTAAATCGGTAGTGTTTCTTTGCTTTGGAAGCATAGGAGGCTTTCGTGAGGAACAAGCAAGAGAAATCGCTATTGCCCTTGAACGAAGTGGTCACCGTTTCTTGTGGTCTCTCCGCCGCGCATCTCAAGATTTAGATAAGGAACTTCCTGGAGAATTCACGAATCTTGAAGAAATTCTTCCCGAAGGATTCTTTGATCGGACGAAAGATAAAGGAAAGGTGATTGGATGGGCTCCACAGATGGCCGTGCTGGCAAAGCCGGCGGTCGGAGGTTTTGTCACTCACGGCGGGTGGAATTCGATCCTTGAGAGTCTTTGGTTCGGTGTTCCTATAGCACCATGGCCGTTATACGCAGAGCAGAAATTCAACGCTTTCATGATGGTGGAGGAGCTTGGTTTGGCGGTGAAGATAAGGAAGTATTGGCGAGGCGATCAGTTGGTGGGAGCGGCGTCGGTCACGGTGATGGCGGAGGAGATAGAGAGAGGGATCAGATGTTTGATGGAGCAACATAGTGACGTGAGGAAAAGAGTGAAGGAGATGAGTGAGAAATGTCACGTGGCGTTAAAAGATGGTGGATCGTCTCAATCTGCTTTGAAAATATTTATTCAAGACGTTACGAAGAATATTGCTTGAGAATAGTGTTGAGTCTTTTTTGTTTGCACGAGTCTAGACCTAAGAGACTTGGTCTCACTAGTTTGATTTGGTCAATTTCAGTTTAGCGAGTCTTTAGCTTGTAGTTGAGCGAGTGGAGCTCATGCGTCCGTCTTTTTCGTTTGAGAGTCAGTTATTTGCTTCAGTACTTGTATTCCCTATACAAGGCATTGGAAGACTATGAATATATTAGATATTTAGATCATTCAGTGCAATTCTGTTTTCTCTGAATTTGCAATCACAAATAGCTACTAAACCGGAGCATGCAACGCTCTTGGATGTTGTGTTGTGTCCCTCAGATATATATCATCACTAGAAATGGCAATTTGCATGTCTCTTTGAGTGATCATGGGCAAATATTATTTATAGAGTTTGTGACTACGAGTTTTTTAATATCAAACTGTTGATTAATAGCAAACAATGTTGAGACTTCAGAGTAATGGTATTTTGTTTGTCCATAAACTGCGGTATTGGAAAAAAACTTTCATTCTTGAAAAAAGTAGGTGCGATCTCTTCAAGTTAGAGCAACCCCAATGGTGATAGATCTAATTTGAGTTTCTAAAAACTAAAATATTAATATTTTTATAGAATTAAATTATTGAATTAAATTTTAGTTTTGAAAATAAGATAAACCACTCATAGAAAGACAAGTACCTTCAAATGTCTCTTATGAGATTCTGAAAATCCTTAAATAAGAAACTATGTCTAGAGTTTTTTACTTCTCTCTCCTACTTTTCTATTTTTTTCAATATTTTTATACTAAGAAATCTATGAAGAGTCTCCCATTAGTTTATTGACTTGTTTCAATTATTGTGCTGCTATTTTTTAATTGTTTTTTAAGCAGAGATGCTATTTTTTATTTTGTATGACGTGTAATTCGATAAAACTATTCTGTCTTATTACATCGACCAACTAAAAGTATTTAAACAATAATAATCTTCGTAATCAAATATCTAATTTCTTACCACGTTTTGTATGCAATCTATCTACTAACATTCAAAACTAAACGCGATCTGCAATATTTTTATTCACTCCAATATCTAGCAAATTTCATGTTTAAGAAAAAAAAATTAGATTAGGATCCGGATTAATAGATAAATGTTTATTTTATAAAAGTTTAGTAAAATCAAATATATATATATATATAAACATATAATTTAGTATATGTAAATATGATATTAGTTTAGGTTTCTTATTTTTTTTTTTTTTAAAAAAATATTTTCTGACATATGTCATCCGATAAGAGTCGTGTTTATAGTATTAGCAAAAGCATTTGCCTAAAACCACCAATTTTGTTTTTTTTGTTTAGGCCACATTTATTTATTTTTACTGTTTAGCCAAATTATTTTGCCTTAAGATTTTTTTTTGCCTTAAGATTTTGTTTTTTTTACTTATTTTTGCCTTAAACCACTATATACTTCAGCACGACACTGCATATGATACACTTGCGATCACGAGAGTTAACAATTTTAAAAACTTTACTTATATAAATAGATAGATCTTTTACGTACATATTAATTTAGTTATAAATGATTTGATATACAATTAATTAATATTTTAATAATTATTTATTACTATAATAAAATATAGCTTAATCTTATAACTAATATCTCCTCCTCTGGAAGATCACAGCGCAAGCAATCATCTACAATATCTGGCGTCAGCGCAACAATATCCTTCATAACGTCTAGAGAATTGCTCCTCATATCATATTCAAAATCATCGACCGCGAGATTCATTTATATGAAATTTACATCTTTAGCAAAAAAAAAAAAAAAAAAAAAATCTTACAACTAATACTACATTTGTTAACACGTCAAGGAGATAGATGCCGAAAGGGGACTGATATTTCTAATGGGCCTCAATCATTCAGCCCAACAAAAAGAGGTAATTAAACGAATGAAGCCGAAACAGTTTACGTGCTTATTATCACTTGCGAGCGTTATCGCTTCGTAGATTCAGACAAAAGCACCATAAAGAGAAAAAGAGGTTGTCTTCATCCCCCGAAAAAGAGAAGGATAAACATGAAATTTGAGCTTGTCTTCATCCCCTATCCTGGAATCGGTCATCTCCGATCAACGGTGGAGATGGCAAAGCTACTAGTGGACCGTGAAACCAGTCTCTCTATCTCCGTAATCATCCTTCCTTTCATTTCCGGAGGCGAAGTCGGTGCTTCAGATTACATTGCAGCCCTCTCTGTCTCATCAAACGACCGCCTCCGCTATGAAGTCATCTCTGCAGAAGATCAACCAACCGCAGAGATGACGACTATTGAAGTCCATATCAAGAACCAGGTGCCAAAGGTGAGACACGCCGTTGAAAAACTCGTCGAAGACTACTCTACTAAACCGGACTCGCCGAAGATCGCTGGAATCGTCCTCGACATGTTTTGCACTTCCATGGTAGATGTGGCGAACGAGTTTGGTTTCCCGAGTTATATGTTTTACACGTCGAGTGCTGGGATTCTCTCACTTGGATATCATGTTCAGATGTTGTACGATGAGAACAAGTACGATGTTAGTGAAAGTGATTATGCCGACTCAGAAGCTGTGTTGGACGTTCCGAGTTTAACTCGTCCTTATCCGGTGAAGTGTCTTCCTCACGCTCTAACATCTAAAATGTGGCTCCCGATGTTTGTAAATCAAGCGAGAAAGTTTAGAGAGATGAAAGGTATTTTGGTAAATACTGTTGCTGAGCTTGAACCTCATGTGTTGAAGTTTCTTTCTAGTAGTGATACTCCTCCTGTTTATCCTGTTGGACCATTGTTGCATCTCGAGAACCAAGTTGATGAGTCCAAGGATGAGAAACGATTGGAGATTTTACGGTGGTTAGATGAGCAACCACCTAATTCGGTTGTGTTTCTATGCTTTGGGAGCATGGGAGGGTTCAATGAGGAACAAGTAAGAGAAATCGCAACCGCGCTAGAGCGAAGTGGCCACCCGTTTCTCTGGTCTCTCCGTCGCGCATCTCCGAATATATTTAAAGAACCTCCAAGAGAGTTTACAAATCTAGAGGAAGTTCTACCGGAAGGATTCTTTGATCGGACAAAAGATATAGGAAAAGTGATTGGATGGGCTCCACAGGTGGCCGTGCTTGCGAATCCGGCGGTTGGAGGTTTCGTCACTCACTGTGGATGGAATTCGACGCTAGAGAGTCTTTGGTTTGGTGTTCCAACAGCTGCATGGCCATTATACGCAGAACAGAAGTTCAACGCTTTCTTGATGGTGGAGGAGCTTGGATTGGCGGTGGAGATAAGGAAGTATTGGCGAGGTGATCATTTAGCGGGAGTGCCGACGGTTACGGTGACGGCGGATGAGATAGAGAAAGCAATCATGTGTCTAATGGAGCAAGATAGTGACGTGAGGAAAAGAGTGAAGGAGATGAGTGAGAAATGCCACGTGGCTTTAATGGACGGTGGATCGTCGCGGATTGGGTTGCAAAAGTTTATTGAAGACGTTACGAAGAATATCGTTTCACTAGATAAGGAATTTGAGCCGGTACGCTCTTAAATGATAGGCTCAAATAGAAGGCCAAATAAAGTTTAAAATATCAAAGTAGACAATGTGATATCTTTGTACTTGTACTTTAAAACAGAACCTCATTTACTACTTTCATGTAACAAGAGAAAAAAAATAAAATGGTTGTAATATCCAAACCTTGAATGATTGTCTCAATGATTAGGGTAACGTGAAGATTTGAACTAACGGTCCATAAATTTCTAATTTTGAATGGAAAAAACATCTAGCTACCTCCAACTCCAACCACTAAAAGACTTGACTATCGATAATAGAACAAATTAGAAAAAAGAAATGTATGAATAAGCGAACAAGTTAAACATGACTTCACAAACGTAACATCAATTCACATTTTGATATACAATAGAGTAACAAAGCTTACTTTCTTATCGCCTTTAAGTTATCTTTCTCTAGAATTCAAAATAGCATACCTAGATATAAGAAATGAAAATTGAGCTAATATGCATTCCTTCTCCCTCGATCAGTCATCTCATGGCGACGGTAGAGATGGCGGAGCGACTAGTTGATCTAAACGACCACCTCTCTATCACCGTAATCATCATATCTTTCAATTCTAAAAGCACCTCGATGATCGCCTCTCTCACCGCTGCATCCAATAAACGAATCCGCTACGAAATAATCTCTCGAGGAGATCAACAACCCACAGAGCTCAAAGCGACTGATTCCCACATCCAAAGTCTAAAGCCACTGGTGAGAGATGCGGTTGCGAAACTCATAGATCCGACTCGACCAGACTTGCCTCGTCTTGCGGGATTCGTAGTCGACATGTACTGCACGTCGATGATCGATGTCGCTGACGAATTTGGAGTCCCTAGTTACTTGTTTTACACCTCCAACGCTGGATTCCTTGGACTTTTGCTTCACATTCAATTCATGTACGACTTAGAGTCAGAGGATACCTATGACATGAGCGGATTAGAAGACTCGGACGCAGAGTTGGTGGTTCCGAGTTTGATTAGTCCTTATCCGTTGAAATGTCTTCCTTACATTTTCAAATCAAAAGAGTGGCTCACTTTTTTTGTAACTCAAGCGAGAAGATTCAGAGAGACTAAGGGCATTTTGGTAAATACGGTTCCTGACTTGGAGCCTCAAGCGTTGAAGTTTCTCTCCAATGGTAACACTCCACGAGCTTACCCAGCAGGACCACTGTTGCATCTCAAAAACGATGCTTGTGATGATTCCGTGGACGACAAGCAATCGGAGATTTTACAGTGGTTGGACGAGCAACCGCCTAGATCGGTAGTGTTCCTCTGCTTCGGGAGCATGGGAGGTTTCAGTGAGGAACAAGCAAGAGAGATTGCTGTAGCTTTGGATCGAAGTGGCCACCGGTTTCTATGGTCTCTCCGCCGTGCATCTCCGAATATAATGAAAGAGCCTCCCGGAGAATTCACTAACCTAGACGAGATTCTCCCGGAAGGGTTTCTTGATCGGACGGAGGAGAGGGGAAAGGTGATCGGATGGGCTCCATAAGTGGCCGTGTTGGCGAAGCCGGCGATCGGAGGTTTTGTTTCCCACGGCGGATGGAATTCAACGTTGGAGAGTTTGTGGTTTGGTGTTCCGATGGCGATTTGGCCGCTTTACGCCGAGCAGAAGTTTAACGCTTTTGAGATGGTGGAGGAGCTTGGCTTGGCGGTGGAGATCAAGAATCACTGGCGAGGAGATCTTTTGTTGGGGAGGTCGGAGATGGAGATTGTGACGGCGGAGGAGATAGAGAGAGGACTCATGTGTTTGATGGAACAAGATAGTGACGTGAGGAAGAGAGTGAATGAGATCAGCGAGAAATGCCACGTGGCTTTAATGGATGGTGGATCCTCTGAAATTGCTTTGAAAGAATTTATTCAAGACGTAACGGAGAATTGTAATTTCTAACGTTTTGGGATTATGTTGTATAATAGGCCCGAATACATGGCTTATAATGGGCCATTGTCAAGTTGATTTATTTCTGTGAACATGTATTTTTTTTTGCTAAAGTGCAAATATCATATAGATGAAAAGTTGGTTTTACAACCTATACATTGGTTTCTCGGCAAAAAATAAACAAGAAAGCAATACATTTGGGAATCAAAGCAGTCTCATGTTGATTTATTTCTGTGAACATGTATTTTCAAGTTGTGTGTTCAATAAAAATGAATTTATGTGAAAATAATGAAAAGTTCTATGCCAGATTCAAGGAGACAGCAAAGTTTAATTTCTTACAGTTTCAAACTCATTTACCTTGGGTTAGAAGGCAGGATACAGAATAATAAATTATTGTAAATTTAGAATGATTCACATATTAATTGAACCATAACACATCATTCTTGGGTGCACAAACACAAATCAAACAACAACAAAATTAAATTAATTAACAACATTTTTTTTCTTCCGAAAGTCACACGCAAAACAAGAATGACCATAACACACCACTTTCCGACCAAGATAACTAACTCCCGGCGACAGAACACCGTGTCCTGATCACACCGGCTGAGCCCGTCTTCACTTTGACTCTCCCCATCTTCTCCATTGACTTAGCAAAAGCTTCGTAAAACTTTTGTTCAGGACCGTTGACCAAATTGTTGATCATCTTCAACGTCGCTGAGTTCGTTGTTAAAGCAGAATCAGACTGAAACAAGCCTCTTCTCTTCAGGACAAGCCTATAATAACTGAGATCGAAGGTTCTGCTACTACCGGGATCCATCTCGAGGATAGTGGTGTTGTCGTTAAGGCTCCTACATTTGTTAGCCTTTAGATTTGCTGCGTACTGGCTATCGAGAGATGGATCTTGTTTGACTGTAGTCGAGAAGTTGTAGAGACGAGTATTCATGGAAGAACAATGCGAGACACCAATCGTGTGAGCCCCTAAACAAACGGGTACGAGTAACGGATAGGAAAATTTAAGTTGGATATAAGATGTATCGATAAAATGTCTCAAAAAGGACAACCGTGACTAAACTGTGGCTATTGAACTTACCGGAGAGCAGAACAAGATCTTTGAGATTAAGGCCTTGGTTTTTGAAAAGTCGCTGTAAAGTCGTGAAATTACTCGTTGGCGGTGGAATGTTGTTCGTAGCTTCATTCAAATTTGAGATCCTACCATCTCTTCTTCCCGTTGGAACACTCCATGAAGGACCTCCCTGTCAAAAACATATTTTAGATCATACTAATTTAATGTTTTACATTCGGTTTTGTAACACTTACGGTGGCGACAACTGCGTCTCTAGCGGTCAAAGCAATGATATCAGCGCAAGAAACAGTCTTAGGACACACTTTTTCAAGAAGAGCCTTAATCCTTTCTACGAAACCGAATCCTCTAAGTGTTAGATTTGGTGGTGCATCTCTCTCTGCGTTCCCAGATGTTGAATTTATCAACACCGATCCATCACATCCCTTTAAAAAAAAACCATTGTCGATATTGAAAAAAATGCAATAAATCTCAAATATTCTGCTCTAGCTCAAATTTACCATTTTTATTAAATAGTTCAAATGAAGTGAAACATTGAACTAAATGATATTAATGTATGGATATTAATTTTTATATATGCACATATAAGACGAACATATCTAAACACTTGCAAGTATATACAAATATGTGGATTAGAGATTAGATAAATACCCTAACGAAGCAATCATGGAAGTGCATCCTGATGAGAGGAGCTGCAAGAGAAGGACCATTAGGGATATGATTTTGAATATGGTCAGAAATGATTTTCTCTGCGTTTGGACAGCTCTTTGCGTAGAAATTCATTTGAAGTTGAGCCTCTGATGATCCCAGCATTCCAATTAGAACCGTCACTGCAACCGCAACCGCAATATTCAATCGCTTCATCGTCGTCATCGAGTAGTTTCCTCGATTTTGTTTCTCAATACTCTTCTTTGGTTTGTGTCACTGAAGAGAGACAGGATGTAGAGCAATAATGGAGGGGGTCTATTTATAAGAGGATTGTTCATTATGGTGAAAGTAAGCATATTTTTTTTAATAAAAGAATTGAAACAGAAAATAAAAATAAAGCCGAACAAAATTTTGTGCTTAATATTTTTTGTCAATTTTGTGCTTTTTAGTTAATTTGTTGATGGTAAAGATTTATTTCTGAAGAGAAATAAAAAGCCGAAATATCTTAAAGTGATACCCGAACAAAAAAAAATTGTTTATAGTTTATAGCTTATACCCTTATTAGCTCCATGATTAGTTTTTTTTTTTGATTTTAATTTTAGGTCATCTAAATGAAGTAAAGAACTAAAGGTATGCAGAGTTTATTTCTTTAGGAAAGAAAGCAAAAGGATAAATTTTATAGGAGTAGGAGGTCTTAAGTAATTATTCTCACATGTGAACAGTATGTTAATAATGTATTTATCATAAAGAAGAACTAATTAAATAAATATATATTTTATTATTACTTTAGAAAAAGACGTTAATTGCTTTTAATCTGCACCCATCAAGGTATCATATACATAATTGTGCGTTTCCTCTTCGGTCTATTTATAATTATGTTTGTTAAAACGGCCGTAAGACAGAAAGAAAAAAGACAAAAAAAAATGGGTAAGATAGTTAAACTAAACAAACTAATTTATAACAATCGTAAATGTTAAACTAAACAAACTAATTTATGGTGTTTACAGCCTACAATTTCAATTATAAGTAGCCATTTTGAATTCTTTTTCTTATATAACCAATTATTTGGGGCTTTTAGTCATACTAGGCCAGAGACTGAGAGACAAAAGCAAGTAAATTTATTCACCGTGAACACTTTGAATAGTAAAAAGACCTTACTTTTCCACATGTTTTATTCTGGATGTTGGGTTGAAAATTGATAGCACATCAACTATTAATTCAAGAAGAAAAATGTTAAACAACACGCAAAAGTATTAATAGTAGGTGATAGACCCCAATAATGGCGAGTGACGGAAGTGAAAGGAGAAGAAGTCTAAACATATTGTCCCACAACTTGCAGAAAGCAAAATTGAAGGTAAAATGTTCAATCAAATTGAATCGAATTAGCTGACCCGGACTGTATAAAAATCTAGTTCGATTAAATCGGTTTCTTTATAGTAATTACCATACATTAACGAACTTCATTAGCATAATTTAAATTGTAGACCAATGTAATCATCAAAGTGAAGCAAATAAGCTAAGTTAGTACTGTTAATTAACAATGTAGCTTTTCCAAAGCCTTAAATTACACAAAATTAAAACAACATACTATATATTAGAGACTCACTTTTTTTTGTCGTCTTATACACCCACTTATTAAACTAACCTTTTTAAAAATAGTATTACTCTAACGGCTATTTTTTACACTTTACTATCTACTCTCTAATATGTGATGTCTGTGAAAATATTTATGGTCGCTAGCTACTTGATCAGTAATTTCATTCCACGACTTTAGACTTTATATTATAGAACTAGGAAATTTCATTTTTTTATATCGGATAATGGTAACTTGATTAAATCATCCGATATCAAATACTATTTGTCTTGCTCGGAAGCTCAATGCTGCTAGGCAGCTGTAAGAAGAAAAAGCGTCAAGAAGATATTTCCAGCATCGTGTAATATTTTAATCTCCAAAGACACTTTTTCACTTTGATTTAATGAACAATAGATCTAATGAAAAGGAAAGATACCGACGCATAATCACCTAAACCCACTAACAAATTCTTTTCCACTTAAAACAATAAGTTTACGAATTTTTTAAAAATCGAATATATACGGATATAATAAAATAGTACGTAATAGCGAAAAATGTAAGAGAAATAATACACGCTAATTAAAGATTTGGCACATGGCAAAATTGGGTCTTAAAATATTTATTTTGTTCTTTCTGACACCTCCATGAGTTGATTTCATGCAGATTTTATAGCCATAATCGAGGTTCTATTGTGAGCTGTTAAAAAAAAAAAAATCTAAGTTCTATATAATTTAGGTTATGATAAAATATTTTTAATATAAATGCAAACCGTATTTCCTAATTATTAAGGATAATAATATCTCATATTGAAAACTGGAAAGGACAAATGATCTTGACTAATATATATGATATTTGAGTCAATAAATTTATTGTCAATTAGTTTTGAGTTGGAAGCTCATTAAACGTAATATGGTATCAGAGCTCGATTCATACTTGTCCAATCCATAATCGATTCGACCCAATAGTTGGTCTACTGATCCTTGCCTGAACATATCAAGATGAATGGCTAGGAGAACCATTATTTTGATAGGGCATATTAGGAATAATAATATCTCACATTAAAAAGGATAAGGGATATTGACTACTTTACAAGATATATGGATCAATTCACTTATAACCAATTGGTTTTTAGTTGAAAATCTATGGAACTTAATACTAATAATTTATCAAAAACTGTTGATTCACCTAATGCATACATACATATATTACTATGCATATGATATCAAAAGTATCGACACATTCATCAAAAGTTAGATTTGCATATCCACCTTGTCTTCTACGGCCAAAGAAGAAATAGCGTCAAGGAATGACAAACTAACCTCAGTAAAAGTTAGATAAATCTTCGAAGACCATGTTTAAGAAAATTTGTATTTGTAAGATAATATTTTCTGAGTTTCCAAGTTTAACAATTTGAAAGAAAAAAGTTAACAATTTTATCATTAATGTGAAAAGAGAAATACGTGATTATTTACGGAAATCAGATATTAAAAATCATATAATTTGTTCGTGCATTAACAATCTTGCCAAAATCTTGCTGCCATCTCTGGTATATATTGTCATCTTCTTCAAATTTGACATTTGTTAGAAATCTTATTTTTTTAAAAAAATTGAAGACATTAATACAAAAAAGTAGGATGATGAAGTTTCATCTAAACCAAAAGATTGTATCGTACAAGAAACTAGTCTAAAATGAAGTATTTCATCTATATGAAATGATTATATCCCCAAAAAAAGGCTATATGAAAATGAGAAGATGAC